ATGAAACAAGGATATTATTTAAATTGTTTGTACGTTTTTTTGTATACTGATTTTTTTGTAAAACACCTTACTTACTGTAAAACGTTATTTGTTTTTCTTAGTTAAACATTTTTGAATGAAAATAAATACGTTGTTTGGTATTGTTTTCGAATCTTTTTTAATTTATAATAGTTAATTATTGAAATAATAACCCAAAACCACAAAAAACAAATGTTTAATCGCCAACTTTTTTCTCTCTTGACTTTTTTGCTATGAAATAATTATGGATTCGATGAATACCGAGCTCTGTCTGGAAAACGCAGGAACGCTTCTGGATTCGTCGATTCAAAAATAAATACAAGCAGGGCAGATTAACATCTACAGTCTACATGATCATTTAGTAATCGATTGGTTGCAAATGTTGTAATAAATAAATGAGAGAATGATAATTTATACTTTAAATGGTAAAAACGGTGGTTTTCGTGATATTGTCAGAGTTACAATCCTTCAGTTTAAAAGCAAAGAAGGCATGGTTTAGTATTGGTCGATATGAGGTTGACAAAAGGAGATAAAGGTGGCAGAAATGACAGGCTTCGGCATTAATATTACCACTACTTGTAGTATTCACAAGGTGATGATGTTTTAAGGGTAAGTTTTGCATACAGAACCATAGTAGGCCGCGCGGATCGAACGTTAGTACTGAATCTTAACCTCACTCGTTAGTAAACTTAAATTCAAAGTTTCACAACAATACGTGCAGTGTTCTCACTACAGTGAATTTTTAAGTGTCACCAAGTCATTAGAAAAATGGAACTCAAACGAGAACATTTTCGCGCCATAATTTATTACAACTTTCAGAGACAATTATCGCAACAAGAATGCCTTGCTGAGTTACTGTCTGTTTTCGGCAACGAAGCGCCACATCAGTCGACAATTTCTCGTTGGTATGGAGAATTCAAACGTGGACAGGTGAGTCTTAGCGACGAACCCAGGGTGGGTGCTCCAAAAACGGCAGTCACCCAGGAAAACGTCGATACTGTGCGCAAACTCATCATTGAAGATAGACATGTGACATATCGCGAGATTGAGGCGTCCTTGAAGATCTCAACGACCTCGATTCAAAAAAATTTACATGAAGAATTAGGAGCATGCAGATGTGTATTAATCTTCATGAAGAATACTTCCGTGTTGTTTTATTTCCATATGCAAAACTTAAAAGACATCCCTCGTATCGTTCGGTAATTCGCTTTTTGTTTTTGGATGGGAAAAAATGCGAGGAGATAAAAGCAAAGTTGGATGCTGTTTATGGGAGCACCTCGCCATCTATGACCGCAGTTAGATATTGGTTCAACAAATTTAAACGTAGGCGAACATCCGCTTTTGATGGCAGACGTGGTTACCGAGGATATCATTCAAAAATTCCACGACATGATTCTCGCTGATCGACGAACGAAAGTGCGCGAAGTAGCAGAGGTTAACGTCGATGAAACCTGGATTCATCATTACACACCAATGAAAACAATGGATTTCTCCCGGTGAATCTGCTCCAAAGAAGGCGAAGACGGTCCCATCGGCCGGAAACGTCACGGCGACGATTTTTTGGGATGCGAACGGCGTCATCCTCGTGGATTTTTTAGAAAAAGGAAGAACGTTCACTGGACAATACTATAGTGAGTTATTGGACCGCTTCGACGAAAAATTGAAGGTGACGCGGCCACATTTGACGAAAAAGAAGGTGCTGATGACCACGATAACGTACCAGCACATTCATCCGGAGTTGTGGCCGCCAAACTGCATGAATTGCGATATGAAGTGCTCCCGTATTCACCCGATCTGGCCCCCTGCGACTTTTTCTTGTTCCCTGACATGAAGAAATGGCACGCGGGGAAAAAATTAGATCAAACGAGGAAGTCATCGCCGAGACAGAGGCGTATTTTGAAGAGTTCGACAAATCCTGTTTTTTTTTGGGAGTTAAAAAATGGCAGGAACCTTGGGAAAACGGGATTATGTTGAAAAATAAAAAGATTTTTTTTTGGAAAAAATGGTGTCTTCATTTCTAACACGGGTACTTATTGAACCGCCCTCGTATTGATTATGTATGCATGGAGAATCGCAAGGCTGTTTTTGTATTTGTAAAAGCCGAATAATTAGGTACTAAGAAACTGATTTTGGAAACGAAGTCAAGACATGACAAAATTCGCAATTTTGTACCGATTCGTATCAGATTTTCATCAGCAGCAGTTTTCTAAAAATGTTTTCTCATTCTTTGTTGTCGAATAAAAAGTTTTCCCACAAAAACTGTTGTACCCATTTTATGCGTCCATGTTTTGAATTCCCCCTTGAACAACTTGCATCAATAAAACCAGACTTTACAATTATTTGTATATTTAATATGATTAGACTATAGTTCTGAGGGTCCGAGGTGCGCGTTTTTGCAAATTTAAACATTAGGTTTATGACTGTTTTGCTTCGATATTTGTTCAGCAGCACAGTTACTTTGACTCGCTAGTGAATATCGCCTTGATAGGGGATGACAAATTATTGTATTGGATCTCGAATTCTGGGTAATATAATTACTATTCAAATGAAAATTGAAGGATGATTTGTAAACCTTACCCCAACTTCTTGTATTATACAGGGTGTTTCAGTTTATTGTTGCATAACTTTAAGATTCGATAGAACCTTTAAAATTAATGCATAAAGTCTATATAAACATGGGTCGAAAAATGCGTGGCTTCCGAAATACAGGGTGTTAAGTTTACTTTCTAAAATAGTTTTTTTTTAAATATTTCGAACAGTATTTGATGTATAACAGTGAAAATTGGTATACAAGGGTTTTTTTCGATAAAACGAACCATGGGCATAGTTTTACTGTAGCCGCTAGAGGGCGCTCTCTACTGTACCTGTAGTGTATTAAAATGACCGAAACATTTTTCTTAGTGCAAGTTTTTGCTTTTTGAATAAAAAAACTGATTCTTCGCACTTTTCAACATAAAAAAGCTCTCTTGTGAATTTTCGTTATAGTTAGCCGTTTTTGAGATATTTCGATTTTTAAGGTTCGATGCATTTTTAATTATTTATGATAGAATAACGTTAAAAAGTCAGTATCTCGTTAATTAGTAGGCTGTGCTTGCAAATATTTTAGAAATTGAAAACAGAATAAGGTTAAACGTCAATTAATTGACAGTTAGTTTTGTTGTCTGTTGAAACCTGAAACGTTTTTTTGCAATTGTGAATGCAAGAAATTTAGTTTCTTTTACCTGTTTTTTTTTAAGTTTTATAAAAATGCCATTTTTATTCTCCAATCAAGAGTTAGCGGATATTCATTTTGTGTATGACTTTGTAAATGGAAACGCAGCAGAAGCAGCCAGAGGATACGCACGAAGATTTCCAAACAGACGACATCCAACTCGCTCAGTATTTGTAAGAGTGCATCGCCAAATAATTGAAAATGGTTTTGGATATCTCCAAAGGGATCAAAACATAAATGTTCGTGAGCGCAGATTTACCCGTATGATTCTGTGTGAGTTTGATAGAGATCCGACCACAAGTGTTAGGAAAGTTTCTGGTGCCTTGGGAATGTCAGCAAGCCATGTTCACTGTGTTCTTAGAAATGACCATAGACGTCCTTACCATTTGCAACCTGTGCAAGGACTACAGCCAGGGGACGGAGAACGAAGAGTCACATTTTATCAGTGGATTCTTGATAGAACTGATAATCTTAGGGAGTTTTTAAGTAACGTTTTATGGACCGATGAGTCATGCTTCACTAGACGTGGAGTGGAAAATTTTCATAATCAACATATTTGGTCGTATGAAAATGTTCAGCATGAATTTAGTATGAACGTGTGGATTGGTATCTACCGTAATCGACTATTTGGACCCTACCTTTTGCCTGCAAGGTTAAATGCTGCGACCCTCTTGGAATTTTTAAAGGCTGAACATGCAAATATGTGGGATGATGTTATGTTAGATTTAAGAAGATTGGCCTGGTTCCAGCTTGATGGTTGTCCAGCTCATTATCCGAGAATAGTTAGAGACTGGCTGGACGAAAATTATCCAGAAAGATGGATCGGCCGTGGAGGACCAGTCGCCTGGCCTCCACGATCCCCTGACCTAAATCCATTAGATTTCTTAGTGTGGGGATTTCTAAAAGAAAAAGTGTACCAGACTCCCGTAACCACAAGAGATATGCATGTGATGAAATAAGGCCTTATTAGAATAATGCTATACCACGTTCGATCATTCGTAGATGTGAATTGTGTATTGAACAATTGGGTTTACATTTCGAGCAACTACTTTAGACTTTGTATGTTTGTCCTAACTATCCAATAGCATTTTAGTTGTAAATGATTAATTTAATTTGTTAAAAATAATATTGGAAAATTAAACAAATTAATATTCTGTTTTTTGTGTTTATTTGGAGTTAGGAATTATTGCTGTGTTTAAAAACGCAATCTAAACGATCATCTTAATCACTTGTAATGCCCAAATCGAAAATGTAAAAAAATATTATTTTCCCATAAATAATTAAAAATGCATCGAACCTTAAAAATTTAAATATTTCAAAAACGGCTAACTATAACGAAAACTCACAGGAGAGCTTTTTTATGTTGAAAAGTGCGAAGAATCAGTTTTTTTATTCAAAAAGCAAAAAATTGCACTAAGATAATTTTTTCGGTCATTTTAATACACAACAGGTATAGTCGAGAGCGCCCTCTAGCGGCTACACTAAAACTATGCCCATGGTTCGTTTTGTCGTACCAAATAACCCTTGTATACCAATTTTCACTGTTATACATCAAATATTGTTCGAAATATTTAAAAAAAACTATTTTAGAAAGTAAATTTAAACGGAAGCCACGCATTTTTCGACCCATGTTTATATAGCCTTTATGCAATAATTTTAAAAGTTCTATCGAATCTTAAAGTTATGCAACAATAAACTGAAACACCCTGTGTAAAGCTGGGAATATTCCTGGATAATGACGGGATTATTAATTCAATATTTCTTTTGTTTCAGGAGCAACAAGAGATATAGGAACCGCTCTCACGAGGATATGCCTAAGACACAAAGCGGTCGAAAACAGAATGAAGAATTTCACAAGGTAACGTACCTATACTCTACAATTCATTTATCATTCTGAGGAAATTAGTTCGAATTGATGAAAAAATCAGCGCAGCTTTTCAGAATCTAGCACTTGACCACATCTGGTAACAATAGAGGCTAAGGCAATGTTACCGGGTCTACCGATGTTTCGGTAGATCTATCGATTTCAATGCGAAATCTACCGAAAAAATTGTCAAATTCCTAAGTAGTATACCTCTCAACGAAACACACATAATCAGATCCATTTGCCTGAAGGTAGCCAATGGTATACAGTATTCCGGCATCCAGATCACAACGAGAAAACTGAAATTAATAGTCAATGAAATACCATCAAGTTGAGTGGATTTTAAAAAATTATAGAAAAAAACTACAAAGCATAGGGAACATAATTTATATACTAAGTGACATATAAATCCGAACACCCAGTTTATATGGTTTTATTTTAATAAAATTTTGTATAAGTACTTAATGAAGCATAATAAGTAAATGATAAACATTTCAAAATGATTGCACTGCTTTAAAGCCCTTTGACCTTTAATAATGTGTGGATGCACCCTGATGTGCTACGCATTCTCCAACGCGCCTAGGCATGCTTCTGATCAGGTGGTCAATGTCCTCCTGTGGTATCTCATTCCAGGCAACCACCAACTCCTCTCGAAGTGCTTCTAGAGTCTGAGGAGGACGTTGCAATTTGAGCAATCTCCTACCCATCATATCCCACACGTGCTCAATTGGGGATAAGTCGGGAGATCTTGGTGGCCATGGTAACAATGTGACTTCATTATGTTAAAAGAAGTCGATTGTGACTCTTGCAACATGTGGTCGGGCATTATCTTGTTGGAAAGTTGGATCTGCCAGGGTGTCAAGATAGGGTAAAAGATGGGGTTCTAGAACTTCGTTGATATAACGCTGCGCGTTCATGTTACCTCTGATGAAGATTAAATGTGACCTGGAACCATAAGCTATAGCACCCCAAACCATAACTCCAACAGTGTGATGAACATGTCTTTCAACAAAAAACTGTGGATTCCTCCTTTCACCACGTCGCCTTCTAACCCTGTCACGACCATCGTGCATGCCTAAACAAAATCGAGACTCGTCACTAAAGACAATACTGTTCCATTCCTGATCCCAGAGTGACCGTTGTCTGCACCACTCAAGGCGATTACGTCGGTGTTCTCGAGTTAAAGGGAGGACCCAGTGTGGCCGGTATGAAAACAAGCCAAAACTTCTCATTCGTCGGTAAACACTTCGCATGCCAATAGGTCTTCCGTGTTCTGCAAACCATTCATTTGCAATGGACCTGGTAGTGGAGGAACGGTCCCTTAAGGCCAATAATCTTAGGCGGCGATCTTCACGGTCTGTTGTTCTACGGCGGCGTCCAGTGTCCCTTGCTCTTTGCGTACGGCCTTCTCGAAGCCATGCCTGACAACACCTAACCACAGTGTCTACACTTCTTTGCACTCTAACTGCAATTGCCCGAAAAGAAAGTCCAGCTTCCAGAAGTCCCACTATACGGCCCCTATCAAACTCACTAAGTTGACGAAATCGTACAGGTCTCCGTACTCTAGGCATCGTAACCGATCGTAAAGGATGTCAAGAACCAAAATCCGCCAACGTTGATTCTTTACTGCGGCTGAAATATATTCATTTTTAGAGCGTTAGTGAATTAAAAAAAAGCAGTATAAAAACCGGAATGTCCAACTGATAAGGCTGAACATTTTTTCACTTGTTATTTACAGTAAGATAAATACATTCACCAACTTTTATTAAAATAAAACCATTTAAACTGGGTGTTCGGATTTATATGTCACTTAGTATAACATCATTGTGACGTACGAATCTCGACTTTAAATTCGTGAAAACTCACTAGCAATCGTTGTCGGTTTATTGGTGGAAACGCGGCTCTTGAGGTATCCAGATAGGAAAAATCCAATGGCGTGAGATCTGGGCTCCGAGGAGGCCACTGAATGTCCCCTCTTCGCGATATCAGTTTTCCGCTAAAAAAAATTTCATTAACTCGTCGGTATGGGATGTTGCGCCGTCTTGTCGACACCAGTTCCTGCGATGGTAGGCTTCAAAATTATGGAGTTGTGAAAAGAAAAAGCTACGTAGCATTGCTGTGTAGGGATTAGAATTTACTTTTACAGTCTGGCGTTGACCGTTTTCGAAGAAAAAGGGTCCGATGATTCCTTCAGCCGATATGGCCGTCCAAACTGTAACGTAACGCGAATGCAAAGGTCGTTGGTGTTTTAATTTGGGATTTTCTGCGTACAATACCCTGAAGCTACGTTTACGCGATCACCGAAGAAGGACTGCAATCGATGGATATTGACGTTGGTTGTGTGGCATGTTGCACCGTCTTGTTGGAAATAAACATCGTCCATATCCATTCCTTCAAGTTGCGGCAAAAAATAGTCCTCTATCATCACGAGATATCGCTCAGAATTGACGGTAACGGCGTCCCCGGCCGCATTTTCGAAAAAGTAAGATCCGATGATGCCTTTTGACCACAATGCACACCACACAGTCACTTTTTGAGGACGCATCGGCTGCTCTTGATACTCACGGGGATTTTCGTTCGCCCAGATGCGGCAGTTTTGCTTGTTTACCGTCCCATTCAAAGTGAAACGCGCTTCGTCGCTGAACATGATTTTTGATGAAAAATTGGCATCAATTTGGCGGTGTTCAAGGAGCCAATCTGAGAACGTTCGGCGCGAAAAATGGTCGGCCCGACGCAGCTCTTGCGTCAATTGGATCTTGTAGGCGTGTACATTCAAATCCTTATGGAGAATGCGGAGCAAACTGGTTCTCGAAATGTCCAATTCTTGGGATCGACGCGTTGTTGATTGTTTCGGATCGTCTCTCACACTCTCCTTCACAACAGCAATATTTTCCGGTGTGCGAACGCTCCTTGGCCGGCCAGAGCCTGGCAGATTTGCCACAGAACCTGTTGCCTCGAATTTACGCACCAGACGACCGATGGTTGTTTCGTTTGGGCGGTTGTTGCGACCGAAATGTTCACGAAGCGCGCGAAACGTGTTTTTTATTTTTGCACCATTTTTGTAGTGCTCTTGAATAACTTTAATGCGGTATTCAATCGAATACGACTCCATAGCGATCAATGGTAAACATTCAACTAACAAAATGACATGTCGGTGACAGAAAACAAAGATGGCGTCTATGTCAAATTGACGTTTACTTTCCTGCGTCCCTATTGGACAACCCTATATTATTGTAAATTTCAGATATTTGCAGATGACTCCATTAATACACATATCAGATGAAAATATAGACACTGCTTTAAAAATGCTAAATTCTGACTTCTGACAAAAATCGTAAACTGGTTAAATGTAAATAAACTTAAATTGAATACTTCTAAAACAAAATGTGTGCTAATAGAGAAATACCTAAATGAAAATACTACTATCACAGTTAGGATAAAAGGAGACATAATTGAAACCGTTGAATCAATTAAATATTTAGGTATATATATATATATTGACAGTAAACTAAAGTTATAAATACATTATTTCAAAAATTGCCAAAAAACAAATTACTTTTGTAGGGTGTCTCATAGTCTTGGTACATATTCCAAGAAAATAGTTTATAATACAGTTATTCTACTGTATTGTTCAACTATCTTGTTCACTGCCAATGAAGCTGTATTCTCAAAATTACAAGTCTTGCAAAATAAAGCTATGCGAATAATATTGAATAAAAATAAGTACAAAAAAATAAAATCTATGTTACAAGAATCGCAGTGGTTGAATATAAAAAATTTCAAATATTTGGTTCTTATTTTTATATTTAGAATAAAAAATCATCTTTTGCCAGAACATTTAAAACATAGAATTGAATTATCATTACCACAATTATTATACAAGAGGAAATATAGATTTTCATTTACAAAATTGCAATAGCGATATAACTAGCAAATCAATATATCAGAAAGGATTACTTGAATTTAATAGACTAAATAACGATATAAAGTAATTCAAAGATATTTAAAAGAAAATTAAAGGAATATTTCATGGACAATGAAAATTCTTAGAGATGCAAATTTTCTTTTTTTTTCTAAATATGTATATGTTATGTAATTGTTTAGTTTTTTAGAAGAATGTCATTGTAGCAATCATGCTAAATAAATCTTAAACAAAAAAAAACAAACAAATACGATGTCTATTTTTTTATATCTTCTGACATCGTTAAAGTGCACCACCGCCAAAATTACATTCTTGTGTTTTTTTTTCAGCGTTATTATGGAATGCCTGATATTGCCACTACAAGACAAACTAGAAGAATGGAAGAAGGCTGTTATAAACCTAGACAAAGAACATGCAAAAGGTAAATAATTCAATTTTTATATTTTTTGATAGTTAACGATTTTATGGTTCCATCGGATTACTTCGTTCTATGATCTTCCTTTTTAGTCGAAAATGTATTTTACGAATACCGAAATAATTATCAGCCTCAGTGGCAGAGCACTGGTCTTGTAAACCAGTAGTCGTGAGTTCAATCCTCACAGCAGGCAGATTGTGGTATACTTTTTTTTTGTTATTTTACACGTCTTTATTAGCTTGACCTGCATGTATGTATGTAAAGGGATCCTTTGAGCATAATTTTCACCAATTTCCAGGAGTTTGATTAAAATTCCCACAAAAAACTAATTGATAAATCGAACTAAAAAATGAAAAATAAATAATAGTTTAAAAAACTAAAAAAACACGCTTTTATAGCTAACCGAACTAAAAGTTTTTTTAAACTATTATTTATTATGATATCCTTGAAAATTGAACAATACGTTTTTGATGTGACAACAATATATTTGGACTTATCTTGTACATTTCCTTCATCTTTTGCTTGAAGAAAAAGCTACATTGTGAATCGCTTGAAATTACCAGAATTGCTAAAGGAACTACACTAATATACGATTTCTCATTTCATAAAGATTACAAACGGGCCCGCACGGAACTGAAAAAGCGATCTACGGACACTCTGAGGCTACAGAAGAAAATGCGTAAAGGAGCGGGCGGTAGCGACGTACAGAAAAGGTTCGAATGTGGGCTTCAAGACGTCACGGAAAGGAGACAGTTATTGGAAGAGACTGAAAAGCATGCTGTCAGGGCGGCACTGCTAGAGGAGAGGGGGCGGTTTTGCACTTTTGTTAGTTTGCTCAAACCAGTTGTGGTATGTATCAGTATAAGCTGCTTTTTAAGGTTTGCTACAAAATACTCTAAAATATTAAAATAAAGATACTAGGAGTAATAAGACGGACTCCGTGCTGGGTTAAAGTTTTGTGGAGTTTTGAATTTTATTGTTGGAGTTTAACAGACTTGAAAAGAGCTACTTTTTACTGTTATAATATTTGAAGCTTTGTCAGTTTCACATGTGGCCGTTAGATGGCTTTTTTCGACATACCGACAGAAATGGTTAATTTTCTCAAAAAAATTACATGCATTGATATGATTTTTTTTTCACGAAAAAGAAGCCAAATGATGTTTAAATAAGCTCGCGAAAACCGCATCTCGATATCTTATTCCTAACCTAAAATTTAGGCCAAAGAAAATTTTATACGAAAATCCCCTAATTTTTTTTAAACTATTTTTTCTGGAATTACTTTTTATTATTAAGTTGTGACCCTACAAAGGACCGAATCAAAAAATAAAGTATCTTAATGCCCCGTGAATGCTCGAAATGCTGACTATCAAACAGACAAAAAAAAATAGCTTAAAAAATTTAAGGGATTTCCGTATAAAATTCTCATTGACCTGAATTTTAGGTTGAGTACAAAATATCAAGATGCATTTGTAGCCCATGAATAGCTCTTTTCAACTAGCCCAAGTTCGTTAAAATCGCCTCAGCCGTTTCGAAGATACATGGTGTTTTTTACGGAAACCTATAAATACCCCCCACCACTTTATTTTTAGAGACACAGCAAAAATTGTTTAACAAAAAATGTTCAGATTATCCTAGAATTTAAAGATCAGGTATTTTTTTAGGCTAATATAACGGAATTCGCAGCAACATCACTTTTTTGGACTCAAAATTGCAGTTACGCCCCCTAGCGGTCATTTCAGAAACTCGAAAATATTTTCCAGGTTTGTCTCTTGGCCGTTTTAGCAATAACTGTTTTTACCGCAACCGTCTATGCTAGATATATTCCCAGATACCTCGCATTCTTAGTTGGCCACCCTGTACAAATAGCTTGCCACGCCTTCATATTTTTTTTATTATACAAAGTTGGGGTTTACCTAATATGTGGTGAAACGTGAGCGAACAAGTAAAAAAAATGAAAATGTACTCACTGTTCAGTCGATTTGAAATTCCAAGTACGGCTCTGTCGTAAAATCCTTATTTACATCGTCGTCGTACGTCGTATAACTGTACGCTGGCGCTGTGGACGTGATCGAGGGATAGGACAGGACCGGCTTCGGTTTGGTTCAGGTTTGCCTAGGCGAGTATCTCGGTTCTGTTAAGACATTTGTGTATATGCACTTTTGTTAGTTTGCTCGAACCAGTTGTGGTATGTATCAGTATAAGCTGCTTTTTAAGGTTTGCTACAAGATATTAAAAATACAGTAAAATAGAAAATTAAAGATGCTAGGAGTTATAAGACGGCCTCAATGGTGGGTTAAAGTTTTGTGGAGTTTTGAATTTTATTGTTGGAGTTTAACAGACTTGAAAAAAGCTCCTTTTTTTCTACAAATGTTATAATATTTGAAGGTTTGTTAGTTTCACATCTGGCCGTTAGATGGCTTTTTTCGACATACCGACAGAAATGGTTAATTTCCGCAAAAAAATTAAATGCATTGGTATGATTTTTTTTTCATGAAAAAGTAGCCAAATGATGTCTAAACAAGCTCGTGAAAACCGCATCTCGATATCTGGTTCCTAACCTAAAATTTAGGCCAAAGAAAGTTTTATACGGAAAGAATTTTTTTTTTAACTATTTTTTTCTGGTATTACTTTTTATTAAGTTGTGACCCTACAAAGGACCGAATCAAAAAATAAAGTATCTTAATGCCCCGTGAATGCTCGAAATGCTGACTATCAAACAGACAAAAAAAATAGCTTAAAAAAAATTAAGGGATTTCCGTATAAAATTCTCATTGACCTGAATTTTAGGTTAAGTACAAAATATCAAGATGCATTTGTAGCCCATGAATAGCTCTTTTCAACTAGCCCAAGTTCGTTAAAATCGCCTCAGCCGTTTCGAAAATACACGGTGTTTTTTACGGAAACCTATAAATACCCCCCACCACTTTATTTTTAGAGACACAGCAAAAATTGTTTAACAAAAAATGTTCAGATTATCCTAGAATTTAAAGATCATTAATTTTTTAGGCTAATATAGCGGAATTCACAGCAACATCGCTTTTTTAGACGCAAAATTGCAGTTACGCGCCCTAGCGGTCATTTCAGAAACTTGAAAATATTTTCCGGGTTTTTCTCTTGGCCGTTTTAGCAATAACTGTTTTTTCCGCAACCCTCTACGCTGGATATATGCCCAGATACCTCGCATTCTTAGTTGGCCACCCTGTACAAATAGCTTGCTACGCCTTCATATTTTTTTTTATTATACAAAGTTAGGATTACCTAATGTGTAGTGAAACGTGAGCGAACAAGTAAAAAAAAAATGAAAAAGTACTCACTGTTCAGTCGATTTGAAATTCCAAGTACGGCTCTGTCGTAAAATCCTTATAACTGTACGCTGGCGCTGTGGACGTGATCGAGGGATAGGACAGGACCGGCTTCGGTTTGGTTCAGGTTTGCCTAGGCGAATATCTCGGTTCTGTTAAGACATTTGTGTATATGCACTTTTGTTAGTTTGCTCAAACCAGTTGTGGTATGTATCAGTACAAACTGCTTTTAAAGGTTTGCTACAAAATACTCTAAAATATAAAAATAAAGATACTGGGAGTAATAAGACGGACTCCGTGCTGGGTTAAAGTTTTGTGGAGTTTTGAATTTTATTGTTGGAGTTTAACAGACTTGAAAAGAGCTACTTTTTACTGTTATAATATTTGAAGCTTTGTCAGTTTCACATGTGGCCGTTAGATGGCTTTTTTCGACATACCGACAGAAATGGTTAATTTCCGCAAAAAATTGAATGCATTGGTATGATTTTTTTTATCATCAAAAGTAGCCAAATGATGTCTAAACAAGCTCGTGAAAACCGCATCTCGATTTCTGGTTCCTAACCTAAAATTTAGGCCAAAGAAAATTTTATACGGAAATATTTTTTTTAAACTATTTTTTTCTGGTATTACTTTTTATTATTAAGTTGTGACCCTACAAAGGACCGAATCAAAAAATAAAGTATCTTAATGCCCCGTGAATGCTCGAAATGCTGACCATCAAACAGACAGAAAAATGAGCTTAAAAAAATAAAAACTTAAGGGATTTCTGTATAAAATTTTCTTTGGCCTGAATTTTAGGTTAGGAACAGGATATCAAGATGCATTTGTAGCCCATGAATAGCTCTTTTCAACTAGCCCAAGTCCGTTAAAATCGCCTCCGCCGTTTCGAAGATACGGGGTGTTTTTTACGGAAACCTATAAATACCCCCCACCACTTTATTTTAGAGACACAGCAAAAATTGTTTAACAAAAAAGGTTCAGATTATCCTAGAATTTAAAGATCAGGTATTTTTTTAGGCTAATATAGCCGAATTCACAGCAACATCACTTTTTTAGACTCAAAATTGCAGTTACACCCCCTAGCGGTCATTTCAGAAACTTGAAAATATTTTCCGGGTTTTTCTCTTGGCCGTTTTAGTAATAACTGTTTTTGCCGCAACCCTCTACGCCGGATATATTCCCAGATATCTCGCATTCTTACTTGGCCACCCTCTACAAATAGCTTGCTACGCCTTCATATAATGTGTGGTGAAACGTGAGCGAACAAGTAAAAAAAAAAAAAATGAAAAAGTACTCACTGTCCAGTCGATTTGAAATTCCAAGTACGGCTCTGTCGTAAAATCCGTATTTACATCGTAGTCGTACGTCGTATAACTGTACGCTGGCGCTGTGGACGTGATCGAGGGATAGGACAGGACCGGCTTCGGTTTGGTTCAGGTTTGCCTAGCCGAATATCTCGGTTCTGTTAAGACATTTATGTATATGCTACTAAGAAAATCCGCTTATTTTCTCAATATCTACACGTCGTGTAAAGGAAAACCCAACTTTGCTTACACCCTGTATGGAGCCGTTCAGAAGTTATTTAGGGGCATGATTCCAGTGGCGTTCTTTAAAGACCTGATTCATTGCTGAGGGGCTTTTCAAAACATCCTTTTATGGGAGTTTAACACTTTCTTTTTGCTCTAGCTGAGGAGTGATTCTTTCATTCTGTGATTACTCTGTTACAAAGCAAGATAATAACGAACTAATTAAACTAAATATTTAAAATATCAATGAAGTAAAAATAGTTTAAAGTCAATTGTCTCAATACAATGATTTTGTTACAAGTCACCTTTATCTACTTGTGTCTTCGATTGGTTCCGTATAGGATGAAGAGGTAGCGATGCTCACCGAAATGGGACACCTACAAGAAGCTGTCCAGCAGCTGGAAAAGCACGCAGCTGACCCTCACACTCTTCCGCCAGCTTCAGAACAAGTTATCGCCGACCTCAAAAGCGGAGAGGGTGGATGGTGTTTCCAAGTGGTAAGCAGTTTTTTGAGCCTAGAACTCAGGACCTGTCACTTCTGTAATTTGACAGCCCCAACAGTTTTTCGATTTGACGCGAAAAGTATCCAGGCCTTACATATTACGAGGTATTTTAGACGATTAATTATGAAAAGGCTTTACAGTGTGGACATATGGGAGTAACAGGAGGTTGTCAAATATCGTTCTTAAGGAAGAAGGTGATATATGATCTGAGGACCCCTAACTTCAAGACTTCCTTAATTAACTTGTCAAGGAAGGTCTACCTAATAAAGAGGCCTCAAGTTGCTGAACATTTTTAAGAAACATATTTGATAGCTCCGTCGTTACATAAGGAGGTCTCAGTGAAGACAAGGCTCTTCGGATCAGCGATTTATAATAATAGAAAATTATAAAATAATAATGGTTTGGCGGATATTGTTATAAATCTACGTTTTGATAAAAAATACATGTATGCTGCAATTCAATTTCTTCAACTGAAATACCTTTCGTATCACCATGTCAGGAATATTTTAGGTATAACGTTATTTATACTTTTTTTTTAAAAAAAAACGTCTGTTTTTTATGTTTGACCGAAACGGAGCGTGTAAAGCATTGGTCGTATTACAGTGTTTATGATGTAGCAAAAAAAGTTTTTTCGCAAGGTGTCTAATTTGTTTGATTTGTCGAAATTTTTTTTACGATTTATTTTCGATGTTCTTCCGCTTTGGTATAGGAAATACGCTGTCTCGAGTTCACGTTTCCCATTAAACTATTTAAAAATAGACTGTCAGCTCGGAAACGATCTTTAATTAGATTGGAGACAAATATCCTTGAATAAGACACTACTTTTTTAAATTAGTCTGTTAATTTATAAACAGAAGTCTAACTTGGGAGCGGAGTAATTTAATCTTTTTAAGATGAAGATATGTACAACATAATTTTATCGATCTTTCAAACTTCCAGCATTCAAGCATTTACGAATGGATTTATATGGTAAATTGTACATACTTTTATTTCAGCTAGAGCTTTGTATTTGTAGCCAAATTTTGCATAATTTTTCTCCCATATAAAAATCATAGGAAATAATATGCACAACTTACAAGTGCCTAGAGAGGATAAAGTAGGAGCTAGTAATTCAGTAAGCTGCTTGAACATTTCAAAACAAAACAAGGCATAATATGGGGATTACTTACAGAAACCAGTACTGTTTGAATATCTGGTTCTGCATAATTTTTCTCCTATATGAAAATCAAAGGAAATAATATGCACAACTTACAGGTGCCTAGAGAGGTTAAAGTAGGAGCTAGTAATTCAGCAAGCTGTTTGAACATTTCAAAACAAAACAAGGCATAATATGGGGATTACTTACAGAAACCAGTACTGTTTGAATATCTGGTTCTGCATAATTTTTCTCCTATATAAAAATCAAAGGAAATAATATGCACAACTTACAAGTGCCTAGAGAGGATAAAGTAGGAGCTAGTAATTCAGTAAGCTGCTTGAACATTTCAAAACAAAACAAGGCGTAATATGGGGATTACTTACAGAAACCAGTACTGTTTGAATATCTGGTTCTGCATAATTTTTCTCCTATAAAAACTCAAAGGAAATAATATGCAGAACTTACAAGTGCCTAGAGAGGATAAAGTAGGAGTTAGTAATTCAGTAAGCTGCTTGAACATTTCAAAACAAAACAAGGCATAATATGGGGATTACTTACAGAAACCAGTACTGTTTGAATATCTGGTTCTGCATAATTTTTCTCCTATATAAAAATCAAAGGAAATAATATGCACAACTTACAAGTGCCTAGAGAGGATAAAGTAGGAGCTAGTAATTCAGCAAGCTGTTTGAACATTTCAAAACAAAACAAGGCATAATATGGGGATTACTTACAGAAACCAGTACTGTTTGAATATCTGGTTCTGCATAATTTTTCTCCTATATGAAAATCAAAGGAAATAATATGCACAACTTACAAGTGCCTAGAGAGGATAAAGTAGGAGCTAGTAATTCAGCAAGCTGTTTGAACATTTCAAAACAAAACAAGGCATAATATGGGGATTACTTACAGAAACCAGTACTGTTTGAATATCTGGTTCTGCATAATTTTTCTCCTATATAAAAATCAAAGGAAATAATATGCCTAGAGAGGTTAAAGTAGGAGCTAGTAATTCAGTAAGCTGTTCGAACTTTTCAAAACAAAACAAGGCATAATATGGGGATTACTTACAGAAACCAGTACTGTTTGAATATCTGGTTCTGCATAATTTTTCTCCTATATAAAAATCAAAGGAAATAATATGCACAACTTACAAGTGCCTAGAGAGGTTAAAGTAGGAGCTAGTAATTCAGTAAGCTGTTCGAACTTTTCAAAACAAAACAAGGCATAATATGGGGATTACTTACAGAAACCAGTACTGTTTGAATATCTGGTTCTGCATAATTTTTCTATTATATAAAAATCAAAGGAAATAATATGCACAACTTACAAGTGCCTAGAGAGGTTAAAGTAGGAGCTAGTAATTCAGTAAGCTGTTTGAACATTTCAAAACAAAACAAGGCATAATATGGGGATTACTTACAGAAACCAGTACTGTTTGAATATCTGGTTCTGCATAATTTTGTCCCATATGAAAATCAAAGGAAATAATATGCACAACTTACAAGTGCCTAGAGAAGATAAAGTAGGAGCTAGTAATTCAGCAAGCTGTTTGAACATTTCAAAACAAAACAAGGCATAATATGGGGATTACTTACAGAAACCAGTACTGTTTGAATATCTGGTTCTGCATAATTTTTCGCCCATACGAAAATCAAAGGAAATAATATGCACAACTTACAAGTGCCTAGAGAAGATAAAGTAGGAGCTAGTAATTCAGCAAGCTGTTCGAACTTTTCAAAACAAAACAAGGCATAATATGGGGATTACTTACAGAAACCAGTACTGTTTGAATATCTGGTTCTGCATAATTTTTCTCCCTTATGAAAATCAAAGGAAATAATATGCACAACTTACAAGTGCCTAGAGAAGATAAAGTAGGAGCTAGTAATTCAGCAAGGTGTTTGAACATTTCAAAACAGAACAAGGCCATAATATGGGGATTACTTACAGAAACCAGTACTGTTTGAATATCTGGTTCTGCATAATTTTTCGCCCATATGAAAATCAAAGGAAATAATATGCACAACTTACAAGTGCCTAGAGAAGATAAAGTAGGAGCTAGTAATTCAGCAAGCTGTTTGAACATTTCAAAACAAAACAAGGCATAATATGGGGATTACTTACAGAAACCAGTACTGTTTGAATATCTGGTTCTGCATAATTTTTCTCCTATATAAAAATCAAAGGAAATAATATGCACAACTTACAAGTGCCTAGAGAGGATAAAGTAGGAGCTAGTAATTCAGTAAGCTGTTCGAACATTTCAAAACAGAACAAGGCATAATATGGGGATTACTTACAGAAACCAGTACTGTTTGAATATCTGGTTCTTTAAGTAGCAAGGAGCAATATTTATATGCTTTTAGTAAGAAATTGTATATTCTTCTTTCATATTTTTGATCCTCTAATAGTTGCTTTTCTTTGCTTAGACGCCACCATCTTCACCATCTAGTTTAGGATCAAGAAAATCATCGATGTGTTCCATAAGTTCGATAAATAGCTCGTCTTCAAGTAGTTCCAAAAGCCATCATTCACCCAGCCATCCTTGGCAAAGGTCACTTTCACAGGTATGAAATGTTTTTAAATCTATATTTTGCGTTACTCTCACTATATTTGCACGAATTTGTTACAGTTAGTTTGGTGCAGTTTGTATAGCTTTCCATGTTTGAATGATTAGCTGTTTTTATTTAGTTTATGAAAGTATTGTGCCTTCAGCAGTTCATTATGTTTTATTTCAAGACTTGGACGAAGCACCTTGACTTTGTCTAAAGAAAATCTGCTGATTGTGGCAATATTGTATATGTTTTTTATTTTATTTACTTATTTGATTTTCGTTATTTTTTGTTTGTTTTTATTTAGCCTGTAGGTCGTAGTGGTACAATGCGTGCTAGGTCAGTGTCCAGTCAAGATTCTGGATTTATTTCACAAGATACTCTTTATCCTAGACCTCCGTCATCGTTCAGTGTTACACAGGTGAGATCTTTGTAGAAGTGTGTCACTTTTATTCAGCTGTTAATATCGAGGGTGTCCGGTAAATAGTACGACAAAAAAATTGGGAAGATAGGCGAAAGGCAGATCTACAACATACCAAAAAATGACCCCAGTAAAAGTTTCACTGTTTTTGAGATATTAATTTTTTTGACTCTTTCAAAAAATTTCCTCGTTTGATCCATCTTTTGTTGCTGATGAAGCTGGTAATTTATCGCAGTGCTTTGCAGTAGCAGTCTTGTATAATTTTATTTCATTGTGAGTAAAATAGTTGTCTAAAATAAAAATTACGAAGAAGGAATTAATTTGTCAAGTTTACCTACTTGTATTTATAGAAAATGATGATGACCAACAATCTAAGAATATTTTGCAAAAAAAAACAAACAGGTATCCTGTTATTTCTAGGCACCGTAACAAAAGATAGATTAAAAAAAGGGAAAAAACTAATATCTCAAAAACAGTGAAACTTTTACTAGGGTCATTTTTTGTATGTTGTAGATCTGCCCTTCGCCCATGGTCCCTATTTTTTTTTTGTCGTACTATTTACCCTGTATACAATTATTCTTCGAAATTTCTTGTATTATACAGGGTGTTTCAGTTTATTGTTGCATAACTTTAAGATTCGATAGAACTTTTAAAATTAATGCATAAAGTCTATATAAACATGGGTCGAAAAATGCGTGGCTTCCGGAATACCCTGTATGTTTAAAATTACTTTTTAAAATAGTTTTTTTTAAATATTTCGAACAATATTTGATGTATAACAGTGAAAGTTGGTATACAAGGGTTTTTTGGTACGACAAAACGAACTATGGGCATAGTTTTACTGTAGTCGCTAGAGGGCGCTCTCTACTGTACCTGTAGAGTATTAAAATGACCGAAACATTTTTCTTAGTGCAATTTTTTGCTTTTTGAATAAAAAATTGATTCTTCGCACTTTTCAACATAAAAAAGCTCTCTTGTGAATTTTCGTTATAGTTAGCCATTTTTTGGGATATTTCGATTTTTAAGGTTCGATGCATTTTTAATTATTTATGATAAAATAACGTTAAAAAGTCAGTATCTCGTTAATTTTTATAAGTAGGCTGTGCTTGCAAATATTTTTGAAATTGAAAGCAGAATAAGGTTAAACGTCAATTAATTGACAGTTAGTTTTGTTGTCTGTTGAAACCTGAAACGTTTTTTTACTTACGACTATTTGGACCCTACCTTTTGCCTGCAAGGTTAAATGCTGCGACCTTCTTGGAATTTTTAAAGGCTGAACATGCAAATATTTGGGATGATGTTATGTTAGATTTAAGAAGATTGGCCTGGTTCCAGCTTGATGGTTGTCCAGCTCATTATTCGAGAATAGTTAGAAACTGGCTAGACAAAAATTATCCAGAAAGATGGATCGGCCAGTCGCCTGGCCTCCACGATCCCCTGACCTAAATCCATTATATTTCTTTGTGTGGGGATTTCTAAAAAACAAAAAGTGTACCAGAGTCCCGTAACCACAAGAGATATGCTAATAGACAGAATCAGGAATGCATGTGATGAAATAAGGCCTTATTTGAATAATGCTATACCACGTTCGATCATTCGTAGATGTGAATTGTGTATTGAACAATTGGGTTTACATTTCGAGCAACTACTTTAGATTTTGTATGTTTGTCCTAACTATCCAATAGCATTTTAGTTGTAAATAATTAATTTAATTTGTTAAAAATAATATTGGAAAATTAAACAAATTAATATTCTGTTTTTTGTGTTTATTTGGAGTTACGAATTATTGCTGTGTTTAAAAACACAATCTAAACGATCATCTTAATTACTTGTAATGCCCAAATCGAAAATGTAAAAAAATATTATTTTCCCATAAATAATTAAAAATGCATCGAACCTTAAAAATCGAAATATCTCAAAAACGGCTAACTATAACGAAAACTCACAGGAGTGCCTTTTTATGCAGAAAAGTGCGAAGAATCAGTATTTTATTCAAAAAGCAAACAATTGCACTAGGAAAAATTTTTCGGTAATTTTAATACACTACAGGTACAGTAGAGAGCGCCCTCTAGCGGCTACAGTAAAACTATGCCCATGGTTCGTTTTGTCGTACCAAAAAACCCTTGTATACCAATTTTCACTGTTATACATCAAATATTGTTCGAAATATTTAAAAAAAAACTATTTTTAAAAGTAAATTTAAACACCCTGTATTTCGGAAGCCAGACATTTTTCGACCCATGTTTATATAGACTTTATGCATTAACTTCAAAAGTTCTATCGAATCTTAAAGTTATGCAACAATAAACTGAAACACCCTGTATAATAATTCCATTTTTGAAAGACTGCAAACCGTTGTATTTCAAGGTTTTTTTCTGGCGCCCTTAGTTTTCTAATTACTTGGATGTGTCCGTACCGTGTATGGAACTGCTTTTTGCTTTATTGTACGCCACCCAATTTTATAATTTATGTATATGAACCAGGTTTCATCGTTATTTAGACCAGTATCATACAATGACCGAGACGCGTGTCGATACCAGAAAGAAGCAGAAAAAAACGTAAAAAGACACTATAAGTTTGTCGTGAACTATACCGATACTAATCTAGGTGAAGTTGCAGGTATCGAATATGTCCGAGCACAGCCAGAACAGCAGCAGTTCCAGCACGCCGTGCACCCCGTACCCGGCGGCCCCCACCACCACGGCCACGTGGCCTAACCTCCAAGAGACTATGCAGTTTGAAAGGGCGGCTACAGCGATCATCAGCGACCGCCCGCACACCATATCTTCAGGTATTTGCGTTTTTTAACTGTCTTGGGCGCCCGTAGATAGAGGAGGGGCCTGTTGCCTCCTAAACATCCGGTTGAACCTTAAAATTGGCATATTCGGTATGATTTTGTGTACAATTTTGACGATTTTTAGGATTTGGCCCCTCTGAATAAAGGATGATGCAAATGTCCACCTCCAATAGCTACGTGTAGTGCGACATTAGGTAGGCGTTAATTATGGCGCCTAGTTTCAAATATTGGTCCATTCGTAATTACTTAGTACGTTATAGAAATTAGTTATAGCAACAGTCAAAATATTGTTTACATCCTGTATACTATTTTTCACTAGTATCCATCACATTTTTCGGCATTACTTGTGTTTCTCTTTTGGTTTTTGCTTTCGTTTAGCATAGCCTTTTGAAATGTAGAAAACTGGGTCACCAGTCACAAAAAATTGTCAGTTATGTCACCGATCTATTTCGAACCGTTGATCTCCGAGAAAGGACCCTGGATCAGCAGCCTTCAGTTCAGAACGTTCCCCAATAATCTCCAACTGTTTTCAGAAAGATGGCAATATAATAAATTCGGCCTCAAAACCACCTAACTCTGTTCTTATACCAGGAGCAATGTCAATCCAATGAACTCTACCGAGGGTATATACGAGTATATATATATATATATATATATATATATATATATATATCTTGAGACGTGGTCATTGTCGTCTAAACCAGTTAGGTGAAAAATTAAAGCTTCCGCCTTTTGTTGGGTACTTCGACAAAATTTAAGCAAAGAGGACTCTTTATACTGTTTTTAATTCTCTCTAGCTTTCAATGGACTTTGCCATCATCATCAGGAGAGTAGTATGTGAGGATGTTGCTAATTGTTGTTTTCGTATAGGATGAGGGAAACGTCCAGTAACATGGTGAGAGCTGGATACATGGTACAATGGTTCAAATTATATAAAATATGACAAGACAAGTTAAAGACAGATTAAAAATTATTTAGAAAAACTGGACGTTTCCCTCAGCCTATACGAAAACAACAATTAGCAACATCCTCACATACTACTCTCCTGATGATGATGGCAAGGTCCATTGAAAGCTAGAGAGAATTAAAAAAAGTATAGAGTCCTCTTTGATTAAATTTTGTCGAAGTACCCAACAAAAGGCGGAAGCTTTAATTTTTCACCTATATATATATATACGCGAGCAGTAGTCATTGTCAACAACCAGTTGGGCAAAAAATACAATTAAATTGTTTATTGGGAATTGGGAAAACTTAAAGCTTAGTGAACGCTTTTTACGGTAATCTCGAGCTTTCGGCAAACTATGTTGTCATCTTCAGGAGCTAAAACGCAATTATGAAAATGGCTACCAATTTAGAACAGATTTAAATTTTCAAATTTGTTACTCGTCCGTGAGGTTGCAGCTAAATCGTATTTTAAAACATCTGTCTACGACGCCACATTTCCGGGTTCATTCACTGTCACCACGTGCAACAAGTACACGGTGTTAAAAAAGAATTCACTGTTTCCCCAGCTTTTTAATAACTTGAGTGTGTTTTCCAATTTTTAATTTGTTCGGTTTTATTGCTATATGGTGGTATCACCCAGCTAGGTATTCCGTCGTTAACAACAAACCCAGCAAGTCCGGTATTTTGGTTTTATAATTGTAACAAGTGTTTTCATCCACGCTTTCGTTTTAAAACACCATTTAGCTGCAACCTCACCGACCAGTAAGTGATTTGAACATTTAAATCTGTTCTAAATTGGTTGCTATTTAAATAATTGTCTTTTAGCTCCTGAAGATGACAACATACTTTGTCGAAAGCTCGAGATTACCGCCTAAAGAGTTCACTGCGCTTTCAGTTTTGCCAATTCCCAATAAGCCATTGAATTGTATATATATATATATATACGCGAGCAGTAGTCATTGTCAACAACCAGTTGGGCAAAAAATACAATTAAATTTTTTATTAGGAATTGGCAAAACTTAAAGCTTAGGAACTCTCTTGACGGTAATCTCGAGCTTTCGACAAACTATGTTGTCATCTTCATGAGCTAAAACACGATTATGAAAATGGCTACCAATTTAGAACAGATTTAAATTCTCAAATTTCTTACTCGTCTGTGAGCTTGCAGCTAAATCGTATTTTAAAACATCTGTCTACGACGCCACATTTCCGGTTTCATTCACTGTCACCACGTGCAACAAGTAGACGGTGTTAAAAAAGAATTCACTGTTTCCCCAGTTTTTTAATAACTTGAGCATGTTTTCCAATTTTTAATTTGTTCGGTTTTATTGATATATGGTGGTATCCCCAGCTATGTGTTCCGTCGTTAACAACAAACCCAATGTGTCCAGTCTTTTGGTTTTATGATTGTAACAAGTGTTCTCATCCACGCTTTCGTTTTAAAAACACCAGTTAGCTGCAACCTCACCGACCAAGTGCTTTGAAAATTTAAATCTGTTCTAAATTGGTTGCTATTTAAATAATTGTCTTTTAGCTCCTGAAGATGACATCATACTTTTTTTTTACAATTCCCAATTACCCATTTAATTGTATATATTGTTATATATATACGCGAGTAGTAGTCATTGTCAACAACCAGTTGGACAAAAAAAAAACAATTAAATTGTTTATTGGGAATTGGAAAAGCTTAAAGCTTAGTGAACGCCTTTGACGGTAATCTCAAGCTTTCGGCAAACTAAGTTGTCATCTTCAGGAGCTAAAACATAATTATGAAAATAGCAACCAATTTAGAACAGATTTAAATTTTCAAATTACTTACTCGTCCGTGAGGTTGCAGCTAAATGGTGTTTTAAAACATCTGTCTACGACGTCACATTCCCGGTTTCATTCACTGTCACCACGTGCAACAAGTAGACGTTGTTAAAAAAGAATTCACTGTTTCCCCAGTTTTTAATAACTTGAGTATGTTTTCCAATTTTGTTCGGGTTTATTGATATATGGTGGTATCACCCAGCTATCTGTTCCGTCGTTAAAACAAACCCAATGTGTCCAGTCTTTTGGTTTTATGATTGTAACAAGTGTTCTCATCCACGCTTTCGTTTTAAAAACACCATTTAGCTGCAACCTCACCGACCAGTAAGTGCTTTGAAAATTTAAATTTGTTCTAAATTGGTTGCTATTTAAATAATTGTCTTTTAGCTCCTGAAGATGACAACATACTTTGTCGAAAGCTCGAGATTACCGCCTAAAGAGTTCACTGCGCTTTCAGTTTTGCCAATTCCCAATAAACCATTTAATTGTATATATTGTTATACATGGTGTTTCGGTTTATTGTTGCATAACTTTAAGATTCGATAGAACTTTTAAAATTAATGCATAAAGTCTATATAAACATGGATCGAAAAATGCGTGGCTTCCGAAATACATTAGATTTCTTTGTGTGGGTATTTCTAAAAGAAAAAGTGTACCAGACTCCCGTAACCACAAGAGATATGCTAATAGACAGAATCAGGAATGCATGTGATGAAATCAGGCCTTATTTGAATAATGCTATACCACGTTCAATCATTCGTAGATGTGAATTGTGTATTGAACAATTGGGTTTACATTTCGAGCAACTACTTTAGATTTTGCATGTTTGTCTTAGCTATCCAATAGCATTTTAGTTGTAAATAATTAATTTAATTTGTTAAAAATAATATTGGAAAATTAAACAAATTAATATTCTGTTTTTTGTGTTTATTTGAAGTTAGGAATTATTGCTGTGTTTAAAAACACCATCTAAACGATCATCTTAATTACTTGTAATGCTCAAATCGAAAATGTAAAAAAAAAATATTATTTTCCCATAAATAATTAAAAATGCATCGAACCTTAAAAATCGACATATCTCAAAAACGGCTAACTATAACGAAAACTCACAGGACAGCTTTTTTATGTTGAAAAGTGCGAAGAATCAGTTTTTTCATTCAAAAAGCAAAAAATTGCACTAAGAAAATTTTTTCGGTCACTTTAATACACTACAGGTACAGTAGAGAGCGGCCCTCTAGCGGCTACAGTAAAACTATGCCCATGGTTCGTTTTGTCGTACCAAAAAACCCTTGTATACCAATTTTCACTGTTATACATCAAATATTGTTCGAAATATTTAAAAGAAACTATTTTAAAAAGTAAATTTAAACACCCTGTATTTCGGAAGCCACGCATTTTCCGACCCATGTTTATATAGACTTTATGCATTCATTTTAAAAGTTCTATCGAATCTTAAAGTTATGCAACAATAAACTGAAACACCCTGTATATCTATATATCCTATTCATTTCGGGTCTGATGAAGCCAACCAGCAGAAATACGTAAAGCTCGGGTTACCTATCCTATTTTCTGCTCGAATCCACGTTCATCCTTTTTGCGGATTTTGCCCATTATTTTCCTACTTTTTGTTATATATATACCATGGTGGCTGTCTTTGATCGGACGGACGCAAGCAGCATGTTTAGTCAATCCAGAAGTATTGTAGTCAATTTGGTTACGTAGAGGGTAGATGTGTGCACATTCCAGAAACAATCGACCGCATAACGTTTGAATCTCCCCATTATTGTATTTATAGCGTACGAAAAAGGTCATCAAAGGCCACCGCTGACAGTGTATACTTTTCAAGCGCCTGACCAGAGCCTGTCGCAGCCGGCCAGTCCTGTCACTTCGATCACGCCCACGGACACGACTCCGGTACCGCCCAAGAGCCCCGCCTCTTCCATCAAGTCCGTCTCGAAGCCGCCGCTACCCATGGTGAGTATACGTAGAAATTTTTTTCAAAATTTATTTATTTTCAAAATTTATTAGGACGGAATATCAAGATTTCACATCAAAATAGTAAAAAGCATGATCTGAATACCCATTAAGGTCATGTGTACCGTGAACGCGGGATATTATTAGGACTATATAAATATTAGGGTTCAAAAATATCATATTTATACAGGGTGCTCGGAAAATTGACGGAGATATTTTAGAGGGTGATAACCTATTAATAAATATGAAAAAAAGTTTCTATAAACATGGGTCCGGAGATGCAAGGTTTTCAAGATATTAATATCTTAAAAATATTTACTTGATTCTGTTATAATTTGACAATATTATTTGTTGTATTAAGAGGCTAATTTAGCCCTAAATAAAGTATTAGATCCAGTGGCATCGCCTGAGGTTCCTTAGCGAATATTATTGGCAAAAAAATGTACGACATCGTCTTTTTGTAACTTTAATATTTGTTGTTTGATTAAGCATCTAAAAATACAAATTATTTGCCTTTTGTATTTTTTTCGTATCTCACTTCGTTTTCGGGATGAAGATTGATCCATCCATCCAATGTCCTACAAACTGTTTGCCCCTCTAATCTATTTCTACGCTCCTTTAAAACACCATCATAAACTTCATTTAGAAAAAATATCACGTAACGCGTTATCCTGACATAAACATTCCTTTTCCAGCGTTGTTCCTCCCTGGAACGCCCCTCTTCGAATACGATAACCACCTCGTCACCGAGCATGGGGCCGGCCGTACCCGCGAAGATCGCCGGCGTGCAAGGCGTACGCGTGCTGCCGTCCGCCGCCGAGCTGCCGAATAGGAAGCCGTCTCCGTTGACGCAGCAGCACGTATCCAGGATCGCAGCGGCGCAACCGACGTACGTCAACATGCACGAGTTGGCTAGCATGGGGAAGGATAAGAGTCTGCCCCCACCTCCCGCGTCGCAGGAATTTGGTGGAACCGCAGAAAAGGTAAAGTGCAAGAATGACCAATGGCAACAACGAATATGTCACACTAGAAAACAAAAAAATATTTGGATTTTTTTTAGTTAGTTCAAAATTTGAAAAATACTGATGATACTAATCTTTGATTGTATGTTGAAGATTTATTTAGCATTACTGCTACACTTTGAATTTTGTATAACTATTCGTTAACACATTTTTTGAATCAATTTTATGTAATTTTACATTTTATCATCAGTATGCATTTTGGGTATTGATAAAGTGATTTTCTAATTTCACCTTAAACATTTTTAAATTCGCAGTTTTAATATTATTACTAGCATGCGCTTGCTTTTGTAATATTTTCACACACAGAGCTAGCAAATCGTGCGAAGTTGAAATTATAAGAAATGTTTGCGATATGTTTGCATTTTTCTCAAAAACTAAAAAAACATACGAATACCGTTAAGCAAGGGTGAAAGAGTGTTTCAAAAGTATAAAAACGCGTTATAACACTTTGCAAAGCTTGAATCGAAAGTATGAAAAAATCGTTAGCAAAGAGGCCCATGTTTCGAAAAGCGGCATTTTGTCAAGAAACTTAAAACAATGAAACTTTTGAACTTAGAGGAATAAAGAAATAAAAAAGACGCTATCCAAATGTCTGATGTCTGGGCTTTCTCAAGCAAAAATCGTTAGGTCTGTAGCTCCGTTAGCTTCGGAGGAGATAGAAATTGAACATCGAACAGCACGTTTGAGATCCAAAAAAAGGTCAATTTCTCGACGTTTAAATATTTTTTAATCGAAACGGGTGCCCTAAACGGAAAAAACTATTTCTAGATGATTTATAGTATTCGTTGAGACGTACAAAATGGGCTACGCGAAATGTCTTTTCTCTTTGCCGTAGAGAAGTTATCGGCTTTTCAACGGAAATTAGTCATTTTTCAGGTTGGGAGATATGTAAGTTCTCTAATTTTTCGCAGTTTAGCAAATATGAGTAAATGACACTCAGTTGTTTAATGTCTGTCTTTTTGTTGATACAGTTGTTATTCATGAAAATGTGGGACATTTCCAGGAATAAACGTTTGGAGAGATGTTTTTCTTTATCAAGAACTTTGATACTTGTGTAATTCATAGAATGCCCTGTTGTGTTAACATGAGATGCTAGAGCGCATCTTTCAGGATGAAGTCTAGCATCACTTTTGTGTGATGTAATCCTTCCTTTAGGAGATCTGGAGGTCTGACCTATGTATATTTGGTTGCAGTTGTTGCAATTGATGGAGTAGACTGTGTTAGTTAAAATGAAAGACAAAGTCCCGCTGCTTAGCTTAACCCCCAAATTTCGACTTTTCACAACCATAAATATAATCTGTGTTTTGGCCGATTCCACCAACAAATTTCATTCCACTCAAAATCTAATAATTCTCTTCTCACGATTTATTAATAATTGTTAATTTAAAATTCCCATTAATTAAAATATAGTTTATTCAACTGCCTCTGGTCGGTTTAACAATTTCTTACATAACATTCTGAAAATCACATCATCTGAAGTGATTTGGCAACGTTTTGGCACACGCCCACAATTCGTTGCATCTTTCAACACAGACATTGACAACCTTCGGCCTTCTGTCAAAGGTTCATCTCACTCATTATTCCATGACCACCATTTTGTGCAATCATCAAGTGGCTTCACGACGTAATGCTCTAATGTTTTCTAAATAATTTTTAATCTGTCTTTAACTTGTCTTGTCATATTTTATATAATTTTAACCATTGTACCATGTATCCAGCTCTCACCATGTTACTGGACGTTTCCCTCATCCTATACGAAAATAACAATTAGCAACATCCTCACATACTACTGTAAGTTGATTCAATTTAAATTCATTTTACACTTTTGTTGCTACTGTTATCATTGTAATTGCAGCTCCTGATGATGATGGCAAAGTCCATTGAAAGCTAGAGGGAATTAAAAAAGTATAAAGAGTCCTCTTTGCTTAAATTTTGTCGAAGTATCCAACAAAAGGCGGAAGCTTTAATTTTTCACCTATATATATATATATATATATATAGCTCTATTATTGACAATTTGAGAAATGTGTATAGTGTAAGGTTTAAAGGTGAGCGTAACCTGAAGAATGAATTTCAGACAACCGAGGGTGAGAAGGAGAGCAGCACTAGTGAGAGTTCATTGGAATCATCGAGTGGTTACGGCAGCCAAACAACGTTTACGCCTGAAGACGTCCAACACATTGATGGTAAGAATTCTAATAACGAATATTTTTGTGCATGGTTTCTGATTTGTTTATACAATGTTATTTGAGTGGTGTCTGATACATTTTTCGTGTCATTTTCTACATGTTATTTTCACTCATGTAGAGGGTGGAATGTCAACTAGCTGCATATTTCGTGATAGGTAAACAGCATGAAAATTCACGAAAAAGCAGCGAGTAACATTAATTCGATTTTTTTTTACCTATCACGTAGATATGAAACATAATGCAGTGCTACTATGTGTGACAAACCTAGAATAACAACATAAAAAATGGTAAATGATAATATCGATTTGAGATAAAGATCTGTTTTATATGTAAAGTCAAGCTATCGTCATTGGGGAAATATCATGCTTATGTATTTTGTACCGTAAGTAAATCCTTATCTCAAACGTTTCTCTGGTAAGACCCAGTAATATCAATTGTCTATTTTCACTATTACATGTTTGCTTCAAAAGTTTTTCGTTCAAGTAAAATTTGCAACCAATACAGGATGGATACTATATTGCTGTTTGTACGCTGTTTGGGAGTTTTAGCATCAAACCGATAACTAAAAAAATAGAATCAACATTTTGCTTATCAAAGGAAGCGACTAATGTAAAAAATGTTTAGCATTGATTTAAAATAATTTCTATGTCTTTCATCCATAACATATCCTGTAGATAGTTCTGCATTTTCCACGTTTTCTCTAGTAGTCACTCGTAGTTGGACGATTCATTTCCATTTCTACGATCCAAACTTTCATATCTGTTATTGAGCATGGTGTGTGATCACTAGTATGTGTTAATATAGATGTAAACGGTACAGCAAGCAAGTATTGCACACTGCCTCGCAACAATGACATTGCTAGCAACATGAGAAGAAGACCGCTCTCCATGACAGGTAACTTTTCCAATTTTGAAGTTTATTCCGCTTTGGTGGTGGTCTCCGGATGTTTTTCAGTCAGTAAACGCTGTGGAAAATTATCATTCGACTCTCACGTAAATTTGGGGATAGATTCCTTTAAAATCATCCTAAAAGGTTGCAAAAATTCAGGTGAATTTGAATCTGAACATTGAGCACCATAGCACCAATAAAGGCATAGATTCAATACCAGAGTATGTTGATACAGGTTCTGGAGTTGCAGAGATCAATATCAGTAAAATCGAGGATGAAAATGGCCCAGACATAAGGGCAGTACCCAAGGTCGCATGATATCTGGGCTTTTTATACCGTAAGAAGTATGAATGGTGAAAAGTACTTCCTAATCGTGGTATAATGAAATTACTACGTATTTTCATCTCATTATTGAAAAAAACTAGACTTCAAATCATCATTTTCGTAACAAAATATTATTAATAATAATGATATGTTCAGGCAAAAAATACTGACTGGAAGGCATGCTATTTTTCTTTCTCGTACATGTTATCTTTGCTTGTTCTGTTCAAGATAAGTATATTTTCATCTTGTGTATTTTCGTTGTGCTCTTTGTCGTGATCAGTAATCTAAAGAATTGAATAAATGCGCTTATCACTTCGGTGTATGTGGGCGCCTGCGGGGGGTCATGGGGGCATAACCCCCCCCCTAATATTAAGCATGATTTTGTGTACAAGTTTGAGGATTTTTAGGATATGTCCTCCAGGGAAACTTTGCTACCCCCGCTCTTCAAAAGTTTTTGGGACTGGTACACTTATCTCTTGCCAATGATCGGCCCCCTTTAGTAAAATTCCAGCTGGCACCCGTGCCTCGTTATAGTGAAGTTATTAGCGAAATCGTATCTTGTTTGTTATTATGGGAAAAGTATTTTTTCTCTTATTTATATATTTTTATTTGAAAACTTGCCACCACGGATTTATCTTAAACCAATGTTTAAAAGAAAAAACGCCAAAAGATTTGTCAAGGGCGACAACCTTTTAACCAAAATCTACTTCACCCCCTGTGACAAGGAGTATCGAGTAATAGCTTGTTTGAAAGGTCTTTTAAAGACCTTTATTTTGACGAGTCTTCGAGAAATATTTCCCGTTATTGGCCAAAGAATGATATAGGCAATTTTAAAATTCCCGACGGACATTTTCAAAAACATATTGTGGGATATCATGGCAGTTGTCGATGATGCGTTGACGAAGTTCATCCAAACTTACACATGGCCCCATAGAAAAAAGTCTAATGGCGTCAAATCAGGAGATCTAGCAGGCCATTCTATAGGCCATCTTCGCCCTATCCATTTATCTGGGAAACTCGTCGTCTAGCCATTGCTGAACAGGAAGAACATAGTGAGGAGGAGCTCCTAGCTGGAAATATATTTCAGCCTCATCAAGTATAGGGTTTCCATCCTCCTTTGAAAGCTGTATGTAAATGGTTGTAAATTGTTGGATATTTGGTGTCATTGAAAGACCTTCTATTATTAAGAAGCTGCTGATCTCAGTGATACTATGTACCAGTTAGACATAATATATCATACATATTTCGTTACATCTGCCATGGAAGCTAACGTCGTACCTAAGTGACCCTACCTAATCACGATTCGATTTCAATTATTGAAACGATTCCCTTCCCTTTTCATTGAAATCCCGAACAAAGTCGTAGGAAGTATAGAGTCAATCTACTTGATGCCATTTTTTAAACTATAATTTTATGAATTATCATTTTTTCAAAATTCACAATTTTTAAATTTAAATTTATTTCATTTCAAAATTACCAATTTTTTTTCATAATTTCCAAATTCCTTCAAATTATTTCCCAGATTTCCAATTTTTTCCAAATTTTCAAGTGAACTTACCTAACCACGATTCGATTTCGATTTGAAACGATATGACTCATCCCTTTTCTTTGATATCTCCAACGAAGACGTAGGAAGTATAGAGTGAATCTACTTGACGCCATTTTTTATATGTTTGCATGACCAACCTGAAAACTATTCTTCCGACGCCCATCGAGTATTTTAGTTTTTCAAAAGTACCAAACCACATAATTTACTTCCCCTCCCTGCTCATTGAAATCTCGAACAAAGGCGTAGGAAGTATAGAGTCAATCTACTTAACGCTTTTTTAAACTGTAATTTATTTTATTAATTTTCATTTTTCCAAAATTCCCAATTTTCTTCCCCAATTTTTAAATTTAAATTTATTTCATTTCAAAATTACCAATTTTTTTCATAATTTCCAAATTCCTTCAAATTATTTCCCAGATATCCATTTTTTTCCCAATTTTCAAGTGAACTTTTCTAATCACGATTCGATTTCGATTTGAAACGATATGACTCATCCCTTTTCTTTGATATCTCCAACGAAGACGCAGGAAGTATAGAGTGAATCTACTTGACGCCATTTTTTATATGTTTGCATGACCAACCTGAGAACTATTCTTCCGACGCCCATCGAGTATTTTAGTTTTTCAAAAGTACCAAACCACATAATTTACTTTCCTTCCCTTTTCATTGAAATCTCGAACAAAGGCGTAGGAAGTATAGAGTCAATCTACTTGACGCTTTTTTAAACTGTAATTTATTTTATGAATTTTCATTTTTCCAAAATTCCCAATTTTTTCCCCAATTTTTAAATTAAATTTATTTCATTTCAAAATTACCAATTTTTTTTCAAAATTTCCAAATTCCTTCAAATTATTTCCCAGATTTCCAATTTTTTCCAAATTTTCAAGTGAACTTACCTAACCACGATTCGATTTCGATTTGAAACGACATGACTCATCCCTTTTCTTTGATATCTCCAACGAAGACGCAGGAAGTATAGAGTGAATCTACTTGACGCCATTTTTTATATGTTTGCATGACCAACCTGAGTACTATTCTTCCGACGCCCATCGAGTATTTTAGTTTTTCAAAAGTACCAAACCACATAATTTACTTCGCCTCCCTTTTCATTGAAATCTCGAACAAAGGCGTAGGAAGTATAGAGTCAATCTACTTGATGCCATTTTTAAACTATAATTTATTTTATGAATTTTCATTTTTCCAAAATTCCCAATTTTTTTCCCCAATTTTTAAATTTAAATTTATTTCATTTCAAAATTACCATTTTTTTTTCATAATTTCCAAATTCATTCAAATTATTTCCCACATTTCCAATTTTTTCCCAATTTTCAAGTGAACTTACCTAACCACGATTCGACTTCGATTTGAAACGATATGACTCGTCCCACTTCTTTGATATCTCCAACGAAGACGTAGGAAGAATAGAGTGAATCTACTCGACGCCATTTTTTATATGTTTTCATGAGCAACCTGAGAACTATTCTTCCGACGCCCATCGAGTATTTTAGTTTTTCAAAAGTACCAAACCACATAATTTACTTTCCTTCCCTTTTCATTGAAATCTCGAACAAAGGCGTAGGAAGTATAGAGTCAATCTACTTGACGCTTTTTTAAACTGTAATTTATTTTATGAATTTTCATTTTTCCAAAATTCCCAATTTTTTCCCCAATTTTTAAATTAAATTTATTTCATTTCAAAATTACCAATCTTTTTTCATAATTTCCAAATTCCTTCAAATTATTTCCCAGATTTCCAATTTTTTCCAAATTTTCAAGTGAACTTACCTAACCACGATTCGATTTGAAACGATATGACTCGTCCCACTTCTTTGATATCTCCAACGAAGACGTAGGAAGTATAGAGTCAATCTACTTGACGTTTTTTTAAACTGTAATTTATTTTATGAATTCTCATTTTTCCAAAATTCCCAATTTTTTCCCCAATTTTTAAATTTAAATTTATTTCGTTTCAAAATTACCAATTTTTTTTCAAAATTTCCAAATTCCTTCAAATTATTTCCCAGATTTCCAATTTTTTCCAAATTTTCAAGTGAACTTACCTAACCACGATTCGATTTGAAACGATATGACTCGTCCCACTTCTTTGATATCTCCAACGAAGACGTAGGAAGTATAGAGTCAATCTACTCGACGCCATTTTTTATATATTTGCATGAGCAACCTGAGAACTACTGTTCCGACGCCAATCGAGTATTTTAGTTTTTCAAAAGTACCAAACCACATAATTTACCTCGATCTGCTTATAATAACCCTTTTTATTTCTCTATAATACAATCAAATCGTGTCCCAACAATCTTAAGAGTATTTCATACAATATTTTATTCGAAAAAACAATTTTAAATAATATCGCGAGCAGCAGTTGGGTACAAAAAAATATCAAAAACTGGTTCTACGTTCAGTAAAGCACAAACAGTTTTTTTTTCCAAACAATGATCGTATTGGTTATTTAGTTGGCCAATCCCAGTGACTCACTATTTTTCTCTGTGGCTGATTTTATCTAGTGGGCGTCTACAACAAGTGATAAGAAGATTAGATTGGTGTTTACGTTCAGTGTTTTTTGTGGGAAATATGAAGGAGTGTAATTGCCTAATAGCTGTTATTGGTCGGCCAATCAGAGGCGTCTGGAGGTTTCTTATTCTAAATCGTAGGTAAAGTCGAAATCACGAAAGATGAAAGGGGATGAAGTAGTTTTTGATTAAAAAGTGGTCGCCCCTAACAGCTGTAGAAGCTTTTCCTACTGAAAAATTGGTCACTTTGTTTCTTCCTCTTCTTTCAGCGTTGTTTATATTACAGAAACTTGATGCTATGGCTAATAACTAACTATTCAATATGTATTGGGAAGATAAATAACGGTTAGCATGTAATATTTATATATGTTGAATGAGGTTACAATAGATCATATGCATGCTGCTATTTTTTATATACGAGGTCTGTAAAGTAAGTGATGAGACTGGCAAGGTAGGCCTATATAATACATTACAATATAAAATTGTAATTATATTTGAATGAAAAATTAAAAAATATCGCAAGCAGGCTTTCGAAAAAAATATTCCACAGAAACGGCTTTCCAGTTGGTAACTGAGAATTGGAGAAGAGCCATAAACTCAGAAGAAGTTGTCATAGCAGTATTTTTGGATTTGAAGAGGGCATTTGAAACGATTGATAGAGATATTTTGTTAGGTAAATTGAAGGCATATGATATAACAGGAAGTGTTTTTGATTGGTTTAGAAGTTATTTGTCTAAAAGGATGCAAGTTACACAAGTTAATGACACTATTTCATCAAAAATTGAAAATACGTTGGGTGTTCCACAGGGCAGTATCCTGGGATCACTTCTTTTTATTTTATACATAAATGATTTACCTGCCATAGTCAAAAAATGCAAAATTCAGATTTTCGCCGATGAGACTATGATTTATATAAGTACTAAAAATATCTGGTATCTCTTATATAAATGAAGACTTGAAACTTGTCTCAAAATGGTTAGCATCTCACAGACTAAAATTAAATGCAAGTAAAACGAAAGCCTTGTTAATCGGAAAAAAACAATGTACAAATGTTCAACTGAATATTGATGGTGAAGATATTGAATTCGTAGAAAATTTTAAATACCTGGGGGTTTTTGTTGACTCTCGATTAATTTTTGATATTCATTATGAAAAAGTTATAAATAAGATTAGTAGTAAAGTGGGATATTCATCGAGAGTTTCTGGATGTCTGAGTTCATATAGCAGAAAAATTATCTATAATACCATCATTCTTCCAAATTTCTTGTACTGTTCGACTATTCTATATTTAGCAAATAATTCCATTTTTGAAAGACTGCAAATTTTACAAAATAAGTGCATGAGAATAATACTAAATAAAGATAAATATACTCCAATTAGGCAAATGCTTAGCAAATTAAAATGGCTCAATGTAAAATTTTTTTCAAATATCTTGTAATGATATTCATTTATAAAGTAAAAAATAATATATTTCTATCAAGTCTAACTAATCTAACATCATCAAATGTCGACCATCATTTACATAATACCAGAAATAAAGATGACTTTCATTTAATGACCAAAAAGTATAACATGCTACAAATCTGTATTCCATCGAGGGTTGATTGAATATAATAAATTATACTCAGAGATAAAAGACCAGAAGACTTTGACAAAATTTAAAGTAAAATTGAGAAATCACTTGTTAAATCTACAATTATAGATTGCCCAGCATTTACATCATACACCATATGGCTTGAATTTACTAGTTCTAAGTTGTTTACAATTATTCTGTTTATGTAGCCAAATGTGCTAAATAAATCTTTCTACTACTACTTAATTTACGGACCTCGCAACCTCTAAACTCGGCAACACCACTAACTGGTTGACAAACATTTTTATGTTCCTCCCTGTTGTAAAGATATATAAGTTTTTAGCGGTCATCTGCAGGACGAACTACTTCATTTTCAAAACCTGATATTCTTACAATTCGTTAACTGCTTTCAGGGCTGCAAAAATATTGATGATTCTTGCTTTATAGCATGTTAATCGTATATAGTCGAAATCACGAAAGATGACGATTACGTCATCATTTTAGTCTATAGTAAAGACACGACAGCGATTTGTGAATATTTTTAATGAAATTTCAGATATGTTAGACAGAGACAAACATAATTTTATTGCCTAAACAAACTGTATTGCTAATTTGCAAGTATCCGACAGAGATAGACGATGTTTTCATTTTGAATCATCGATCATATTTGAAAGATGAATAGTTAGGTTATGTTAACGCAGGTTAGGTTGTTTTCGAGTAATACTTTGGTGTTCCTGTGTTAAGGTATTCTACTCATAACTGTTTTTTCAAAACAAAAACTCTCCACTAAAATTATTATTAAGGTATCACTCAAAACCGTGAAATAAAATGAAAATAAAAATAATCGGTGACATAACCTAACTTCGCAGAATCATAATATAAATTTGTTGTCATTATGTTCCTGAGATCAGTGCAACTTATGGTATGACGTAATAGTCTTCATTCGTGATTTTAACTATACATAAATTCTGTAAGAAAAGCCAGCTAAAGATTGGGCGTCTGTAAACTTGGTGATAGCAATGGATGGTGTGGCAATACCGGTTGTTGAGGAATATAAAAATTTGGGCGTTATCTTTGATAACAAGCTTAGATGCCGAAGTCATGTGTCTAGGCTTCTACAAAAAGCCTATTTTAACCTTCGCAATATTTACAAAAGTAAAGATATTCTTAGTTTTAAGTTAAGAAAGGTTCTCTGCGAAGCACTGGTCTTGTGTCACCTTAACTATTGCAACTTTGTGTATGGTCCTTGCTTAGATGTATTTACTGAGGATAAACTCCAAAAAGTGCAGAATTCTTGCATACGACTTATTTACCAACTTAGACGTCACGATCATGTGCGTCATAAACTTTCCGAACTGAAATGGTTGAATGTTTCCAATCGAGAAAAGCTGCATTTTGCTTGCTTTCTTCATAAATTGATTAAAACTAAAAGCCCTCCATATCTGTTTGAAAAATTAACTCGTAGAAATCTGATTCACTCTCGTGCAACACGCTTTAATGTACTTTATGAAATACCTAAAATAACTAAAACCATGACTCAAAGCTCATTTTCCTGTACATCCGTCAAACTTCTAAACCAATACAATATAGGTCAATTTGAAGATATGTCTCCTAATATGTTCAAAATAAAACTGAAACAACTGCTTCTGTGAAGTATAAGTTGTTTATTATTGCTTATTTTCTTTGTATACGTACATCTGTTGTTATTATTGTTCTTTGTTGTTATGTAATATTCTAAAATTAATGTAATGTAAAACTTGTTTCTTGTCATATTACTTTTCTTTTTGGCTTGTTGTTACTTTCTACATGCTCGGTTAAGTTAACAGCATAGCTGGCCTTCGCCGAGTTTAAAATAAAGGCGTTTTTATTTATTTCTTTTAGTTATTCGTGATTTTAACTATACATAAATTCTGTAAGAAAAACCTGCAAAAGAGACACCTTGTTTAAAGACGGTTATTGCCCTAAAGATCATATGCGATTTGGCTAATCAAACTGGTTTATTCACAAGGTAATAGAAATACTTTAAACCACAAATTTAACAATAAAAAGACCGCTGAACGGGTCCTGGACTATCTTATTAGAATTATCACAGCACATGTTATTTTAGCAATGGGCATGGGTACAATGCGGAACAACCTCCTGCGACGTGGTTCTATGCAAACCCAGAAACCACCACCGCCCATCCGTAGGACATCTTCCATCACAAACACTTCAGCGTCTTCCATGGGTAGTTTGGAGAATCTCCCGCCGCCTCCAGCGTTTTTACTTGAGCCTAATAACACGCAGCAGTCTGGCAAACCGAGTACTGCAATAGGTAAATATGAGGTTTCATAGTCCCCGTACTATTTTCTTTAACTTTTTGGTAAAGGTCTAATTTTGCGGGCAAAAGGCCACTGAACGTTAAAAGGCCTCACATGACATTTTTCCTACATTACATTAAAAGAAATAATTAAATGTTATTATTATTATGTATTAGAGGCAAATTCAATCCTAAACAGGCCACTGTTCCTTTGATCTTTTAAGGTGCTTGAGGCCCCATCTGGCGGCGTTCAAGTGAAACAAACCAGATTGGTAAGGTATCTCCAATCGCTTTCTAGTTGCACCACGCCACCTCATGGGCACTTACCACGGTATCACGCTCCTTGGCCGGCCAGAGCCTGGCAGATTTGCCACAGAACCTGTTGCCTCGAATTTACGCACCAGACGACCGATGGTTGTTTCGTTTGGGCGGTTGTTGCGACCGAAATGTTCACGAAGCGCGCGAAACGTGTTTTTTATTTTTGCACCATTTCTGTAGTGCTCTTGAATAACTGTAATGCCGTCTTCAATCGAATACGACTCCATAGCGATCAATGGTAAACATTCAACTAACAAAATGACATGTCGGTGACAGAAAACAAAGATGGCGTCTATGTCAAATTGACGTTTACTTTCCTGCGTCCCTATTGGACAACCCTTTATTTAAAATGAATTAATCTAGCAGGATTGTCCGCAGGATGGTTCAGGAAGTATATGCGTATATGTAAAATGTTGATTTGGTTTCTTCGCATAATCTTATTCAAAAAGGACCAGATTTTGTCAAAAAAAAAATGTTAAAAGATATTCCATAAATTATTTTTTCACTCCAGATAAAGATTTTTTTGGTCATTCTGGATAAAAAGAGTTCCTAAGGTTGATAGTTTTCTAAATATAGAATGTGCCATTTTTGGCCCCGAAAAAAAATGTGAAAAAACGGAAAATTAAATGCTGCCAAAGCTCCTAAGTGTTCTTCAAACGCCTATCAACAAAATCCCACATCATTTTATTGAGTATTCATGTTGTAGACCTTTGTTTTTTAATAACCAATCAAGGCAGATCTCAGTGTATATTCTGCGTAAGCGCGAGAGAAATAAATTTGAAATTTGGAAAATAATTGTAAAATTTAAGTCGAAACTTGGAAAATAATTTAAATATTTGGAAATTTTGAAAAAACTGGGAATTTCGAAATTTGTTAAAAATTTGGAAGCAAATTTAGATTATGGCCAAATAAAAAATGTATCAAAAATCGAAGCTCTTGATTATAGGTAAGTACTTGAGACTAAAAATCCCAAAAATAAATTATTATATTACAAATCGAACTAAAAAGTAGAAAATAATGTTTAATCATACGAGAGTTTGTATTACTTCAATAGCAAGTCCAACAATCAAGTATGACTAATGAATTTGAAATCTGATCTAGATCAATATAAAAATTAATATATTAACTTAATTGTGCTAATAACTATATTTTTACAATAACTCCAATTTTATTGATAGCAAATAAAAAAATAATTCTAATCAAGCAGACCACGCTCTTTTACTATAATTGACCTTTTTTGTTAACTTATTTTTCATATCAATATATAAATATATAAAAATTATATTATTATATAAAATATAATTCAGGTAATACGGACTATCCTATACTTTTTGTTTTCTAGTTCGATTTGCTAGTGGAGCTTGTTTTTTTAAGTTTTTTTTTAACTATAATTTATTTTATTTTTCGGAGTTGAAATTGGCATAATTTACACTTTTTGAAACATCAAATCCCTTATATCTCGAAAACTGTCGACTTTATTAAAACATCCATAAGATCGCTTTCTGTTGAAAATGACCCAAAAAACCTAAACAGCTTCAGGAACAGCATTTTTGGCGATCGTTCCCAACTCAACCCTACGTAAATTTGAGAAATGCCATTGGCCTTGGTTTGCTGATAACACTAAATATAAATTTGGCAGGAGCGATTGATTGAATACTTTTTTATTTATAGCATCTAGTGAAATGTCATTATAGCAATTGCAGTGAAAACTTACGGACAATACAGTTTCTTGTGGAATATATTCAAGCAAGCTGTGTTCAAATGTGCATACAAAAATTGTTAGACTGCTCAAAGGTCGTATGTTTCTGATTTTGGAGATCATCCATTTTTTTTAAGCTTTGCCAGATCGTATACTATTTTTGGGCTTGCATTCTGACGTATTTTTATAATATACGGCGGTATTGGTTTTTATTTATATTCGTATAATCAGTGTGCAGTTTTGTTTTTCATCCATTTTTTTCTTTAAGATATGTCTGTTTCGTGCATCGTTTGTTGATGTCAAGTGACGACGATTTGTCAGGAATATTTAGGAACATATTATTTAGGTTACACGGTAACATTATAAAGGTGTTGTAGTCTATTTTACCTTGCTTTTTTATTATAAAATGGGACAATAGAAAAATCGAAACTGATCCTGGTTTTTATTATTTTTCTTTTCAGGTGTAAATGTAGCCGAAACGGTAAAGGCCCTTACGGAATTGAAGCATACGCCAGCAAGTCCAAACTCTGTGAGGCGTATGTCAGCGTCCACGCAGAATATTTATCAGAATATGCAAACCGGCCAAGCTACCTGCGGATCACCACAAAGTCCTATTCTCAGCACTTTCCAGAGTCAAACAAAGGTATTTGCAACAGACAGTTTTGTTCGTTATAAACACTTCTAATACATACATTGTTTTATACCATACAAAGAAATTGTTAATTTAATTAGATTGTTAATAACATCCATGAATCAAAAAAAGGAACAGAACCGAACGCTAAAAATTGTTACGAATCTAAATGGTGTTTTAACTAATTTATCTTTTTTTTTTTAGGTTTCGTACGTATCCCAATCTGGAGGGGTAGTTTATGCTCAGCCTTCCCAGTTTGTAGGTGGAAGCCCCAATGCAGTTAGAAGAATAAACAATTTTAGGTCTCAAAGCGCCGATAGAAAATCCGAAGGTAAGCTATAGCTTCTTGACTCTGTCTGTTGTTTAGATAGAGAGATAAATAAGATTAATGACAAAGCTAACTTAACAATAAACTATAACATAATTACATGTAAATTTCCAGACCATTATAAATTATCGAGTCCTTTACAACTTCCAGATCTTGTTTACGTCTGATACTGTAACTTGTATTTAATATTTCAAATTTAGATTTATGTTTAAAAATAAGAGTTGCTGTAGTCCCAAAGATTTGATGACGTCTGTTTTATGTAAATTTATAAAATTTAATTGAAATGTCGTAAAGTTTGTCTTATTAACATTGAAAGCCAAGTAATTCACAATCAATTTTTGCCTTGATTTCATTTATACCTTTCTATATCGTCAGCAAAGACTACGAAGTTACCATTCATATTTAAGCTTATAAGATCATTGATACAGACTATGAAAAGGATTGGACCTAATACTGATCCTTGAGGTACCCCTGCGGTTATATTTAATGTATTTGAAACATAATACCTTGCTCATTTTAAAATTTTGAATCGATTATTTAATTATGTTTTGAGCCAATTGAGTGAAGTTCCAGTACAACCATGATTTACACAGTCAAATCATATACACGTGGTACCGTGGTAAGTGCCCATGAGGTGGCGTGGTGCAACTAGAAAGCGATTGGAGATACCTTACCAATCCGGTTTGTTTCATTTGAACGCCGCCAGATGGGGCCTCAAGCACCTTAAAAGATCAAAGGATCAGTGGCCTGTTTAGGATTGAATTTGCCTCTAACGTTGCAGTTGTAGCCTTACTGGTTACGTCGGCTCCCAAGTTTACTAAACACACTTTTTATATTTCCTTGTGTAAATGTTCTTTTTATTTTCAGGTCCGGTAAGCGTGGTCGGATCTACCTTCATAGCCTCTCTAAGCGCCAAGTTAGCGCCTCAACTGAGCCCCAGATCCTCGCGCCGCCACTCAGAAGACCACTCGTCCGCGATGCCTATGCCTAAGATGCCGCAGCGCGCCACGGGTCCGGGACAAAGTTTCCTGGACTCGCTCAATGCCAAATTGGCGCAACAACATAAGAAATCACCACATTCCAATAATACCAACAACAAGGGCAGCAGGATCAGGCAACTTATGAACGATACCGCAAAGGTGAGATCACTTTCTTTTGATTCTTACTTTAATTTTATAACCGCCTATAACTAGAGAAGTTCCGCTCGGATTTTGATGAAATTTTCACACAAGGTTACTAGTATGCGAGGGATGAAAAAACGTCGCAGGTCTAGAGCAGATATCTTTAAACAACAAAAAACTTGTGATCGGAAGTTCGAATATTATCGCGAGTTTAATGCTTCTATCATTTGGGTAGTCGTAGATTTTGAAAATTGAGTCAGAGGCGACCGAAATAAAATCGCCTGGAACATGTTCCAGAGACTCTTGCTCATTTTCAGGCATTGTTTGGAGGGGATGAAAATTGAAGGCTCGAAGCTGTATGCGGTAAATTATTGTGAATTTTTTTTCAGCTGGACGTAAAAGAATGCCACGACTCTCTGATGGATCAAATAAGACGTGGAACTACGCTGAAGAGGACGGATATATCGAACGACAGGTCAGCTCCAAAAATATTCTAGATTTATGTACCTAACTATCGTTTATTTATTTAGTATTAAATGTTCGTCAAACATGTTCACTACATAACCACTGGACGATTTATATGGATGATACCATCGCCTGGAGTGTGCAGCATACGAAAACATCCTTTTTTTCAAAACTCAAAAATAATTTCTTTAAGGTGGCACGTCCCTTTTTTTCAACTACCTGTTTGCAATAGTATTCTAACTCCTTTTCATCTGATAATTTCATGGTGTGTATAGAAATGATTAAAAGACAATGTTATAATTTTTTGTGCATTTTTTCTGCAATCGTAACTTGTTAACAAATATAGGTACAGCTCTGAAATTGTGTGTGAATATTCCTCTTTTATGGAAGAATGTAACGAGTGATTACTTTTGTTCTTATCACTTTTCCTTTTCGAAATATCTTTGATGTCTTGAAAAAACAATGTTATCCTTTTTTTGTGCATTTTTTCTGCAATCGGAACTTGTTAACGAATATAAGTACAGCTCTGAAATTCTGTGTGAATATTCCTCTTTTATGGAAGAATGTAACGAGTGATTACTTTTGTTCTTATCACTTTTCCTTTTCGAAAAATCTTTGATGTCTTGAAAAAACAATGTTATCCTTTTTTTGTGCATTTTTTCTGCAATCGTAACTTGTTAACAAATATAAGTACAGCTCTGAAATTCTGTGTGAATATTCCTCTTTTATGGGAGAATGTAACGAGTGATTACTTTTGTTCTTATCACTTTTCCTTTTCGAAAAATCTTTGATGTCTTGAAAAAACAATGTTATCCTTTTTTTGTGAATTTTTTCTGCAATCGGAACTTGTTAACAAATATAAGTACAGCTCTGAAATTCTGTGTGAATATTCCTCGTTTATGGAAGAATGTAACGAGTGATTACTTTTGTTCTTATCACTTTTCCTTTTCGAAAAATCTTTGATGTCTTGAAAAAACAATGTTATCCTTTTTTTGTGAATTTTTTCTGCAATCGGAACTTGTTAACAAATATAAGTACAGCTCTGAAATTCTGTGTGAATATTCCTCTTTTATGGAAGAATGAAACGAGTGATTACTTTTGTTCTTATCACTTTTCCTTTTCGAAAAATCTTTGATATTCTTGAAGCCTCGCCTCGCAGCGAGTTGCGTTTACAAGAAAAGCATAGATTTTTCGAAAAGGAAAAGTGATAAGAACAAAAGTAATCACTCGTTTCATTCCTCCATAATAGAGGAATATTTTCACAGAATTTCAGAGCTGTACTTATATTTGTTAACAAGTTCCGATTGAAGAAAAATAGCACAAAAATGAATTTTTTGACAAAAAAAATTGGAAACGTTGTTTTTTAGTCACACTGCTGCAAGCAAGAAGTTGAAAAAAATCTAAAAAGGGACGTGCCGCTTTAAACGAGTACTTGTAATCGCGAAGGTTCCAGTTGTGTGCTGTTGTCTCTCGGTATATGGTATAGAGATCATCACAACTAAAAATGCATTGTAATACAGCTAATAACGTAACTGTCCTTAAAAAATAGGTTTTTTCAACGAAACTAAGAGTATCGTTATCAAGCAGAATGTTGATTTCTTTATACATTTATTTTAGTGTTTTCAGAAAATTTCAGGAAATCTTGATAGTTAATTTTCACTTTACATATTTTTCTTTGTACTCAAATCAACTTATTAGTGAAGAAATATCACTAAAATGTTCTTTTATATTCAAGATAAAATTAACAGTTCTGCATCAATTCGATAATAACTGCATCTTTTATCAGTTGTCATAGATAGGCGTTTAATCTGCGCTTAACTTATAAACGTGCAGGTTCAAAGATACTGTGGTAAAATTAATATGGAATATTCACTAATATAATGTAAATCCTGAAACTTATCCTTCGGTTTTCATCTGCAGAGGCCTCGCTTGTCATGCCCAATCAACACCAGATTTCAGTTTATTATACGACGTTTCGACTTCCACTGTGGACTTTTTCAAATACAACAAATTCTGATAGGTTTGAAAAAAATGCATCCCTGTTTGTTGTATAAAGTTACATTTATACCATATGAAAAATCGATAATCGTTGATGGGGCTCTAGTTATGCTCTCCAATATATATCTGGTTTTGATTCGACCAGACAATAGGGTCCTATTCACAAATATATTGAAAAAATAACGTTTTTCCTGTACGAAGCTGCCAATACCTATTTTCGTGAATAGGTGTGTTTTAAGCTATAGAACATATTTTGAAAACTGCATTTTATTGCATTTAATGTTTGCTAAAAAGTGAATATTTCAGCTATATCTAGGCATAACTGTAATTACTAAAATCATAATCTGTGTGAAGTATCCGTGTCACATCTTGTTCATAAGGAAGTTATAATAGTTAGATTTAAAATTAACAAAGGGCAATTTCACTTAACGAATGTCAATCAGTAAATAATTGTTCATTTTTCCAAATGTGCGTCAAAGCAGCTTGAAATTGATTCTTCAGTTTTTTTTAATTAATCTGCTCAAATTAAAATAACTAAATTAAAAAAAACATGGTATATTGTCATGAGTGGCTACCATGTCTCTAGAAAAGTTATATTATTGCTGCACTTTTTTGAGACCACTACGTATTTCTATGTGAATTTTGAAGTCGTTTTCAACAAATGGTGTCACTATTGAGTTTCGAGTTATGTTTCCCAACTTTTGTTATGTGGAATAACCCTTATAATGAAGATTATTACGCAACTATCTGTCAGTGGTGTCTTCGTATGGTTTTCGCATGTTGATTTTTGAAGAGTTAATAACGATAATCGAAAATGTCTGTGTCGTATATTTACTGCTTAAATATACTTGTGTGTTAAACCGGAAAATGTGGCGCACAAATACAATAAATTGCTTCTTTTGCAGTCCTGGAATACCATTACCTCTAAAGGGAATATCAAACGATTCTGGTGGTGAGAAATAACAAGTGAAAAGTGAATATTGGTTGCACTACAATAAATTTATCTGAATTTTCAGTTGTTTTCATATCATTTTGAACAAATAAAACGCGAATCAAACAAAATGCTAATAATCCTTATTTTCTATTCCATTAAGAAATGTTTGTTCTGTCAATAAATGGGCGCATTTAAAAACGACAGCACTCTAGCGCACATCAAATAGCGTTTCAAGTGATGTGGTTCCCTGAACGCACCCAAAATAATATTTCAAGTATTTTGCTTTATAATAACTGACAGAAAGTTGCGGAAAAATCTGCAATGTATTCGAAAAACTCTTAAAGCAATGTTAATCCGTCTAGTAGCAACTATCGGTACTTCCAGATTTCAATTTTTTTTCTACAAACACGTTGGATGATCAATTATTATTATTACCTTTGTATTTTTACTGTATTTATTGACGTCCATATTTATTATACGAATCTGACTGAATTATTTTTATATATAGATAGTATTATCAAGTAGGACTGATGTTCAAATATGTGTAAATTACTAATGTGATTTCGTTCCATAATATATTCCTTACTGTACATAGAAACTATCTAAGGGGTCTTTAAACTATCGTGACTTTGTTTTGGTATCAACACGCATCAGATTTCTAATGGCAACACCAAAGCTTATTGAACTGATAATACTGGTCTTCCTTTATTTAGCATTAATATTTTTGGCGCTGGATATTGTCAAACTTTGGAGCTAAATGATTTTTTAGGACACTGTCAATGGTAGTTTTCTTGAAAATCGTTGGAAAGTACACAAAAGTTGAAAAATATTCATGGCTAACCTTAGAGAAGCTTGTGTTTTTGGCATGTATCAAGTTTTAGTTTGAACTTTATGCGAGGACTTGGGGCAATAAGGTACCTTAGTCACATTGACTTCTTTATGTAACATTTTTAGGAACAGCATTTGATGACAAATGAGTCGTAAAAATATAATTTCGTTTTTGAAAATAATGTATTGGTATTGAAAAAAATTGTGCTCCAAGGGTAGCTTGAAAATAGTTTCTTTTATAAATAAACATATAACTTGGGTGTTCGTTGTTCAAGCTTGCATATGCAGGCTTCACTAAATTTTGCGGATTCCTTATCTACGTTATAGTATTTTTTTCGTAACAGATGTAGATTCAAATGCGTAAAAGTTCTGTATTTCCAATAGGACAGTGAGATGCATTTCTTGAAGATGGTTACATGAATTTATTTGGTCCAGTTTTTTGTGGTCTACTGTTGTTGTTCTCGATAAGTATAATGATATCCTATGATAAATAGATTGGTTTGAAATCATTATCTACCGGTATTGTGAAACTACACTACCCAAAAAAAAATAAAGGAGAAAGAGAAAATCCAAATTTTTTGGTGATTTTGAGAGGCTGGATTTCGGTGAAAAATGGTTGTATCTAGACTTAAAAAAAAGTATATTGAAGCTTCAAGATTCTAGTTTTCAGGCTTCTTAGCCGAAAAATATTAGGAGTAACGGTTGTCCTGCAATTCTATTCCATCATGTGTATCTGATACCCAGTTTATTCAGCTTCAAAATTTCGTCATACGATTATTTATCGCGGCTTTGAAAAAGGATCATTTTGTCATCGACTACTGATATCTCGGAAACCTGTGATCGCACAGAAAATGTAATGATATTTCCAAAAAAAATTACAATTGTGACAACAAAAGAAGAAAAATGTTTTTGGCTCCTTTGATTTCTTTCAAGTTTTGACCTAATCGGTCTGAAGAAACTGTACAATTGATCTATCTGCCATCGTGCAGGGTTATTAGGGGTACATTGAGGTATAAAAAACCTAAAAACGTCAGCCTTCTCATTAGAAGTTCCAAAAATGCGGTAGATTTTCCAAAACAATGCAAAAAGTAAGTGTTTTGACTTTTTTAAAATCAGTACTAAGTAAACGAAAAAAAAAATCCTCAAAGATAGCAATCAAATTTTAATGGGGGTTTAATTCCAATTTTCGGAAATACCCTTACGTTCTTTGTGCGATTACTGGTTACCTAGATATCAGTGGTCGAGGGATGCTTTTTCATTGAAAATCGGATATCTTCGCGCCAAATGATCGTATCGAGATTTTAAAAACAGAATATTGAAGCTGAATAAACGTGTTATCCGATCCATATGATGGCCTAACAGACAATTTTTTTTCAAGGTCGTGGACTAAAAAGGAGAAGTAAAAAATTTCTTGCGCTATCTGTTAAAACTGCATGAGATCCGTTGCCCCTAAAATCTTTCAGCTAAAAAACCTGAAAATTAGAATTTCAGAGCTTTAAAATGCTTTTGTTAAAGTCTCGATACGACCATTTTCCACCGAAATACAGCCTGCCAAAGATCACCGAAAAAATAAGGATATTTTTCTTGCTCCCTTAAATTTTTTCAGTAGTGTAATACAAAACATAGTTTTCCTACGTAGCAAAGCCACATAACGGCAGTAAGGTCATTATTTATTTGCCCTCAGAGTCACTATCATGGATTTGCTATCAGTCCGATGATACTTTTTGTCCTTCCTTTCTAACAGCTAATTGTAAAAAAAATCAACATCAGCCATAGACGCAACGGATGCTTTTCGATGGATTTGTGGTTTTTTATTCAAATGTGACTTAGATATGTACCTTATTGCCCCAAACCATTCAAATTAAAATTTATTTTCTTCATAACCTGATTTCAGTTTTGTGACCGAATTTTTAAACTTGGTGCCCACGAACCTTTTTAACTAGTTAATCTAAATCTCATTGCAAAGCATAGACGATCGTGAAAATTTCGACTCTTATGCAGAAATAAATCATAGTTCTGCTATGTTCACGAAAAATAGTATGTTGATATTTTATATCAGTATTTTTCGGCGTGCTGTAGATTGATACATCATTATAAAGCTTGTGCGTTGGACTTTTTTCTTTATAATGCTCAGTCTAGTCTATGTGGCTGTTTTGAGGGAGTGATGACCTTGTCGTCAAAACTGAATCGCCTTGTGAAATGTTCTTTCAACTTAGGTAACAGGTGATACTCACTGGATGCCAAGTGCGTCGTGGATTGTCTTGCAAAAAGCTTACAACTTCTGCTCTCCATTCCTCTTCTGAGTTTCAGAATTGCGCGTAAATGTTGTATTCTATGTTTTACGGTATCTACCTTCAAGTTGAAAAAGCACATGATCGAAAATACCAGAGCGGAGGGGTAAAATAAAATGCCGAAATGCTGCTATTTGAAAATTTGAAGAACGCATATCAGAAATATACTATTTAAAAATTTGAGAAAATTTTTGGCAGTTGCCGCATTAAAATCGGTAGACCTGGTAACACTATTGCAAAGTGAAAGATGGGGTTCACTGCTTTCTCAATAATCTGACGGGGAGCTGGTGTGACCTGACAAAAAATGCCACAATATATACAAAAATCCGTTGACTGCAATGGCGATTGTGTAGATAAATAGACATTTGTTCAAGGTATTGATTTATGTTTTGATACTTCTAAAAAAAAATAGTAGATCGTGCTCTTGGGTTACCCTTTTATATTCGTTTGGATTACATATAGCTGAAGTTTGCCTTTTTCAAAATACTAAATTTTACACTTAAAATTTATATAAAGATTTTTCACGTTGAGCGACTTATTTTGGTACTCCTGGTTTTTCAATCAAAGTCCATTTATATAACGCATGAAGACCCGTAGTTTAGTCTAGCTGCTGTAAATAGCATATAAGCATTTAAATGGGTTAATATATTTAATGAGTAGTGTGTAGGAACATAGAGCACAATTATTTTTTGTGTATTCCATGAGTACAACTGTTGTTGTCACTTGTTATCTATCATTTATTTTTGTTTAATGTTCTATAAAATAAACGTATATATGCATGTGAAGCTGTAGTTGTTACGGACATTATCGTCAGATGGGTAAAACATGCTGTATATAACTCGGTAACATTTCTTGCAACATTCATGTTAAAAGTGATATGTCATTTACTTACGATTTAGAATGATAAATGTACGGTTCCAGCATTTTGCTTGATTTGTGTTGTGTCTAATAAAGGTATTAATAAAAGTCTTTTGTTCATTTTCACATCTATTATTCACCCTCCATTTCAAGTAGAGAAACAGCACGTCGTATCAGACTTTCGACATTTTTTGCGACTACAACCTACGATAATATTTGATAAAAGATGTGCGTAATGTAATGGTTTTCGTAAGAAAAAACTTTACATAACCCCCCGTACCTTCGATTCATCTAATAGAGTCATTTTTCCCATCTCTATAAGATAGGTTTCACGTATGCAACCATCATTGCACAAAAAACGTGATTCTGTGTTGAACTTGAATAAAAGGCGTGGCTGGAAGGTGCTTCCAATAATTCTTGACCACGCCCTCTATCGAAACTAGCCACGCCTTCTTTTAACTATTAGAATTAAATCTTTTTCATTCTTGTTCTATGGTAGCCGTCAGTGTTCCGCGGGATTGCGCCAAGTTTTGGTTATGTTGATGTTGATATTTTCAAACTTACAAAAAATATTTTTCTGAATATACTCAAAGAACTTTGCGAACTTTTACAATCTTCGTCGAATATGGAAACGAACGACTCCGAAGAAGATTCAGAAGGACTTGTGATAGAAATCTTGCCTCCAAAGAGAAAGTCTCCTCCGAGACCTACAAAAAATGAGATAATGATTATAAAAAGCATTGAAGATGAACTACAACGAAGGCTCGAGGAAAAAGCTACAAAAATAAAGCTCAATGCAAGGAATGTGAAAAATATCATCAAGCATGTTATTACGAATGAGCATGTTTTGGCAATGGTCAAAAAGGCGGAAAACCCGCACTTATATGACGTGCCTACTTACGAACCTAAACTCACCAGGGCCAAGGCAAGGTAAGGACTTTGGTATATAATTTATTAGAAATTCACAAAACCCATGAAATAGGCCAATAAATACAAAAATCTGCTATCAATATAAGTTAAGCCTAAGTTAAAAACACAATCTCCAAATAAATGTGGATTTAGGAATCTGCCCCTCTCTCTGAATCTGCTTTTGTCTCTCCATTACACATATAATTCATAGGACCATATTTGTTAGAAGGGACATATGGATCTGTTTTTTTTTTTTTTGTGAACTTTTAGAGAACTTTTGACAATTGTACCTCCACAACCTATACCCTGGGTTAGCACAAAACCTGATTCTGAAGTCCAGGCATTGATCTCTGAAGAGCTACCTGAAGATTCTGACGATGATGAATATGTTCCAGGCCTGGAAGATACAGGAGAGGTACTTTCCACTTAACATTGACATAGTGATATTATACAAGCTGTTTCATAGTTAGAATAAAATACTTGAGTGTCCTTTGGTTTTTTTCAAGGGACAATTCAAATGACTGAATATCCTAAGAATCTTCATTTTTGGAGAACAGGATGGTGAAGTTTTGGATATTAGCTAAATGGTTTTAAAGAAAAATATGGAGTGCTTCTAGTTTTTTTGCCATAACAAAAATTATTTTTATAATGTTCCATTCACTTGTGAGCAAAAATGATCTATTGATTTTCATACCACCAACATACAGTTTTTATGTAAAAAAAAATCTGAACCATTTCTCTATATAGTCATATATGCTATGTTTTTTATTTTTCTATGTGAAACAGTAGGGTTTTCCATTAAGGACTTGATAACTTTCTTTTTCAATAAAATGCAAACCATTTGATATATCTTAAAAATTTTATTAGCAGATTGAAGAATACTCAAAACATTTGACCTCAAAATTTTTTTACTAGACTATGAATTGCTTTGTTGTTGTTGTTGTTGAAGATTTATTTACCATTAATGCTACAATGTCAATGTTGTATAATGATTCAGTTACATATTTTTCTTCAATCCATTTCCTGTAATATTACATTCTTGTCTATTAAAATTATGTCACTATGTATTTTGATTATTAATAGTGATTTTTTAATTTTACCTTAAACATTTTTAAATTCAGATACTCCCTTTTGAAATATAGATTTACTAGTTATGCTTCTCTAAATGTGGTGGTAATAAATGATTTTTTAATTTGAATATGAAAACGAGAACTAAATAATATATGAAATTTTTCACATCCAACCACTTCAGTTCTAACATAGACTTAATCCTAGTATATTTGTTTTTATTTAAAATGATTCTCATAGCTTTATTTTGTAATTTTGAAAATATGTTTTCATTTGCTGTAAACAAAATGGTTGAACAATATAAAAAATGGGGAAGAATTATAGTGTTATACACAATTTTGTTGGAATACATACTAAGATTATAGGAAACTCTATAGAAGAAAACCTGATACAAGGCAAGGGAAAAACCACTGGCATACCATATACAGGGTGTCCGCAAAGTTGGGGTTTTCCTTTACACGACGTGTAGATCTTGAAAACATAAGCAATTTTTCTTAGTACCATATACACCAATGTCTTAAGGGAACCGAGATAAAGGGATCTGCAACATCAAAAATATCTGAATACCGTCCTGTAGCCGCGACATCCCCGAGTGGTACAAGGACACTAGCTCAACCCGACGACAGAACTGGGTCGGGGTCAGTGTGTCAAGTCAGTATGCAACCTTCAAGCTACGGTTACGGTCACGCGTGTAGAGGTAATCGCGTAGACGACAATCCCTCAACAAGCACTAGAGACGTGGCTAGAGAAGTGCAAGTATCAAAAACTAAAGTGTGGCAAACGCTGCGTGAAGAGGGGCTGTATCCGTTTCACGTCCAACGTGTACAAGCCCTTCAACCTGACGATTTTCCAGCAAGAGTGCGGTTTTGTGAGTGGTTGTTGCATCAACATGACAATAATCCGGACTTTTTGAAGTGCATATTGGTGACAGACGAATCTACGTTCACGCGTAATGGGGTGAATAACTTTCGCAACACTCATGTTTGGTCAGTAGAAAATCCACACGCTGTCCGTCGGGCACATTTTCAACAAACATTTTCGGTGAATGTTTGGGCTGGCATGGTGAACGGTATGCGCATTGGACCATTTATTCTCCCAAATCGTTTGGACGGGATGCAATACCTAGACTTTTTACGCAACATCTTGCCTTCCTTGTTTGCCTGCGTCTGCTCGGTAGCGCATCAGTTGATTTCATTTTCTGTTGGAGCGGTATGATTTCGGGCAGAGACGTACTTAGCCCTTCTCGTCAACTGGAGAGTGAGTACTTTTTCCTTTATTTTTTTTTACTTGGTCGCCCTCGTTTCACTACACATTACCTTTGTTATTTCAAGGGTAGTTGTTTCTGAAAAGGAAAACCCCAACTTTGCGGACACCCTTCTTCAAAATTACAACATCAGAAAGTTCCCCTAAATTCGTAGTAGATGTATACCAAATTTCATTAAAATATCTACAATAGTATATGCCAAATAAAAAATAATATTATTTTTTAATTTATTTTTAGAGTGAGTCTGACAGGGAGAGCTCAATCTTCAGTGATCCTCCTTCAGTTCCTCCACTAACACCGGCTTCTCCCTCCCCAAGAAAGAAAAGGAAAGAAAAGATCAGCTATTCAGAAGATGGTGTGTTTAAAATACCCGAGATCAAAACCAAAGATAACGAGAAGGAAGGTGTTGAAGATGAGGCTACAATTGCTAAAAGGACAAGGTAAAAAAAATCTACCAAAATGAATAGTTGCAGAATTTGTCTATGGATCACCATTTATATTTTTTCTTTTAAATAATCAGATATTGCAAATTGTCATAGACCTGAATTCAAAAAGTATTTTTTCCTGAAAATATGTATTTCTGAGCTAGAGGATAAATCATGTATCAATTAAAAAAGTTTACATGATTGGCTTTCACTTCACTATGATCAAAGCATACAGAGTTACCAGTAGAGCCACTGCCATGCCTGAGATGAGAGTGGGACCTAAAAAAAGGTTCCAAGTTCTTATGTAAATATCAGCTTCTTTGAAAGTCAGAAGATCCAAGGCTTCTCCGGGAGTCCCCCATCTACTGGTAACTTTGTATTCTTTGGCTATGATCTGTCTGTCTTACTTCTTTCACGCAGGTCCAAGTTATGCTTGAGCGACACCCCTCTGGAACAAATAGAGGAAGCCTTCGTACCACCGGATATTCCTCCTGACTTCTATGACATGGAGTGTGACCATGAAATTAACGATGACTGGATGGATTTTTTGAAAACGTTCACTCGACCTTTGGAAGAGGTAGTAAAAGCTCCTGAAGATGAAGAACATGATCCGGAATATAACATTCTAGGGGATGAGGATATTGATAAGATAGATAAAGAGGAATTACGGGAAGAATTGAGGATTGATAAGGCTGTAAAAATTACTAAAAAGGTATGGAATGACTTTTGTTTTGAACGCGCATATTTTTACATTATAATATTCCAGGAATTGAATAGTTTGATTGATGAATTGCTAGAATATTCTGACATGTATTGCAGTTTGGAAATGAACAAACTTGAACAGTCGTTCATTGCTGAGCACCCTGAAGAATGTAGTGGGATAAGAGATACTGAAACCAGCACAATTGTGAGTAAATATACGATATTTTTCTTGCTTTTTACTACAGTTTATGTTTGTTATTATCACCTATTGGACATTTAAATAAAAGCTTTTGATTCAGCAGTGCACAATTTAAATTTCAAGGTTGCTGAACAGACCTTAGATGAAACTGAAGAGGCTGAGGAATCATTTAAAATCAACATTGACATGGATCTTAATCAACTTGTATTGCTACAGCAGCAAATGAGGCAACACGTCCAGATGTTAACTCAGAATTTTATCTTAACATTTCACCATCCCGAGTTTCATCATTATTCTAGTCAAGTCAAAGAGTATCTGGTAAGAAAATACTGATAGCAGTAGAGGAAAAGTATTGAAATGGTTTTCAGATTATCTTACCAACAGGATGCAAGTAACTAAAATAAATAACGTTACTTCATCAAAAATGGAAAATGATTTAGGAGTCTCCCAGGGTAGTTTATTTTCATATGCAAAACTTAAAAGACATCCCTCGTTCAGTAAGAAAATGAATTGTACTACCGATTTTAAAAAATAAACGTACGCCATGTACCATAAACATGTTGAAGAAAAAACGATTTTCTTTAAAGGGAAAATGTAATTTTTATCACTTCTACAACATATGTGGCATAATAGAAATTGTATAAGAATGTTCAAATGGAGCATAGGGTATCTTCTTATAGGAAACGTTAATTAATGAAAAAACTTGATCTTTCAATATTTTTATTAATAACGACAGCAGCCGCTTTTTTAATTCTCCCTTTTTCAAGTTTTCGATTGTACCTGAGAATTTTATATTTTAGTTAAATCTGAAACTGCTAGCTGGTGACAAAGAACGATCACTCTATAGTGCGATGAATTTGACAAATGCTTTAAAATTAGTTGATTTCTGGGAAGCTCTTGTTTCAACACAAAATGAGGCTGTGGTTAAAATGAAAAAGTAAGTTGTATTTCTTTGGCGTATGTATATAGATAGGGCTTTACACAGTTTTTGGTAGGTCACAGTAAAAGAAAATTACAATCGGCCTCTACTCGTTTTTTAGTTTTGTTACATATACTAAGTGACATATAAATCCGAACACCCAGTTTAAATGGTTTTATTTTATTGTATTTATCTTACTGTAAATAACAAGTGAAAACATTTTCAGCCTTATCAGTTGGACATTCCGGTTTTTATACTGTTTTTTTTTAATTCACTAACGCTCTAAAAATGAATATTTCAGCCGCAGTAAAGAATCAACGCTGGCGGATTTTGGTTCTTGACATCCTTTACGATCGGTTACGATGTCTAGAGTACGGAGACCTGTACGATTTCGTCAACTTAGTGAGTTTGATAGGGGCCGTATAATGGGACTTCGGGAAGCTGGACTTTCTTTTCGGGCAATTGCAGTTAGAGTGCAAAGAAGTGTAGACACTGTGGTTAGGTGTTGTCAGGCATGGCTTCGAGAAGGCCGTACGTAAAGAGCAAGGGTCACTGGACGCCGCCGTAGAACAACCACCAGGTCCATTGCAAATGAATGGTTTGCAGAACACGGAAGACCTATTGGCATGCGAAGTGTTTACCGACGAATGAGAAGTTTTGGCTTGTTTTCATACCGGCCACACTGGGCCCTCCCTTTAACTCGAGAACACCGACGTAATCGCCTTGAGTGGTGCAGACAACGGTCACTCTGGGATCAGGAATGGAACAGTATTGTCTTTAGTGACGAGTCTCGATTTTGTTTAGGCATGCACGATGGTCGTGCCAGGGTTAGAAGGCCACGTGGTGAACGGAGGAATCCACAGTTTTTTGTTGAAAGACATGTTCATCACACTGTTGGAGTTATGGTTTGGGGTGCTATAGCTTATGGTTCCAGGTCACCTTTAATCTTCATCAGAGGTAACATGAACGCGCAGCGTTATATCCACGAAGTTCTAGAACCCCATCTTTTACCCTATCTTGACACCCTGGCAGATCCAACTTTCCAACAAGATAATGCCCGACCACATGTTGCAAGAGTCACAATAGACTTCTTTCAACATAATGATGTCACATTGTTACCATGGCCACCAAGATCTCCCGACTTATCCCCAAATGAGCACGTGTGGGATATGATGGGTAGGAGATTGCTCAATTTGCAACGTCCTCCTCAGACTCTAGAAGCACTTCGAGAGGAGTTGGTGGTTGCCTGGAATGAGATACCACAGGAGGACATTGACCACCTGATCAGAAGCATGACTAGGCGCGTTGGAGAATGCGTAGCACATCAGGGTGCATCCACACATTATTAAAGGTCAAAGGGCTTTAAAGCAGTGCAATCATTTACTTATTATGCTTCATTAAGTACTTATACAAAATTTTATTAAAATAAAACCATTTAAACTGGGTGTTCGGATTTATATGTCACTTAGTATAGAAATGCCTGGAGATATCGACAATTTGTATTGAGTTTTTTGGAGTATTTTCGAAAAACGAATGAAGAAAATGATTCTCTAACACTCAATTCATGTGCGGGGAAGCTAAGCTCCGGGTAAACCGCAGTTAGTTAACCTATTTACTTATTCCATACATTGTTGTGAGTAACCGCCAAAAATCGTGAAAAGACCTTTACACAGTGTGTCGTAATTGTTAATATTTAACGGAGAGATATTTGGGTCCATTTTAAAAAGAACATGTTATGTCCTGAATGTCTTAACTTTTAAGATAAAATACGGTATAGTATTCAAAAATAAATAATTCATTATTAATATCTGTAAATATCACTTTAGTAATTTTAATGAAATTTGACATACATGCACATTTTTTTAAATTTCCACCTGTGGCAATTGTACGAAATTTGCTGTCCATTTTGGTAGACATTGATGGTACGCCACTGATTTCGGTTATAATAAAAAATATGCCTGAAATAACCATTGATTTCTAAGAAAATTCGATCGATTAATTTTTTCAATCCGCATGGTTTTCACTTAATTAATAAAAACAGTTTCTCTGGGTAATAATAATAATATCGTTAATGACAATATCACCACCAAAAATAGCTTTAATTTTTTTTAAGTGAAAACCGTACGTCAGACGAACAAAAACTCAAGATATCAATAGAGATTTATTTTTCTATATTGAACAATTTACCAACCTGAAAGTTAAGTCTAGGTTCTATACTGATAAGAAGCTTTCTTCTGAAAATGGTCCCAAAATCGTCGCCATTAAATATTGACGTTCCTGGATAAATTCGTTTATCCTAGTTCAATAAGCATTCACCTCAAAAAAATATTTTTTCCAGGCATGTAAGTGCTACCTTATCAAAAATGTGAGTATGGTGTTAGTTGAGAGATTCATAAGTACTCATTATTCCACTAATTTCAGGATTGATTATAAGCAAATGGGCAACACGTATATACCAACCTTCCCTACTCTTATATTTGAAACGATTTCTAATAGTGATGTATTTATTTATCCGTCACTGTTACCTAAGATACCTTTCAAATCGGCAAAAATGTTTAAGGGAATTATTCCTTTTACAAATTCGGAAGACAAGTGAGTATATACGCAGGTCATTTTTGGGACCACATATTGTTTTTCTTTATACATACAATGCTTCTCTTTAATGTCCCCGTCCCCTTTAATTCAAAAAATTAAAACTTGAGGTAATGAAATTGATGCGTGGATACCATGCTTTAGAGTAAAATTGACAGATGAAAATGTCAAGATGGATCTTGGAGAAAAAATTATATGAAAACGGGGGTCTTGTGGTATATCATTTTGAACCTCCTGACGAGTACTTCATAACCCTAGAATATAAATTCAATACCGTTACCTACTACAAAATGGTGGTACATTGAATAATTGCCTGAATATATTGACATTTAACTTGAGAATTCGAACAAATACGTTGAGTTCGTTATGGCAGTCACAAATGTAGCATAAGTAAACGTTAGCTTTATTTGATATTCATTAATTAAAGCATCAAATAATGTTAACGCTTACGTAAGCCTCTACTATCTACAAGAGAGTTGTTCCAATTGTTTCTAAACCCTCAAAACAGTGTAAACAAATTACTTCAGAGCTTACCAAATTCTAACCAAACCTTGTCGTGCCTCCAAATGTATCCAATAGGTAACATAACACCACAGAATCACTGCATATTAGCACCGTACACCACATTCGATCACGAAGATGTTTCTTTGTTTGTACCCGACGCGCGCGACGTGTTACCTCGGCGAGATCCAAAGATCGACTGAACAGCAGCAATCCGTTGTGCGCTGGCCGTACCGAAACGCGCTCGATTACGTCAGTCACATGTCCTTTTCTCTCTGCCAATCACATCTTAGGCGGAAAGTGGCGTGCGGGGTGGGCGGAGCTAAGCCACCGCTGGCAAATGGGGTAACTTCACGATGGGCGTTGTTCAACGGACATGTGACTGTGACGTAATCGAGAGCGCTTCGGTACGGCGCACAACGGACAGCTGCTGTTCAGTCGATCTTTGGATCTCGCCGAGGCAACACGTCGCGCGCGTCGGGTACAAACAAAGAAACATCTGCGTGTACGGTGCTAATATGCAGTGATTCTGTGATGTTATGTTACCTATCGGATACATTTGGAGGCATCAAAACTTGCTTAGAATTTGGTAAGTTATGAATGCATTTGTTTACACTTTTTTGAGGGTGTAAAAAATAACTGGAACAACTTTCTTGTAGATAGTAGAGGCTTACGTAAACTTTAACCGTATTTAATGCTTAAATCAATAAATATCAATTAAAGCTAACGTTTACTCGTGCAAAATTGTGACTGCCATAACAAACTACTTACAACGATACTTCAACTCAATCCTGACGTTAATTTAAGCGATCCTTTGTGTTCATTTTGTATTGTTTGCAATAGTACGTGCCTAAACAATTTAAAACATCGGCGTAACACCTATTCACAAAGCAGGAGATAAAGAATATATAAGCAACTATAGACCAATAAGTATAATATCAAATTTAGCAAAGTTATTTGACACGGTATCTCATCCTATGCTCCTCCAAGCACGGGAGAGACATGGAGTTAGAGGTGCTGTTTTAAATGTATTTAGAGATTATTCAATGCATAGAATTCAGTACGGACATTCTAGGTGAACAAATGACGGTTCAGCATGGTGTTCCGCAGGGTACAGTACTTGGACCGATTCTTTTCAATATATATGTAAATTACCTCTGCAGTCTTGCAGTTGATAGCGAGGTAATTGCCTACGCTGATGACACCGTGGTGGTGTTTCATGCCGAGACATGGGAATTAATAGTATTTTCCAGCACATCCAAATACAGTTAAAGTTTGTTCGATGAATAGAAGCCCCACAATATGAATTCCCAATATCCCAGCCCAAACTTTAATTTTTTGCGGATATTGAGTATGAGTTTCCCGAAAGACGTGAGGATTAGTGTCACTCCAAAAACGACAATTTTGTCTATGCACATTACCGTTGAGAAAAAATGTACATTCATCACTAAAACAAATATTTTGGATATAGGTAGCATGCCGTGCAATGGTTTCCGTCATAGTCTCGCGGAATTCTGTTCTTCGATCAGGGTCATCTTCAATTAGATGATGTACCATTTGAATTTTGTATGGGTGATACTTATTCTTTTTCAAAAGTCTCCATACAGTAGAAGGACAAACCTCGCATACATTCGCGATGGAGGAAGTAGACTGTTGGGGATTTATATGATCTCACCAGTTATTTGAACATGCTTTTCTTCCGGGATGGTCGGATGACCTGGTGGCTTTTTGTTGTTTACACTACCAGTAGCTGTAAATTTAGATACAAGTTGCCTTAAATATTATCTACAGATAGGACGATTCGGGAAACGATCATTAAAAATCATTTCGGTCTCGTCGCGTCGCACCATAAATAAAAATCGCTTCGATTTTTTCTTCCAATGGACGAGAATTGACCATTTTGAAAATACAGCAGACGCTCGATAATGTAAACTATTTTAATCCAAGTGTGGTTCACATTATCGAAATGTTTACATTAGCGAATGTGATTTATATAATATTTGATTTATTAAAAGAAACGTTTAATACATACTATTTATAACAAAATAAACAAATATTCTAACAGCGATAAGTATTTTTTTAATTAGAAGAAAAATAATTAACAATTTTTGTCTGCCTAAATTTGCGCTTAGCATTGTCTTCCAATGCCTGCGCCCGTAATTTACGAAGAATAAAATGTCCGTGTATGAAACTTCTTTTCTTTCAGCCCAATCTAAAGCTTGGTTAAAAACTTGTATAGCTTGCGCGTCAGTCACTACATTTCTGACTTCAATGAGATCGTTCTCATCATCCTCACTGTCCATATCCTCCTCCTTATCAGCATCATTCGTCTGCTTATCTTCGTTCCATAAATTAATATCAGCAGGAGTACAAACAATGTTGGGATTCACTGTTTTCAATAAATCAACAACATCCAATGACACACTAATAACATTATCATTATTGGATCGCAAACGTTCTCTAATTACGCTTAAGGGGACATCGTCCTCTTCATCATCTTTATTATTGGTACAAAAGAGATTGTTCCAACATTTTTGAATAGTTTGCTGGTTAAGTTCATTCCAGGCCATATGTAAATTTAAAACAGCTTCTCGTAATGTTACTTTTTTTAAAGCGTCAGATAACTTTTCAGGATTCTTTGATAAGACAGACGAAAGTAGAAACTTCCTATAGTATAGTTTGGTGAGTCTTATTATATTCTGGTCCATCGGTTGAATTAACGGTGTTACGTTGGGCGGCATGTACATGTCGAAAATTTACCCATCCCTGCTGCTCAGTTGTTGCTCGGGAGGATGACTTGGTGCATTATCCATAGTAACAACGCTTTTATTGGAAGCTTCTGTTGTTTTAGGAAACCTTTTACCTACAAATTGAAAACACATCTTCAAATTATGAATAGAGCATTTGTGATAATTGATTGTCATACCTGAGGGACAAAGCACCTGTGGAACCATTTCAGGAATATACTGCTAGTCATCCAAGCTGTTTTTGAACAGTCATAATCAAGGGATATTAACATTTTTAAATGAGCGCGGATTTTTTGCTTTCCCAATTACCAGTGGCTTTATTTTGTGTGAACCATTAGCATTAGTGCAGGCTAGAAACGTTATTCGTTGTTTCTCCGGCTTTCTTCCCGGGGCAGATTTTTCAAATGATGCAGCATAGGTTTTCTCTGGTAACATTTTCCAATAAAGGCCACTTTCATCTGCGTTGTAAATTTGTTCCATTCTTAAATCTAGCTCGGTAATTGTTTTCATCAATTTTTCTTTGAATGGTTGCACTAATTGTGGTTGTGCTGATAATTTTTCACCAGATATAGACAGCAGTTTGTTGCTTTCGATACTCCATATTTTTTTGCTAACTGTGTCACTCCCGCACCTAGTGCAACTTCGTCTATGATTTTCACTTTATCACTCAATTTTAAACACTTTCTTTTATAGGATGTGGATGCCATAGTCGTAAAATATATTAACGCGTGCAATGTATTCACTTAAGTTCAAAAATGAAATACATACGTACGTATAAACGTATCCTAAATGATCATACGACTGACCGAGTTTGTCGTATTTTATCGCAGAGGTGAATCCCCTACACTCTACATCATAAATCGGGGACTCCCCGACGCCCGACTTAAATCATCGAGGCTTCAGCATTTTACCGTCGCGCTGTTTCCGTGCGCCGAGAGTTGTTTACGTTATCGAGCGTACACATTGTTTACGTTATCGCGCGTTCCGTTTGATCCCATAGAACGAAGTTTGTGTTTACATTAGCGCAAGTTTTCATTATCCCGTGTTTACGTTATCGAGCGTCTGCTGTAGTTCAAACAATATCTAGCACTAAAACCGAAAACTAAATAAGAATATTTTAACTGTACAACGATGTTTGTTTTCGTACTGATATTCTTGTCACTGTCAACAAAAAATAACAAAACAAGTTTTTATCACGGTTGCTGTGGATACGGTAGCGAATTACAATTATTTGTAGAGATATGCATGTTAGTGGGTTTGTGTTATTAAATGTACCACCATTTTGTAGTAGGTAAAGGTATTGACTTTATATTCTAGAGTTATAAAGTACTCGTCAGGAGCTTCAAAATGATGTGCCACAAGACCCCCGTTTTCATATAATTTTTTCCTAGATGGCGCACAGGGGGACATTAAAGAAAAGCACTGTAAAAGCTTTAGACATGGGGTTTGTCAAGCTTACATTGATTAATAATTGAGGTACGATATTAAATAACGGGTTTCTGGCGACAACAAATATTGTCACTCATACTTCTGACCTTGAAATATGGGTACTGAAATCTTTGTAAAATAAAATAATATAAATTCTCCTAACCACTTGTCCTTGATTTTAGCCTGATTGCATTAGGGCTCGAACAGTTCGCACCGATAGTCGCCGCTCAAAAAGGAAGCTTCACCTTAAAAGGCGAACTAAGGTGGAGGGACGTTTGCGTTTACATTCACGATTACATGATGCCGTACAGAGATGTTAGCACGATAAAAAACCATATCGACAAGCTCAAATCCTACAAATGTGCCGATAATCCGATCAGGTACTATTTCGAAAGGAAAAAAGCACCGACTACCGTGCATTATGTTATCGATTTGAATCATATGGAAATCGTGCCGCCTTGTAGAAGAGTACCTGCAGAATTACCTTATCAGTGGAAAAACTACATTCACCCTAATTATACAGTAAGTGTTGAGCATATATTGTATTGAATCGGTAAAATGAATCGTTTGAAAAGTGTGGTGCCCATCTCTATAAATAGCCGTAGCGGATATGACAGATACTTTTGAGGTTATGTTTATATTTTCATCTGTCACTGTTGGTGTGTTGTAAACAAGTATTAATTTTTCCTACTGGAGAACTTTCCTAGGACATGTACGTACATTATTTCTCGAAGAATTGCATGAATAACGACAGTGGCGGGTTTTTTGGAATCGTTTTGTTTTCACATTTTTCCATCATAAAATATACATCTCATTTAAAAATATTGATTTTTGGGCATCACCTCGGGTTACCTTAATGTAACGAGTTTCATTTGGAGATGGAAATGGACATTTTGCCTGACAAGTTCTATATTTAAAATTTTCAGTAAGATATTTTCAAAAGCCGGTTCATATCCGTGATCTATATGAAAGCCTGTTCTCTGAGTGAATCAGGTCTGTAGATTCCGAATCTGATGTCATTTTGAATTCATGGCCCCCATGGTGTCTAATGTGTTACTTTTGTTTCTAAATGACAATCCTTTTACTTACTGAGTGATCTAACTCTGCAATATATGGAAAATTTGCAGCAACGATATTGTTCATTTAGATGTTTCATACCCAGTATCCTCAGCTGTGTCCTTATTTTGGCAGTGATTTAACAAAAGAAACGTATATATGTACTTAAAAACATTAAATTAAGTTAAAAAGCAAAAATTGGATCTATATTATCAAGCTCAAAAAATATTTCTGTTGGTATAGCACAAGGTATTAAACTAGGTCCACTACTATTTATTTTATACATTAATGAGATGTGTAATATTTTAGATTATTGTAAAATTCAGATATTTGCAGATGGTACATTAATATACACATCAGATGAAAATATAGACACTGCTTTAAAAATGCTAAATTGTGACTTGTCAAAAATCATAAATTGGTTAAATGTAAATAAACTAAAATTGAATGCTTCTAAAACAAAATGTATGCTAAATGAAAATACTATCACAATTAGGATAAATGGTGAAATAATTGAAAATGTTGAATCAATTAAATATTTAGGTATGTATATTGATAGTAAACAAAAGTTTGAAGATCACTACACACACTGCATTGTTTCAAAAATTGCCAAAAAACAATTTACTTTTAAAGGGCTTCTCATAGTCTTGGTACATATTCCAAGAAAATAGTTTATAATACAATTATTCTACTGTATAGTTCAACCATCTTATTCACTGCCAATGAAGCTGTATCCTCAACATCACAAGTCGTGCAAAATAAAGCTATGAGAATAATTTTGAATAAAAATAAGTATACCAAAATAAAATCTGTTACAAGAATTGCAGTAGTTGAATATAAAGACTTTCATATATTTGGCTCTTATTCTTATATTTAAATTAAAAGATCATCTTCTGCCACAACATTTAGAACACTACATAGAATTGAATAATTGAACAATTATTATACAAGAGGAAATATAGATTTTCATTTACAAAATTGCAATAGTAATATAACTAGCAAATCAATATTTCAGAAAGGATTACTTGAATTTAATCAACCAAATAATGTTATACATCTACTTGTAATTTAAAGATGTTTAAAAGAAAATTAAAGGAATATTTCATGGACAGTGACATTCTTAGAGATGCAAATTTTGTTTTTTTTTCTAAATATCTGTATGTTATGTAATTGTTTAGTTTTTCATAAGAATGTAATTGTAGTATGCTAAATATATCTTAAACAAACAAATTCAAATTTGTGTCACTGGGTGATATAAAAATGCCATTGTAAACTATACTATGGTAACCTATTCCTATTTTAGTCTAATTTTCAGAGTACAATTGCAACTTCAGCCGCATCTACACATCAACAAACAATTCTCAACTGTCACATAACAACAATAACACCTCCTAGAGGTATTTTACCTAATGCTACTAGTTTTTTCATAACCGCAAGCACTCCTATACAATCAAATCAGAGAGTCCGTAAGAGAAGACAGTTATATAAAAAACCTAAAAAAATCTTGAACAACAAGAGCCTTGAGCAGAAGGTAGATCCTCTAACCAAGTTTGTCAAGTGCTTGAGTCAGCCATCATCAGTTAGAAAATTGTTGGGTATGTATTAAAATATGTCAAGCCAAACTCTCATGTTATATTGAGTCATCTTTACAACTCTTTTTATACAATTTTCACTATATAACTGGAGAACTACGAATTGTTAACTGTTTTATATCTAGTTTGACCCACAATTGTAGGCTTATTCATGGCTGATGATAAAGAAAAAAGCCTGGAAGTCAGCAGTGAGACAAAAAAGCTTCAAGAACCCCTCCAAACTCCTGAACAAACACCTAAACCGGACAACCATGTTGGTTGTGCCCCCCAACAGGAATCTGTGATAGATAATGGTCTGTTGCCCAGCATGCCATTTTTAGCTACACCTGACAAAACTATCACAGATGAAAAGAACCAAAGTGAAGCAGCTGAGTGTTCTATAAATATCAGTCAAAATGAAGAGACTGTCGTTACCAGCAAAGAAGAATTGGAGAAGGTACAGGTTAATACACGACTCAAAAAAATTAAGGAAGCAAGACAAAGCTCAAATCATTCTTTTATTTTTGACAGGCGGTCTGAAACTCAGGTTTTTTGGCCTAAAAAATTCATCAGCAAGGGTTCTCATCCAATTCCATCAGCCCGCGGACTAAAAAGAAGGCAAACATTTTTCTTTTGCTGTGTTATAATTACATGTACTGTTGCTTCTAAAATTTTTCTGCTAAAAACCTTGAAAACTAGAATCTTAAAGCTTCTTGCTAAATGCTTTGTTTAAATCTATTTTTCTCTGAAATGCTGCCTTTCAAAAATCACCGCCCTTAATTTTTTTGGAAACATTAGAATTAATATATGAGTTTGCTGGAGTTACAAAATTGTAAAGTTTGATGTAAAAAAATATCCGAGTCGGTCGAAGATTAACTCTCGAACGTAAAAACTAGATGAAGTTTGAACTTTTTCGGGAAAAATCTGTCAAATTTTTGGCCCGTATACCAAGGTGTTTCAGTTTATTGTTGCATAACTTTAAGATTCGATAGAACTTTTAAAATTAATGCATAAAGTCTACATAAACATGGGTCGAAAAATGCGTGGCCTCCGAAATACAGGGTGTTTAAATTTACTTTCTAAAATAGTTTTTTTAAATATTTCGAACAATATTTGATGTATAACAGTGAAAATTGGTATGCAAGGGTTTTTTGGTACGACAAAACGAACCATGATCATAGTTTTACTGTAGCCGCTAGAGGGCGCTCTCTGCTGTATCTGTAGTGAATTAAAATGACCGAAAAAATTTTCTAAGTGCAATTTTTTGCTTTTTGAATAAAAAAACTGATTCTTCGCACTTTTCAACATAAAAAAGCTCTCTTGTGAATTTTCGTTATAGTTAGCCGTTTTTGAGCTATTTCGATTTTTAAGGTCCGATGCATTTTTATTCAAAAAGCAAAAAATTGCGCTAAGGAAAATTTTTCGGTCATTTTAATACACTACAGGTACAGTAGAGAGCACCCTCTAGCGGCTACAGTAAAACTATGCCCATGGTTCGTTTTGTCGTACCAAAAAACCCTTGTATACCAATTTTCACTGTTATACATCAAATATTGTTCGAAATATTTAAAAAAAACTATTTTAGAAAGTCAATTTAAACACCCTGTATTTCGGAGGCCACGCATTTTTCGACCCATGTTTATGTAGACTTTATGCATTAATTTTAAAAGTTCTATCGAATCTTAAAGTTATGCAACAATAAACTGAAACACCCTGTATATCTCGGAAAGTACTGATCGGGATTGGATGAAATTTTTACACAAGGTTACTTCTAAGGACGAAAAAACTTTGTAGATTTTGAAAAACGGTCTAGTGGCAAATCTCGAAAATAATAAAAATCGGTCAAACTTGATATTCCAGTTTCTCACAAGTGAGTAGATATTTCTTGACATTTTCCTCAATCTCAAAACGAGGCAGCCTGTTTCTTAGATGTCACTTTCGGCGAGAACGCAAAAGCAATGCAACCAAAGACGAGTTAAAGTGGAGTTGTCCTCGGGTTGCTTTTGCTGAGAACAGTACCTAATCACATTGTAACCCTTTTTAAAGGATAATTTAGAAGATATACAAACATTGATGGCTGCCAGTTCAAATATCAAAGCTGCTAGAAAAGAACCGTCAGGTGCCGAGAAAAAGAGAGCAAAAATCAGAAGAGAATTTGTCGCTAATTTGGCTATAGCAGCACCTGAAGATCCCGAGGTTGAAAAACAAAAGGACGAAAGTAAGATAATACTTAGTAACGCATAGTTATTACACAATTCTTAATCCCCTCTTCACAATTCAATGATCCGAGCTAGGTCAATGTTTTGCAAAATATTTATATCAATAGTTTGTGTTATGAATCATAAAAGTTGCCGGCCAAATTGTAAACGTAAAACATTGCAATAACGCTACACGATCGTTACATGTGTGGATAACAAATTTAATTCTCTGCTTTTATAAGTTTGATATGAAATGTATGGCCACGTTCTATTGGTTTCAGGGATAAAAATTAAATCTTATTTGATAACACTGGTCAACGCTGGTTTTGCCACACGAACTTTGACAGCTAATTTTGTTTTATCAGTCTACCCTCATTATTACATGACAGCTGTCATATGTCTATTAGCCTCATATTTGTTGTGATACGGTAATACTCATAACTAGTACTACGGCAGTAAATTAACAGAAACGCTCACAAGTAAATCCTTATAAAAATATTTGTTGTTGAATTTGAACACTTTTTTGTGATTTATTAACCCTGTGAATATGTCGAGGAAGTGTAATAATGATCCTAACTCTTTTTGTTATGTCTGCGGAGAACTAACATTCAAAAAACAACGACGAAATTTTACGAATCTTGTGTTGGAGTGTTATCACCAATGTTTTGGTTTTTCTGTCGCCCATCAAGACAAATCCTGGGCCCCTCATGTCTGTTGTATAACGTGTGTGAAAAATTTAACTGACTGGAAGAAAGGTGCACGACCTATGCCGTTTGTTGTACCCATGATATGGACTGAACAGCGAGATCACGTTTCAGATTGCTATTTTTGTCCCACAGACATAAAAGTTATAAATTACAAGAAAAAAAAACCACAGTTATTTACCCTAACTTATCTTCGGCTATAAGACCAGTCTCTCATTGTAAAAAATTGCCAGAACTAATACCAGCTGCAACTACATCTGTTGAGAACAATTCACAACCGTCCACTTCAGGTGAATGTGTTGACGAAGACGATGACTTTGAGTTAAAAGGAATTGTAAACGAGCCACATTTGATAACTCAAGGACACCTAAATGATTTGGTTCGGGATTTAAATTTGTCAAAAAAGCAGTCAGAACTATTAGGATCACGTCTAAAAGAATGGAATTTGATACATCATTATACAAAAGTTCGCTATTTTCGAAACCGTGATCAACACTTCAGAACGTATTTTTCTCAGGATGGAGATTTGGTGTTTATAAATAATATAAATATATATATATATAAATGAGATTATGAAAATGTTGGACATAGATTTTGATCTCTCTCAGTGGCGTTTATTGATTGATTCTTCGAAAGCAGGTCTAAAAGCAGTGTTATTGCATAATGGAAATAAGCTTCCATCTGTACCTCTGGCCCATGCTGCAAATATGAAAGAAACCTATGAAAATATGAAACTTTTACTTGATAAAATAAATTACAGTACATATTCCTTCAAAATCTGCGGTGATCTTAAAGTTGTTGCACTATTACTTGGACTTCAGCTGGGTTATACAAAGTTTTGCTGCTTTTTATGTGAATGGGATAGCCGAGACAGAACTAATCACTATATAAAAAAACATGGCCTACGCGTGCATCGTTAGTTCCTGGGTAAAAAAACGTAAAGTATTTACCCCTTGTACAGCCAAATAATGTGCTTCTACCACCATTGCATATCAAATTAGGATTAATAAAAAAATTTGTGAAGGCAATGGATCGCAATGGGAGTGGATTTTTGTATCTAAAAGAAAAATTCCCTAAAATAAGTGATGCAAAGATAAAAGAGGGTATTTTTGTTGGCCCTCAAATTAGGGAGTTAATAAAAGATTCAAGATTTGAAGAAAAATTAAGCGATTTAGAAACATCTGCATGGAAGGCATCTGCATGGAAGGCTTTTAAAAATGTTGTTTCAAATTTTTTGGGTAACCACAAGAGTGACAGCTACAGAGAGTTGGTTAGCGAGCTATTATTGTCATATCAAGCATTGGGTTGCAACATGTCACTTAAGATCCATTTTTTAGACTCGCACCTGGATTTTTTTCCTGGCAATTTAGGGGCTGTCAGCGACGAGCACGGTGAGAGGTTCCATCAGGACATTTCTAATATGGAAAAGCGGTACCAGGGCAAATGGAGCCCAAATATGTTAGCAGATTACTGCTGGACAATTAAAAGGGACCAACCAGAAGCTAAATATTCAAGAAAATCTTAGATTAAGTCATTTATAAAAAACAATAACTTTTGATTTACGAGATCTGTTTTTTCTTAATATTTTAAAGTACTCAATAGAATAAAATCCTTGTCTAGCAAATTTTTTTTAACTGTTTATTTTTTCTTACAATCACCAATTAAAGTAAAAAATATCAAAAAAGTCCGTGTGGCACGACAAAGTTAAAATTTTGTTGACCAGTGTAATTTATACTGGGGAGTTGAGCTACATTCTGTTTCAATCCACGAATTTCTAATACACACAATGTTATTACAGTGCTAAAAGCGAAAACGCCTTGTAGTTTTTGAAAATCTCTTCAGTGGCGGCCGAGCCAGGAGCAAAAGAAAACGTTAAAACTTAATTTTTTGGCATTTCAGAGGTTATCATTTTCAGAAAGAAAAATTAGTGGTTGAAAATTGGGGTTGGTGGATTTAAGTGGTGAGGGAGAGCTTAAGCTTAATGGTTTAACTTGTACAGAACTTAATCATTTATGAAGAGATGACGGGGTTGGGTAGGAAGTGCAATCAACCTACTAGACGTGACTTATTTCAACACGCAAAAAAAAAGAAGAATAACAAGTTTCATTTTTTCACATTGAGTCGATGACACACTTCTAGCATTACGGATTTTTTTAGTGTTTGCGTTAGCATATTATGACAAAATGCGGGAAGCGTTGGAACTGGATGACTATCACAAAATAATGCAGATCCTGAACGAACATGAAGCTGACGCAGTCGATCTGTATTACAAGGTTATCAAGATTCTCAGACCAAAGTATGATGAATTAGCTGAAGAATTTTTATTGTTTTTGCGAGAAAAAGAAGCAGCCGCTGTAAACGAACTGGTGCCATGGATCAGAATGCAAAATCGGTAAATAGGAAACTTTTACAGAGCTAAATCAAAACACTGAGAATGTTCGTTTACACATCTCGACCGTTTTATTAGCTCCATGTTTCATATGCGTGACATATAACAATCATAATGTTGCAGATCGAAATTTCTGAGGAAGCTCGAGACATATTTCAAAGATCAACCAGCAAAACTGAAGAAAATCTATTCGCTGTTAGTGGAGCTTTCAAGCACTGCTGATGTCTCAATGGAAGTGGTGAAGGAAAAGCTAATGCCTTTTTTCAAAGGAAACGCTATCCTGAGCGATTTGTTTTTGCAAAATTTCCTCAGCGAGAAACCTCCTGCAAGGTAACTTTGATTTTGCCACTGTTTCATGATGATCCTTGACACTTGTATGATATTTATTTATTCCGTAGCCTCTTGGAAGGGCCATACGAAACAATAGATATCAATAGAGAAATCGAAAAAACGGATAGTGGAGAACTATATGAAGTCATCAATTTACCTGAGGTCGAAGATAAGTATGGCTGTTCGTCTTGCATTTGCAACTGCCATGAAATTGAAGATCCTGAGTTCAAAACCAGATACAGGCACTGCATAAAATGCGGCACTAAGGTATACACAAAGAAGCTCCTAAATGGGCAATATTTCCACCCACTTGACTTCATTTTTTTTTTTATTTTCAAGTTTATAAATGGAAGAGTGTTTATACAATCTGGGAGAGGCCTGAGACCTGCCACAGTCTCGTTTCCTATGAATCCCGACAAAGACCATAACATCAGACTGTTGGGCGAACCCTCGAGTACCGTTCATAAAAAGCGCTATGACTTGAGTCCTTCAAAACAGACCATGGGGTCGCCGACCAAGGAAAATGCTGAAGAGGTGAGATTCGGAGATTCCCGTAATTACAATAGCTTACCTGAATTTGTTTTTAGGAAACAGATGACGAAAAGGAAGGCAAGAAATCTAAAAAAGTACAAAGGAAGAGAAGGCAACCTGTTAAAAGCTCTAACAGTAGGAAATATCTACAGAAATTGAACAGTGACTTGAAGAAGCAGTTCGAGGCGAGGTCTGATAGTGTTAGTTCAACAAGGAAAGAGTATCGACAGGTATGAAGTAAACCTTACGCTTACGGGGTCAAATTAGTTGATTCAATTTTTTTGTTTCAGAGTCGGAAAAGGCCATTAAAGTCCAAGAAACTGACGGCGAAGAAGAATATAGAAAAAGACGAAGATGAAAGCGAAGATAAACTGGCTTCGAAACCTGGCGCCGCTCCTGGCCAAGAAAAGAGATTTGCTGAAATCTCTGACAATGAGGATGCACAGACTCCGGAAGAGTTGCCTTGTGATCTAAAGCCCGCTAGTCCTGAGCTGAATACGGCTGAATCAGAAAGTGGTAAGTGTGAAAAATTATATGTTATTTAGTTCTCATTTTCATATTCAAATTGAATAATCATTTATTATCACCACATTTATAAAACTTCACAAAATGAAATAGTCATTATCATAACTACTAAACTAGAGGCAGTATAGATTCATCTGCAAAATTAGCGTTTTAGCGTTAATGCTAAATAAAAACACGACAATCAAACAGAAAAAAGTACATGTCAAGTTTGCCTTGATCTTTTTACTTCCGATAATTTCAGAATTTTGTGAAGAATCTTCTCAAGACAACTGCGAATCTGACAGCAATTCAAGCACTAGTTCCCTGTCACAAAGTGACAGTAATGCAGAAGAAATTTGTTGGAAGAGAGAAGAGGACAAGATCATCTTGGAGACCTTCCAGAAAGAAAACGATAAGGAGGTTGCATTTAAATCAATATCTCATCAAATAAGAAATAGGAGTAAGTCTCAGATTAGGAAGAGATTTGATACGCTTATGAAAATATTGATTGAAACTATAGGACAGAGATAATTGTTTTTATAAGAATTTATATGTTAGGTTCTACAAAATGCTATATTTGAGCTGAGATCACACCAGAGGTGGTAGGCTTAGCAGCAAGAGACAAGCTGGATGCTAATATACCATTGAACGTATTTCTCTTATCTCGCCCACACAAAAACGGTCCAGTTGATCTATGATCAGAATCAATAACTTATCAAAAAGAAAGTGCATATCACGCAGTTGGGAGCTCCGAGCATTGCATTTACCTCAGAAAAGCAACGTCTGTTTTGTGTTGCGTTATAAGCATTATATAAAGGGAATCACGGTTAAAGTCCAAAGGCTGCAGTCTCTTTAATTAGAACTATTGACAATGACTGAATTCTGAGTTGCTGAGTTTGATCCACCAAGAGGAAAGAAGATTTTGAACTGAAAATTTTCTATATCGCATATTTTCAAGGACAACATCAAATATTTTTTTATTTTTATAATACCTTCTTTCACTAGACTCTAGATATCCCAACATGCCACCTCGGCGTCTAATGTGTTATCCTGCCACTAAACGTACCACCTCAGAACCATGATCAGCAATGACTGCTGTCAGATTGCGAATTTTTACGTAACCTGAAGTTTTCTGCACTGTTATATTTTATAATTATTTAGTGACCAAAGCTTCATTTTGTAATTTAATATTGTAAGACCATTTTCTGTGATTTATGAATCACCTAATTTCTGTTTATATATCATCTATTGTATATAAATTTGAACTCGCGTTGAAGGGACTTTTATATTTTCGTAATAAAAAAACTTTTTTCAAACAGCAGTTTTATTACAATATCCATCCCTTGTTTGGTCTTTTAACGTTTATTTATATAACATTCTGTCATCTATAATAGTGACGAACAATAGAAACGGAGCATGATGGTCCTTCAGCCCAAAAGGTGGCCAGACTTCTCCATTGATTTTGATGCAATCTTGCAGATGTTTTGCGCTACTGCAAATGTAGTTTTCTTATTTTTTTAGTTCAGCTACCGTCCAACGGAGGGCGCTACTTGCACGTTCACATCATATGCCCTACATATTTCATAGACTACCTGGGTCGATTCTGCCAAAGGTTAGTAAACCTCGATTATGTGTGGGGGGAGGAATCTTTGATCTTTGTTTTCAACCAAGTCAAGATAAAAATATACTAATTCAAAGAAATACTTATTTTATTGAAAGAATGGGAGACTTATCAACCCCTTCACGACAATTTTACTTTCTTGATCTTTGAGGATGCTTAATTATTGAGCCACCCAAACCCCGACCAACCGCCCCTCCAATATTCTCTTAGACTAGTTAAATTTTGTGGGCTCTGCGTTAGTAAGCTATAAAACGCCATCTATTGGACAGTAGCTAGATTATTTTTCAATATGTTGCGCTACTTCATTATGAATAGAAATCTTCTAACTTGTCGGTTTATTCCAAGTATTTTTGAAAAGCTTATCTCATTTTAACCCTCTTGTCACTACGTTCTGAGTCATTTCGCCACTGCCGCTGTGCGACACTTCGTATACCAAAATACGACGGGAGATGAAATGAAACACTCATTTTAACAAAACACATTCACTTTATTAAAAACCTGGATCCCAGTCAGTCTTCTGGGGCACCACTTTCTTTTCTATACAAATTATTCTATCGCCCTTTTCAAATGACAAGTTTTTGTCTTCAATTTGCAACCCGCATTCTGTATCTGCCTTGATAACGTCTACCTCGCTTTTTAAATGCCGCATGGAAGTTAAATGCCCTGAAAAAATTAAGAGGGGGAATTGACATTGAAAGAACCGATTCACAGCATATTTAATATACGTAGTCATGCCATAAGTTCTGTCCCTCGTTTTCAAACAAGTGTAGACCTGTTAATACTTGTCCGATTGTTTACATTGTGGTGTCAGTTGATTAAGCGCTTTTCGGGTAATTACATATACCTCAGTTTGTATTGATCTCTCGAAGCATAACGATGGAGTGGGGCAAGGCAGAGAACCGTATTGCAGTGATTGCTTTACATAAGTGTAATCACAGTGCTAGTCAGATTTTTGAACTCTTACGCGGCCTTCAAATATCGCGTAAATTTGTGTCTAGGACCATTCAGCGGTACAATGAGACGTCCTCTGTTGATGACAGGCCAAGAAGCGGAAGACCTCGTCAAGTAAGGACTCCAGCAGCCATCAAAGCCGCAAAAGCCAGGATTCAAAGGAATCCACTCCGGAAGCAGAAGATCCTATCCAGGGAAATGAAGATTCCTGTCCGGACGATGTCGCGCATCATTAAACAAGACCTAGGGCTAGGGGCTTACCGGAGACGTACGGGCCAGCGACTTACGGCCACCTTGCGACACATCAGGGCGACAAGATCCAAGAAGCTCTTGGAGAGGTACGCAGCTGGGGGATTCCGAAAGATTTTGTTCACGGATGAGAAAATCTTCACCATAGAAGAAAAATTCAACCGACAAAATGACAAAGTGTATGCAAGGAGTTCACAGGAAGCTTCGGAGATCATTCCGAGAGTTGAGAGAGGCCACCACCCTGCGTCAGTCATGGTTTGGTGGGGGGTGTCCTACGAAGGGGTCACTCAGCTCCATTTCTGTAAACAGGGCGTGAAAACAAAAGCGGCAAACTATCAGAGCGACATACTGGATCCTATCGTCAAGCCTTTAAGTGGTACATTGTTTGCCAACCAACACTGGGTCTACCAGCAGGATTCCGCCCCCGCTCACAAGGCTAAGAGTACGCAGCGCTGGCTGGAAAGCAATGTGCCAGAGTTCATTGCTGCGGAAGATTGGCCCTCAGGGAGTCCGGACCTCAATCCTTTAGACTACAAGTTGTGGGACCTGCTAGAGCAGTTGGCCTGCTCCAAAGCCCACCGTAATATCGAGTCCCTGAAAGCGGATTTGATCCGATCAGCGGCAGCTATTCCTTTGGAAGCTGTGCGTGCAGTGATAGATGAGTGGCCCGCGAGATTGAAGCAGTGTGTGAAGGCCAAGGGGGGACATTTTGAATAAAACTGTTTGATTATGAATTCTAAAAATGTTGTCGAATAAATAATATCTTTCATATAAATATATCTTATCTTGTTTCATTTTTATCATGAGATTATCATGGGACAGAACTTATGGCACGACTATGTACACGGTGAAAAGTTCCGGAACCCCAGTATGATTTGTGAATTTGTTGATGGTGACCTTTAATTTCACCTTAACTATGACCTTCAGGGACATTTGAAGGTCAAGCCGATTTTTAATGGAGCTCCCATTTTCACCCCGTAAATGAAAATAGCGGAAAATGTTCGGTCAAATATGGTCCTGAAAATTCATAAATTTTGACCTTAGAAGGCCATGGACAAGGTCAAACCCAAGTACGGTTATATAACTTGATAGCCGGTAGTATACTACCGGTACATTATTTTCATAAGTTTTCCCTGAATATCCAATGGTGACCTTGGATCCGACCTTGGCCATGCCTCAAGCTCATTTGAAGGTCAACTCTTTTTTGACCGCGAAAATGGAGAAAAAGGAAAATTTTCAAGGTCAAACAAAAGTTTACCTTAATTTCTTAATAGTTCAGAAAACTTTGTAATCCCCAGATAAACTGACTTCGCTGTCCTTTCAGGATTGTTGCTTGGCTACAAAAATCGACTTGACCTTTACATCACCTTGAACGTCATCATGGTTAATGTCACCGTTGGACATGCGGGGAAAATCATAAAAATAACGTCTCTAGTTTTCCAATACGTTCAAATATGAACTTGATCATTCAAAAATTTTGACCTTAGGAGTCATGGTCAAGGTCAAACCCAGGTACGGTGATATAACTTGGAAGCAAGTAGTCGTATACTACCGATACATTATTTTCATCATTTTCCCCTGAATATCGAATGGTGACCTTGTATCCGACCTTTCCCATGCCTCAAGCTCATTTAAAAGTCAACTCTTTTTTGGCCGTGAAAATGGAGAAAAGGGAAAATTTGATGTTCGATACGTCCTTGACAATTTTTTAGACCTGACCTTGGACTTTGCCGTCAAGGTCAAACAAAAGTTTACCTTAATTTCTTGATAGTTCAGAAAACTGTGTAATCCCCAGGTAAACTGACTCGCTGTTCTTTCAGGATTCTTCCCTGGGCACAAAAATCGACTTGACCTTTACATCACCTTGAACGTCATCATGGTTAATGTCACCGTTGGACATGCGGGGAAAATCATAAAAATAACGTCTCTAGTTTTCCAATACGTTCAAATATGATCTTGACCATTCTTAAATTTTGACCTTAGGAGGTCATGGTCAAGGTCAAACCCAGGTACGGTGATATAACTTGGAAGCAAGCAGTCGTATACTACCGATACATTATTTTCATCATTTTCCCCTGAATATCCAATGGTGACCTTGGATCCGACCTTGGCCATGCCTCAAGCTCATTTAAAGGTCAACTCATTTTTGACCGCGAAAATGGAGAAAAGGGAAAATTTGATGTTCGAATACGTCCTTGACAATTTTTTGAACCTGACCATTTCTTGATAGTTTAGAAAACTTTGTTATCCCCAGATAAACTGACTTCGCTGTCCTTTCAGGATTGTTCTTTGGCTACAAAAATCGACTTGACCTTTACATGACGATGAAGGTCACCATGGTTAAGGTCACCGTTGGACATGCGGGGAAAATAATAAAAATAACGTCTCTAGTTTTCCTATATGTTCAAATATGATCTTGACCATTCTTAAATTTTGACCGTAGGAGGTCATGGTCAAGGTCAAACCCAGGCACGGTGATATAACTTGGAAGCAAATAGTCGTATACTACCGATACATTATTATCATCATTTTTCACTGAATATCCAATGGTGACCTTGGATCCGACCTTGGCCATGCCTCAAGCTCATTTAAAGGTCAACTCATTTTTGACCGCGAAAATGGAGAAAAGGGAGAATTTTATGTTCGAATACGTCCTTGACCATTCTTTGAACCTGACCTTGGACTTTACCGTCAAGGTCAAACAAAAGTTTATCTTAATTTCTTGATAGTTCAGAAAACTGTGTAATCCCCAGGTAAACTGACTCGCTGTTGTTTCCGGATTCTTCCCTGGGTACAACAATCGACTTGACCTTTACATGACCTGAAGGTCATCATGGTTAAGGTCACCGTTGGACATGCAGGGAAAAATCATAAAAATAACGTCTCTACTTTTCCAATACGTTCAAATATGATCTTGACCATTCTTAAGTTTTGACCTTAGGAGAAAAGGTAAAATTTGATGTTCGAATACGTCCTTGACAATTTTTTTAACCTGACCTTGGACTTTACCGTCAAGGTCAAACAAAAGTTTACCTTAATTTCTTGATAGTTCAGAAAACTGTGTAATCCCCAGATAAACTGACTTCGCTGTTGATCTTGACCATTCTTAAATTTTGACCTTAGGAGGTCATGGTTACGGTCAAACCTAGGTACGGTGATATAACTTGGAACCAAGTAGTCGTATACTACCGATACATTATTTTCTGATTTTTTTCATGATTATCCAATAGTGACCTTGGCCATGCCTCGAAGTCATTTGAAGGTCAACTCTTTTTGGCCGCGAAAATGGAGAAACGGGAAAATTTAATGTTCGAATATGTTCCTGACAATTTTTTGAACCTGAAATTATTCGTTCACAAATCATGGAATTGCGGACTTTTTCAGACCTCTAAGAATTACCAAGGCTTTGAGGGAATTTCTATGAACTTCAGAACTTGCTAAACGTAACTCGCATAAATCATTTCTTTTTTTTTATACTCCAACTACCACGAAGGCGTAAACACCCATTGGGTACAGTGGGGCTAATACTGACCTTCATAAATTACTTCTCCTTTTCTGATTACTCTGAACAGAGCCGTACGTTTCAGAAATCCTCTTTCGCATTTACACCCTGCTATAGGAATTTTCTTTTTACCTTGGGTAATTTCAAATTGTTGGAGCACCTGCAAGAATCAAATCCAAAACTTTATTTCATCGAAAAAGAATAAATGTCATCCATTTTGTTTGGTTGACGCTATTTCTATCACAAGTGTTTTACAGCTGTTGTATTATAGCATTTGTATTTTCAAATAAAGATTTACTGTTATTGTTTAAAGAAAGAATCGTTACTAAAATAAAAATAAAAATGCTGTTCGTCGCGTACCCAACTGCTAACAATCAGTCGACGAATGACATTGACCTTTCATCTCTGTGAATCTAAAAAATGGAAAAAAGTGGCTCACAACTTCACATACCGTGGCTTCTCCCAACTCCTCCTCGACCTCCTTTGGAGGCAACCTTGCGTTGATCTCCTCCTTGACGTCATCGATCAACTTATAAATGACATTGTGCTGCTTGATGGGCACCTCCATCTGCTCAGCATCCTGCTTAATCTGAGTAAGAACGTCAACGTTGAACGCATAAATCACACCTTGAAACATCTCGGCCATTTCCAGATCGTTCTCGGTCACTGGTCCAACTCCGTAGTGGACTAGGTCCAGTTTGCAGATGGACGAGTCGTAGGTGTCCAGGACGTCCAAGATGGCCTCCAGGGAACCGTCGACGTCTGCTTTTACGATTACGGGTAGAGACGGGGGGCCGTCGGTGTCTACAATACGGCACTGATTAGAAAATGGCCAACAAAAATTGATGAATTTGTTTAGACATGTTACAACACCGTTACAGACTCTGCTCTGCTTCAGCGAGATTTTATTTGAACAATAAAATTAGAAAATCTGCCTCATTACTTAATTTACAGACCATGTATCTCAAAATATTATGAGCTATACTATCATCAACAAAGAAATGCTACCTGTCTGAATCTCTGGTTTTCTTGGACCCTCTGGTTTCATTCTGAATCTGCCTAACCTCCTTTTCAGCTGTAACTTTTCTTTGTATTGTCGCTCATGTTGCTGTATTTTTTCTTCAATGGCTTTCAATTCAATTTCCGATTTTTCTTTTTGCTTCTGGTCCTCTCTGAATTTTATAATTTCCCTGGCAAGTTTTTCTGATTCTACCTGGGTTGAAATAACAAATGGTAAAAATAGTTGACTTATAGAAATGTACAGTGTTCATAATTGTTTATATAGCTGATATAGTACCAAATTCAACAACAAAAAAAATGTCAATTTCAGACTAGAAATGTTACGAACCTGTAAGACTTGGTCACCTGCTTGTGGTAACTCTCTCCAGCCTTCAATTTCAGCAGGGTAGCCAGGTGGTACTTCACTGAGCGGGTTACTGACCGCATCTTTCAGTGCTCTAACTTTTGCCATTGCGGTACCGGCTACCAAAATATTCCCTTTTTTCAGTGTACCTACAAATTAAACAGACTAATGACGCCCACGACAGAGTTAGCATTTCCAAAATAAATTAAAAGCATGAGCCCCTGATGTGTGGTATCCATTTCTTAAGGATTGTGTCAACTTTGCTCTTGAAAAAGTCGATGGAGCTCAAATCCGGCAATCGCGATGGCGATACACTATCAAATTTTCTCACCTCTTTGTACAACCACAGTGCAAACTTTGCCTCGCAGAGGATGGACTTTGCTCTCTACGACAGCCGCCTCGACTGGACCAGTTGGATCACCTCCAAGCTCGAGTAGCTCTGCTTGTAAAATCAAGGCCTCAGTCAATTGGTCGAGGTTCTGCCTCTTGAGAGCCGATATAGGAATAGCCTGGACGTCACCGCCTAGATTTTCCACTTGGATGCCAACTTCAACAAGCATTTTTTCTGTACGAGCTATGTCTGCTTTGGGCGAGTCGATTTTGTTAATCGCGACCAGAATTGGTACTGAAAATAGGAAGAAAATACTCCTGTATTTCATTATAGGAACAAAGAGATTTGCTTGAAAGGCAATTAAAACTGGAACAGAAAAAAAATTAAACAAGTTAAAAAAGAAATACAGCACAGCACAAGATTGATTTGTCTATATACTTTTGACCATTACTGTATGTACAAGCCCTTAGTTATGACAGAAAGTGCACAAATGTTGTGTATCTTAAAAAGCAAATGATTTAAGAACAAGCTAGGTAAAGAAACTGCAAATTAATTCTGAGGCAAATATGGAAGCCTAGATCATAAAATATTCAACTCCAGTCAAATACCTCACCTAGGAGAAGATTCCTATGAGCATTAGAGGAATACAATAGACCTTCTAACATAAAATCTCAAGCTCAAGATATGGAAGAACACAAAGAACACAAGAAAGCTAACTCAATACATTTATTAAACCCTGAGTAGATGTCTACATAGACAAACCCATAGAAAAGTTGGATACCTTTGGATTGCCTGGCCATCCTTATGGATTCAATAGTTTGTTCCATGACACCATCATCTGCAGCCACTACCAATACCACGATGTCTGTTATGTTGGCACCCCTGGCCCTCATTGCTGAGAATGCTGCATGTCCAGGTGTGTCCAGAAATGTCACACAGGCACCAGAAGGAAGGGTCACCAAGAACGCTCCTGGAAAATTGGTTCAATTTTGACTACTTACCATTTATCTACAGAAGGAGCTTGACCAAACTTTATCTTATTTAATGAGGCAATAAATAAGAAGCTCTTCCAGATTTAGGATAATCATGTAAAACCATATAATTCTCAGCAACAACTACAGCAATTTTATTTTTTGAATAATGATACATTTGAGACTGGGTTATCAAGAAACATACAGCAAATACCAAAAAATCACTAAAATGTATGTTGTGAAAGTATTAAACTCTTCAATACTTCAGTCAAAAGCTTATTAAATACACTATAAAAAATGTTAGTTGATAGATATATTGCTCACTTAACCTATATGCTGTGTAATTCCCCCAAATTCTTGATCAACCACCCTAGAATTTCTCAAAGCATCTAATAAAGTAGTTTTTCCATGGTCTACATGACCCATTACAGTAACTACTGGAGGTCTTGGTTTCAATTCTGATTTTGAAGGTGGAGGTCTAGGAAAAGCATCTTTAATTACAGTTTTTTCCACTTCATCTGAAGGTTTTCCTAAAAAAAGTCTTGTTTTATACAAAATGAAAACAATGCTTGGAGACTTTACCAATAATTCTCATTCTTCGACCACTCCTCTTAATAGCCTGTTGTAAAACTTTAATGTCAGTGATTTGGGTGTTTGGGTTACTGAATACATTCAAAAATAGTTCATATACATAGTTAATATCTTTGTTAAGAACTTTGGCTAGTTCACCAAGTGTTATGTCTCGCCAAACATCCACTACTTCACCTTTAGCTTTGGGAGAATATTCTATTATTCTATTTGATTTCTGAAACAGAACAAAACACCTGACCTGCAAATACTGAATGGTTCATGTGTAAAGTGCTACAACAGTTTTGAATATGTTGAATCTAGACCTTTTATGGTTTTGGCATGGTAGCCAAAAAGTCATAAGTATGAGAAAATGAAGCAATAGGAAAATATTGACCTGTTAACATACCCTTTCTTCTTGAGTTTTTCTCCTCTTATAAACTACCGCACTTGTATATAACATGTTTGAATGGTTAAAAGTCTGTAAGCCTTTGTTATATAATTTGTATTTCCTACATGTGTAACTCAATCTGAAAGGCAATAAGCCCTTTCATAACAAAAATATTCCAATTTGTTGGTAAACTTCCCTACCTTTTAACAGCGGTTTCTCCAAAAAAGTATCTAACGCTAATGTTCATTCCTAAAGTAGACTGCAACTTTAAACATCTTGCATACAGTGCCATTTGAAATTAATTAATTTAATTCAATTTAAAAATTATAAGAAAAAGGAACAACAATCGAAAAATATGTTCAAATTGTGAGGTTATATGTCAAAGGAAAACGATTCCATATCGTCAACTTGAGAAAGAGGCGTGTCTCTTTCGTCGACAAAGAAATTTAACCACGCCCACTTTCGTTAGGCCGTTCCCACAATTCGCATAGAATTTGCTTCAACTACGAGAGAGATCCGAAAAATATCGAATAACGCTGATCAAATCTCAAGCCTTTTTTGGATAAATTGAGGTAAATCGTTATTTTTGACAACTACAACATATTTTGGTTTGAAAGTATAGCAAAATTAAAATAATTTCCATGAAGTCACCAAATGAAAAATTTGCTTATACCGATTTAAATTATTAATACTACACAGCCTTTGTTATATAATTTGTGCAACTCATTCTGAAAGGAAATAAGCCCTTTCATAACAAAAATATTCCAAATTGTTGATAAACTTTTAACAGCGGTTTCTCCAAAAAAGTATCTAACGCTAATGTTTATGCCTAAAGTAGTCTGCAACTTTAAACATCTGGCATATAGTGCCATTTTAAAATAATCAATTCAATTGAAAAATTACAAAAAATTAAGGACAATCAAAACATGTTCAATTTGTGAGGTTATTTGTCAAAATGAAATCGATTCCATATTAACTTGAAAAAGTGGCGTGTCGCTCCGTCAACAAATATATTTAACCACGCCCACTTTCGTTAAGGCCGTTCCCCACGATTCTCACAGACTCATTTACGAGGGGGATCCGAAAAATATTCGAATAATGCTGATAAAATCTCGAGCGTTTACTGGTATAAAACGGGTTTTTAGGATAAATTGGAGTAAATCGTTGTTTTTGACAACATATTTTAACTCGAAAGTATAGCAAAATTAACATAATTTCCATGAAGACACCAAATGAAAAAGAAAAATTTATATTTATAGTACCGATTACATTTTAAATTATTAATACTACACAAAATTAAAAACAATTCAATATATTAAATAATTGCATCGTTTAAATGCTGTTATAAAAACCTAGCCCTCTAGGAGGGATATAAAAAATTATCGTTCTTCTAATATCACAGTTTCTTGAGGACATAGATGCAAATCTTTCAATGTTTGATTCTTGTCCAAGGCGGTTAGCTGCAACAGATTAAATTGTTATAATAAAATATAGTTTTTCGAAAGTATGGCAAAATAAACGATACATGATCGTAGATGTGTTGTTTATATCATGTAAATTTTTAAATTATAGGCATATGGGCCAGAGGAACGTTTTTACTTCCAACGCCTGCTGGCGAGGAAAAAATCACGAAAAATTTCGAAAATGAGATGTTTCAACCTATTTGACGGCATTTTTTTTACAGAGGACGAAAATCAGGATCAAGTTGCTCATAAGTGAAAGAGGACTATAAAAACAAATTGTATTATGAGAAATAACAGTGGCATATTAGTGCCATAAATAGGTTTTTTAAATGATCCCAAGAATCGCCCCCTTAAATCTTTTACTTTTCACCCTATGTATGCAATAAAGTTGTTAAACTAAATAATATTTATATCCAGTATAGGAATGTTATTATGAACAAGAAAGTTGAGAAGTTAGATATTCGTTTGGAGGCAGATCAAGACTTGAAATTAAAAAAACTAATAAACAATGTTTTATAGAAATACTTTATTTTTAATTCAAGATATAAATGTATACTTACATCTCTCCTTGGCCAACTCGAAATCACCTTAAATTCTTCAGCAGGATAACCCTTCACTACCAGAAAATCCAAGAGAACCTATCAAAAATAACAACTCAATTCCAACACTTCAACACTTCTGCCAATAACCTCACCTTCAACGGCGTATTAGCCTCAAAGCGTCTCTCGATGAACTCTCCTTTGGGCAAACGGAACTTGATCTTTGTGATGCCATCCCCTTGACACTGCGGGGGCTCAGGAGGCAGGCTTGCTTCGACTTCTTTGCGATACGCTTCTTTCCTTGCTTCGGTTTCGGCTTTTTCGCTCTCCTGTCGCCTTCGAGCCTCGTGTTCAGCTCTCTCCTGGTTCCTCTTAGCTTCCTCCTTCGCTCTAAAAAGTATTTGACAAGTTTATCGAATTACTTAGCTCTACATTGCTTTGTAAGAAAACAAAAATGTTATGGTATTTCTAATAGAAATCGACAACAAAAATCGTAACGAGAAATCTATACAGCAGACGCTCGATAACGTAAGCACGGGATAATGAAAACTTGCGCTAATGTAAACACAAACTTCGTTCTATAGGATCAAACGGAACGCGCGATAACGTAAACAATGTGTACGCTCGATAACGTAAAATGCTGAAGCCTCGATGATTTATGTCGCGCGTCGGGGAGTCCCCGATTTATGATGTAGAGTGTAGGGGATTCACCTCTGCGATAAAATACGACAAACTCGGTCAGTCGTATGATCGTTTAGGATACGTTTATACGTACGTATGTATTTCATTTTTGAACTTAAGTGAATACATTGCACGCGTTAATATATTTTACGACTATGGCATCCACATCCTATAAAAGAAAGTGTTTAAAGTTGAGAGAGAAAGTGAAAATCAAAGACGAAGTTGCACTAGGTGCGGGAGTGGCACAGTTAGCAAAAAAATATGGAGTATCGAAAGCAACAATCTGTAAAATTAAGCGTATGAAAACTCAAATTTTACAAAGAACGTGCAATACATTTGGAGGTCCGGGAAAAAGAAAAAGTTTAAAAAATGCGAAGGCACCTAAAATGGAAAATTCCCTGTATAAGTGGTAAACAACGGGAAAATCATGTCCCAGTTAGTGGCGAAGTACTTAAACAGAGAGCGAGACTGTTAAATGAAAAACTGAAAGAAACTGAAAATTTCGTAAATTTCAAAAATAAACCGGTCGACAGTTGCTTTGCAACATCGAAAATTTTATCCAAATTAAAGCAAAGTTTGCGGCTATGTCAGATTCTTAATTTTTGATCTTGAAAATGTTTCTATGCATCTTTTAGATCTTCAGACTATCCTAAATGAAGATTTCTCAAATTTTTCGAAAGTTGGCTATAACTCAAATTATCGAATTTTAAGAGTGTTATATTTATCCCTGAAAATGATAGCACGTGTCCAAAGTAAAGAAATACTGAAATATTAAATCTTAGAAGTATAAGTGTGATGCCTATAGTAGTACTCATTTATGCGTTTTCTGTCGTTTCAATTGGAAATATAAATTCCAAATTCTACAAAAGTAGAACTCATTATACAGTTCAGAAACATGATAAGCCGCTTAGAAGCTTCTATTTGATGTCGACGATCTTCAGCAGCTCTAGTCAGAAAAGCATTGCAAATAATGGATCAAATATCAGCAAGCGGACAATCTTTATGGAATTATAGTATAAAGCAACTGACCTATCAGCTTCTAAGCTCTCTCTATACGCCAAATCTTGCTCCAGCTTGACCATCTCTCTTTCGGCGCGCTCTGCTTCCTCTCTTATTTCTACACGTTGGTGTTCCGAGAACACTTCTGCACATTCGATCAAGCTGGATAACAATTCGTTCACACCAACATTACCTGGATGAAAAATGTAAAAATCATTATTTGAATGCTGCAATCAAGATTGTTGTTATTGTCGAAGACTATCACCACCTCAACGCTTTAAAACAGAGGCGGCTGGCCCTTAAGTTCTGCAGAGTTGCAGAACTGCCAAAACTTTTGTCTTAACAGAAAAAAGCAGTAGTAATTTGATCATTTTTTATTTTCCATGTTATCAAATAGAAACAGTACCGGCAACGCTGCCCCCGCAAGGCAAGGCGTCGAGTCTGTTTTGCAGCATTATAATAGCATAAGTCCTTTGAGCTGGAAAAAAAGGAATAAAACCAAACTAGTTACATTATGAAGAATTATTATATTTTGTTATCATCTTTATTGAATGGGAATTATGTTTTAAAAATCACATCGTCTAAATGCAATCCATTACGATCACGGCACTCATATAAACGACGTCTAAAATTGTCGATGACTGCGCGGCAAGTCAACACTGTAATGCTTGCCATTTCTCTTCGGATATTTTCTTTCAGGACATCAACTGATCGCGGAGTGGTGCCGTAAACTTTACTCTTGAGGTAGCCCCATAAAAAGAAGTCCATTGGGGTCAAATCTGGACTACGTGGTGGCCAGGAAATGTCTCCTCTTCGAGAAATTACTTTGCTGGGAAAAAGTTGACAGACGACGGGCATAGAAGTGTTGGAGGTGTGGGCAGTTGCTCCGTCCTGTTGAAACCAGGTCTGCGTATTATAGCCTGGAAAATTCTGCAACGCTGGTGTCAAAAACTCTTCTATCATTGCTACATACCGCTCCGAAGTAACAGTTAATGCGCGACCTCTGTCGTCCTCAAAAAAATAAGGGCCTACGATGCCATGCGCTGACATAGCAGCCCAAACTGTAACTTTAGGGCTGTGTAAGGGCTTCTGATGCTTAAGCCTTGGATTTTCGGGGCTCCAATAACGGCAATTTTGTTTATTTACATGCCCGTTTAAATGGAAGTGAGCCTCGTCCGAGAACAACACATTATTGAGCGAAGAAAATCGATTCAACATTTCATTCGCAAAGTTTAGTCTCTGAATAGCGTCATTATCTTTTAATTCCTGCACTAACTGAATTTTGTAAGCGTGCAGACGTAAATCTTTCCTTAAAATCCGCTGTAAAGATGTTCTGGGTACGTTTAGTGCACTGGAACGCTTACGAGTAGACTGGGTAGGATTTTGACGAACAGACTGTGCCACAATGTTGATGTTTTCTTCAATACGAGTTGTCCTTGGTCGACCCCACCGCTGTTTATCTAACGTCGAACCAGTCTCTTCGAACTTAGCAACCCAGTTCTTAATCGTTTGAGCTGTTGGACACTTTGTAAAATTGTGTAAATTGTGGTTTCTCGATATTTACGCCGCGCAATGGTTGCCGAATCATTATTTTGATAAAACGCACGCACACAAAAAGCACGACCCGCTCCAGTGAAACACTCCATGGCGACTGAATTCCCAGACACTGAAGATACTGCCCCCACCTCGCCCGCGCCGCTCACGCTCACCTGTTAAATTTTATTCAAATTTGAAATTTCAAAGGACTTATGGACCACCCTGTATATGGCTTTCAAGCCAAATAACGAGAATACCGGTCCTTATTTACTGACTTACCGTAAATAACATTAAATATTTCCGTGGACGAGCGTATCCTCATGATCAAAACCAGCGCGGGCAGTCTGTCCACCGGTATGTTTTTGAGACTCATCGCGGCCGTCGAGCCCAAACAGCTGTTCACGCTCTGTTGCAGCTTCTGCCTGTTGCTCTCGAAGGTGATGTCCCAACCCCACAGCACGAAATTGTTCTCGAACGTTTGCATGACACTCTCGAAACCAAGCAGTTGAGTGCAGAAGACGTTCGTTAGAACGCTCGCGTCGTGGTGCAAGTAGATCGCCAGGATTTTTCTCTGGAAGGACGGATATCATTGTACCGGGTGTGCCAGAACGAAATTTCAATCTCTCGAATACGTACGGGGCGAGTTTTTAGCGTGAGCTCGATAATTCAGTTATTACGCATGCTATGTGAAAAAATTAAATACGAAAATTGTAGCTAACATTTTTATTAATTTCGAAATTACAAGTCCTGCAAAATAAAGCTAGGAAAATGATATTGAATTTAAATGAGCACATCAAGATATAATCATTACTATATTTAAAGTAAAAAATCATATATTGCCACAACATTTAAGAAATCACATAGAATTGAATAATAATAAAATATAGATTTGCAAAATTGCAATAGTAATATAACTAGCAAATCAACATTTTAGGAGGGATTATTTGAAATTAATAATTATCGTTCGTGTAAAACCCTGACTGAAAATTATTTCTACGAAGCTCTACGCCGAAAAAAATCTATTCTTGAGTGAACTGTAGAGGAAATTTTCGAGTTTTTTTTCTATAAAAACTACGGATAAGAACTTATTACTTACATCCTTAGCTGGTTTTGAGCAAGCCTCTTTAAGCGCGTCTTCCAAGGTTCCCTGATAGAAAGGCGGGTGAATTGGACCATAACGGGTTGTGAAATTTTCAGAAAATGTTATACTTCCCACTATCTCATCTTCAACATTATCAGGTACTATAACAGAAATCGTTTTAACAAAATACCACGTATGTAAAAGCATTGCCTAACGCATTTTTCCCAACTCTATACCGTATTTAGACATTCACTGACAATTTATATTGATACAGCCAATTAAAACAACCCCCTTTTTCCGCTTGAACAAATTGTTCAATCCTAAAAATAACATCAAACTCCCAAGATCAGTGTTAAACCTCCCTTGGGATTATTCCTAAGATTACGTACTCTCAAAAATTTTCATCGAAGGTAAAGGAAATCTTACAGTCTGAGAGATGGCAACATCGACACCTAAAGATGGTGATGGACATATACATTGTTGTAAGCATAGGCACGTTTTTCTGCAAGAACAGCTTTTAATTGGGTATCTGCTGATCACGAAATAGACTCGAATTCTCCAGTTTCTTGCAACTAAAGTACAATATAAGAATATGGATTACTCACTTAAAGGTTCCGTTTTCCTAGTAGTAATATCATTATCAACGAAATATTCATCATCTACAGTGAAACTCTCTGAAGCATCTTCAAATTCATCATCATCACTATCAATCTGAACAATTGGCATACTTTTTTTGTCTTTAGAGTGGTTCGTTTGCGTACTACGTCGCACTGTTAGATCATGTTCCGGATAACTAAAAGGAAAAATTGGTACTTCAAAAAGTCACATATTTTCAACAAATACTTTAAATTTAATAGCCGAAAATTATTGTATAAGCACGCCTATTATCAAGTATGATGCAGTTTATCTTCGTTCTACGATGGTTCCATGGAAATATAGGGGTTGTCACATTCTTTTTTTCAGGCACAAGGAATTTTTTATTTGTAAAATATGTATAAATTACCTCATCAACAATATTGATATTTTTACCTGATTCCTGATAGAGCCAGCATTGTATTATCGTCTATGTTGGGAGGCCAACCACTCCAAATTTGATAGCGGACCGGGACATTTGTTAAAGTGTAAAAGTCCGTTTTTACCTCAAGGATTGTTTTTGTGCCTTGATATTTCAGATTGTAAGTCTTGTTTTCGAACTTAATGTTAAGAGTGTATGTACCGTTTAGTCGTTCAGTCACAATATTCCTTAAAAAAAATGATGAATTAGTGAAAATAAATGTAGCTGGTTCAGCTTTAGAGAGACCAGGGTCCAGAGAACAAGTCTTGAAAACGAGAGAGCAGAATAAGCAATAGAAAGTAGTTCTATTACTTTTCGGGGCCCTTTCTGAAAGCATTTTATGTTTATCAATTAGAAAATTAACTTCATCAAGTTGAGACTGACTTGTTTCGTTCTCTTGCTATTTCTCAAGAGAATGGCGAATTTTAAGAAAACGTTAAGGCACACTGTTCCTCGGATCCACATCTGCTTTGCATCAGTTATTCTACTGCTTTGTTTTCAAGAAGTCACCAACAGCTTTTTTCATAAAGTGGTGCTTACAAGCAATGATAGATGGCCTGAAAGGATATTTAACTTACTCATCGTCTGCAGTGAAACCTCCTTCACTAGGTTTAACTGTTAGATGCAATGTGTTTTCTTCAGGTAACATTAACTTTGAAAAAGGTGTATTTTCGTACTGTTCTAAACGAGCCCAACTTGACAACATGTGGCGGCAGGCTGGGATCTTTATTTCTTTTTCGAGTTCCATTTTTAAGTGATCTTAAAAAAAGTCACTGTTATAGTAAGAATTTATAAAAATGTTCATCACAAAATACAATGCAGAAATATGAATTAAAACAAATGAGAACAAACTACTCTGATTACAATAGATCAAAAGATGACGAATTATATAAAGTATGTTCTCTTATTGGTGTTTTACTTTTAGTTTGTTTTTTTACTTACGAATTGTCCGGTCATCGGGCAACTCGATCTTGATAACCCTATCACAATACTGTACGTTGAACTTCAACATCTTTTTACTGGTACTGGCGCTACTCGAACTCGGCCCGCTCGAAGTTGACGGCGTACTGTTATCCTGACTGTCCATTTTTTGTTGGCTCCTGGTCACCCTACTGGATAGAAAAAAAATACGTAAATCATTTACAAGGACGACATTAAATCGTATACAAGTTGAGCACACAGCTGTGCCAAGTTCATGGCAAATCGCCACATAAGTTGAACTCTTGGGCTAGTATGTCAGTACAGGTATGTGTCTGGTATTATGAGTTAATCCGATGTTCAAAACTGACGAAACGTTTTAGAATCATATAAAGGATTACGCGCAAGAAACATGGGATTCTGTGGACTTTAAAATCTCTCTTGTCTACCTGAAAAAACCTGCTAAACTAATGTAGTTTCAAAGTTCCATAATATAGAAAAGTTATTAATTTGAATACGCCACTGGTATTTAGACGATCAAAAAGCTCATTAGGCATAAGCAACCAGTTGAATGCCTGACATTTATCACAAGAGCCAGCCTTAACATTGGTATACTGGGATCAATTTTTTTTTGTTTTACAATAAAAATATTCTAAAATACGAAAATTAATACTCAAATGTACATTATTGACGTTATCTCATGCAGTAAGCTTCAAAATAGTTCAATTTTGTTTAAAAATATTCGTTCAATAAAAAAAAATCAAATGAAACACCCAATTTTCAAGTTTTATGACTTGGTTAACGTATAAACGACGTTATTTTAATTAAATCTTAAAAATTAGTATAATTCGAAAACGGCTAATTCTCGGACAGTAGTTCCTCTAGTAAAATCGACTCAGATTGGCTTGTACTATCTCCCCACACCGGCTGCGCATCTATTTTCCCGTCACCCTGTATAATGATTTATATACCCACCTTTTAAGTGGTGAGAAAGCTTTATCAGCCACCTCCATGCGATCTGTGGCGGTTTCAATGGGAGCAGCAGGAACATCTCTCCTGCTAGCTGCATCATCCTCCACCACCATCACGTCTGGATCAGGCATGGGCTGGAAGCTTTGAGTATCAGGAGGCATTACTCTGCTTACAGCTCGCTGGAAATATGAAGAAATTGACTCAATTTCAGTGTTGCAACATAAGGCAACACTGTTTTTAATTCGAGATGTGTTTTTCAAACTTTAGATTGCATTCAACAAAAAAAAAAACATGATTCTAATGTTAGACCAATAAACTTTGGCCTATTACTACTTGAATTTTAACAAAAAAGGTTAGTAGGTTTTGGAAATAGCTCCAGTAGTGGTAGAATTATGGGTATTAAACTAAAAATTTCACATCTCCAAACTTCGTTTTTCAAGTTTCTGATTTCTCTGTTTATTTACTTTCATTTTGAGATGTAGTCAAAAAAAACCTTTAGTATTTGAACTTACCTGGAAATTCGGAAACATCCACAATTTTTAGTACTTCGCTTAAATTTGTGACAAATTTTAACTATACACAATATCAATGAAAATCTCTAAACATACAACAAAGAATTTTAGAGACATTTGAGTTTTTTATTTATTTTTTAGTGGTAACTCAGGCACTAATGCATTTATTTTCATGAATACAGAAGCACCCACATTGAACATTATTTATTTCAATAATTTTTGTCCTTGCAATGTCATTTTAGAGGAATAGGGTAAGAGAATAATAAAAAGATCATGATGAAAGCAAAAAATAACATATTACTATTATCTCAATTTTGTAAATGCAATACATTCCTAGAGAAAAGTCAGCATATATCTAGCAATTCTTGAAATCAGTTCTTAATAAAAAAAAATACTATTGAGACCTAAAGTTGTAAACAAATCTTATTGGATTCTTAATTAAGCAGTACTTCTTTTAAATCATCTGTAGTGGTTCTGCCTATCTACTTTTATTAATAACATATCAATACATTTATTTTAACGACTTTTTGAAATGTAATGAGGGTATGCTAAATTTTGTTATTTAAACCTCAACTGTAACTTAATATATTTTTTAAATCAACCACAGAAATGTTATTTATTCATATATTACCATATTTTAATTTTACTTAACATGAATAATTTTATATGTATAGTTCAAACTTAACAATATCAGTTTTTATTAGTGTTTCTTTAGATTTTATTTGAGGTACTTCAGTACTATTTGAAATTTCTGGATTTTGTGTTTTATGAAACATATGGATTACTTAGCTATCAATATTCCAAACAGTGCTATTTCAAAATAACAATTCATACTTCCTTATGAGTACTTGACAATTATTAGAATTGTTTGACCTTTTGAGTATGAGTAATTATTTGTTGCACTAGGGTCCTTTAATGAATCAAAAGTATATTGCAGACTCCAAATTTTTTTATTTGTTTGTTTAAGACTTATTTATCTTGATTGCTACAATTACATTCTTCTAAAAAATGTAAACAATTACATACAGATATTTAGAAAAAAACAAAATTTGCATCTCTAAGAATTTTCACTGTCCATGAAATATTCCTTTAAATATCTGTAAATTACAAGTAGACTTTATATCATTATTTAGTTTATTAAATTCAAGTAATCCTTTCTGAAATATTGATGTGCTAGTTATATTATTATTGCAATTTTGTAAATTAAAATCTATATTTCCTCTTGTATAATAATGTGGTAATAATTATTCAATTCTATGTAGTCTTCTAAATGTTGTGGCAAAAGATGATTTTTTATTTGAAATATAAAAATAAGAAACAAGTATTTTATATATTCCACCAATTCAATTCTTATAACATAGACTTTATTTAGCTGCACTTGTAATTTTGAGAATACAGCTTCATTGGCACTGAACAAGATACTTGAACAATACAGTAAATGTGGTAGAATAATTGTATTATAAACTATTTTCTTGGAATATGTACCAAGACTATGAGAAGCCCTATAAAAGTAATTTGTTTTTTTTTGTCAATTTTTGAAATAATGATCCTCAAACTTTAGTTTACTATCAATATATATACCTAAACATTTAACTGATTCAACATTTTCGATTATTCCACCATTTATCCTAACTGTGATAGTATTTTCATTTAAGTATTTCCTATTAGCATACATTTTGTTTGAGAAGCATCCAATTTTAGTTTATTTAGCATTTTTAAAGCATTGTCTATATTTTCATCTGATATGTATGTTAATGCATCATCTGCAAATATCTAAATAATCTAAAATATTACAAATGTCATTAATGCATAGAATAAATAGTAGTGGTCCTAGTTTACTACCTTGTGGTATACCAACAGAAATATTTTGAGCATGATATTGCAATTTTATCAAGACTGAAATGTCTTTGTAGTTTCTTTGTGTTTTCTTCAAGTTGATGGTGCTTTGTCTTGAAGCAATCCAATCAAACATTATGAACCTGATAATGTCAGGATTTCTGCTCATATCTCAAGGATAGATGGTTGTCACTTGCAAGATCCAAGACACTTCTATTCACGACAGAGGTTACTTACAAGCAGATCCCAGTTGGTTTCATCTAAATGGTAGATCGCTTCTGTAACATCATCTATGCCCGTGCAGGCCTACAAAATCGTGAAAAAATGTTAAGTAACGACGTCAGTTTTTGCTAATCATTAGCAATCACGCAAAAACTTTGCACCACGCGAAAAGTTTACCTGAAAATCTGCAAGGATCTCTTCTCTGTTCTCAGACATTTCTGTGCTTATGTTTGCTTTATAATTCGTAAGGAATAACAAAACTATGAACGTGTTTTTTAACCTGTAAGAAAAAGGATCGAATTTTTAGACAGACAACGACACGAGCGACATGACAGAAATCAACAAAACAGACTTCACCAATCACCAATGCGCAGACGCGAATATATGCAAATGATTTTTCAATTCGATCGACAGCTTAGTGAATAAGGCGTGGCTTCACCATCAGGTGACTATATTGCAAAACTGTTGATTGGTCGATCCTAAAAATGATTTAGCTGCACTTTCATCTCTGTTCTAGCACGATCTGAGGTGCGATTCTGCTATGGTCTACTAGAAAAACAGGCGGAGTCATGCTTACTGTTAGCCACACCCACCAGCTAAGGCGTGGCACATTAACTTCGTAACCACGCCCCTTTTGACGTTCTGCCTGTCAGTAACAAGCTGTTAACCATCAAATTAGTAGATTTCCACGTACAAAGTTACAAATAAACACAAATAAGGAACATTTTCAAATACAGAAAGAATTGCTAACTGGTCATGATGCAGGAAGATTCCAATGGAGAGTCTTCATTCGAGATCGTCGATAAGAAAGGAAATGAAAAATCAGGTATATTATGAAAAATTCATTGTCAAATATGGAATCAAAAATTTGGTATTTCCTCAGAATCTTCAGGCACTTTGAGCGCAGTTTCTTCGGCCTACTCGATGACATCCCCTAGTACAATCAGTATGCCTAGTGGTAACCTTCTATCGAATGTGCCACCTCCATCTGCATTGCCAGATCTGTCCTTATGGTCAGCATCATCTCTCAGTAGCGACACGCCAGAAAACAGTATGCCCGTTGATAATACCCCTTCAAATCCACAAAATGAGGCAGCACACAGTGTTGTCTCTGAATTAGCAAATATGAATTTGAACATCAATCTGGTAACACCACCTGTTACAGAGCAGTTCCCTGCTACACAATTCAGGTAAGCATAGTTTCATTTCCATAAAATGTTAGTCTGATTATGAGATAATACATTTTTTATTAGAAAAACAATAGCAGTTTTAATCTTGACAATTAGTGTGGAATCCAAGTTATAAGAATAAATATTATTTCAGAATCAATTGTATATGAAATGTATTTTCAGATACCCTTTATGATCACACAGATTAACTGCTCATTGTATTACATGTTATTTTTATATTGTTTAAGTTCACTTCCCATAAAATTCAGATATTACACACAAACAGCTTTGTAGGTCTTGAAATTTGAAACAGAGGCAGCAGAGCTACATAAAAAATGATGTTGATCAAACTTTGTTGTTCTTTGATGTTTTATAGACTCCTAATTTTTGGAAATTATGCATTATTTTTAAATATACAATAGCGAGTTGTCACTGCATATTATATATAAAAGTAATAATTAAATTTTACATTTTTAAAAGAATGTTTGGATTTTTTCCATTGGGAAATTTTTCTATCAAGATGGTTCTTAAACTGCGTTATAGATGATGCATTTTTCCCTTTTTAGTACAAACTAATCTGATGTACCTATAAGTCTACTTTAAGCTTCAAATCAATAAATCTTCAAAACTACTGAACTGAAGCTCATGTATTTTACATCATTATAAAGGGAATTGAAAGACATTTAAAATAAGGTATCACTCGACCCCCCTTTCCATTTTAGATTTTAGGGTTGGTGTCACCCCCGCCCAGGGGGCTGCACGTGTTAACGTGATTTTTTGCCAAACTTGTGTCCCCCTCGAAAACAAAATCGACGGGTCCGAGCGTTTTTCCACAAAAAAAACTGAGCTGCCAGTAAATGCGTCCGTTTCGTTTTCGATGCGCCACCCTGTATAGCAAATAGAGGAACAGCTTTGTCACTCTCATAGGTGACACTATGGTGTCTCAGATAATTTTTCGGACGCGGGCGTATAGCATTAGGTTGGCTATCTTAAGGTAGCATCCATTATCAAGACTTACACAAGTTGGTAGTTAACTTTTTTTTCGCAAAAGAAACAATCTTTTATTTACTTGACGTCATTTTCTTTACTTATTCAGTGCTGCCATACCTCCCAGTAAAGGAGTGCAGCACGGACCAGTATCACAGCAGCCAAAACAAGTTGAAGTTGGAACTGAAGTATCTGGGGGTTTCATGGGATTGGTTAAAGAAGCTTTCTCCAGTGGAGGCGTTTTGTCGAAAATGGCAGAGAAGGCAAAAAATTCTGTGGATTCCATTATTACGACATTGGATCCACAGATGAGCGAATATATTCGTAAGTAATGTCTTAGTTCCGTGCTTACAGCATAGTAACCTGCAAGATGTTATGCCTGTCAATTTCTTCATATCCATAGTGGTGCCTATAGCACATATCAAGGCACGTTATATTTGCAACAACACATACAAAATAATGAAAAAAATATTTCCAGAAAAACCCTGATAAGTTGTGCAATACATGTCAGTCAGATTTGTACAATAAACATTTTGGCAATGACCCAACACTGTACCAAAGACATACAAGTGTGATTGTTAATTTCAGATTCTGCTGGAGATACAGAAGTGACTGTAACATCAGATAATGAAGAGGAGGTTAGTGCTGTAAGAGATGCATTTCATGCAGTTTTTGGAAAAGCCTGGGTTAAGTGAGTGACTTTTTTCATATAAAGAACCACATGCATGGAATATCAGTAAAGTATTTTGTTATTCTTGGTATCCATTTTTAGTGGAATCAAACTAAATTTGCCTCCAAAACCAGCAGAAGCAATAGGTTTTGAAGAAGGATTCAAAATTGCACAAGAAAAATTGAGTTATTCATTGAAGTTTAGGAATACACCAACAGTAGCTATTGAAAATATTATACTGGAGCAAAGTGACAGGTACAAATCAAACATCATTCTTACTTTGACTAACATTAATCATCAGAACTTTTGCCATTTGACTGGCTATGGTGAAATGGCTGAAGTATCAACAAATTTTGCTTTTAGGTATTTCGACTTGAGTATATTGGTTCTTAAAGATGTTGAGAGGAATATCATAGTGGAAACATTCACGCAAGCAACTCCAATACCGGTTTCTCAGTTTGTGAAAAATATCGAGAACGAGAAGCCTGAATGTAGATCTCTAAGCACAGCAGAAAAACTAGCAATATATCTACAGGTAACTATATCTAGTCAACATTTTGTTCTTATAATGCATTCATTTTTTTTTCTAAGGATATCCCCGAATGGCAGTTTGAAATATCAGGACTGCCGAGAAAAGAAGTCTTGCTGCTCGCGGCGAAAGTACTTGTTAAACTGTATAAAAACAAATTGATATCAAAATAAGTGTACTTACTATGAACATTAAGAATGTACCATCATATATTTGCTGCTGCCAATAAGATTTTTAGATAAGTTCATTAGAATATCTTTATGGAAACAGTACTTGTATATATCAAGATATAATGTTGCAGTATGAGATTAGATCTGTTCAATGTTGTATTTTGTAAGGCCTAAAAACCAGCGAAATAATTTCGGTACTTTGCAAGTCAGCTTTGTGCATTTTATCAATGTTTTAAATTTAAATAATAAAAAACCAATGCAATGTACGTACTTTAATTATTTTTTTGTTATATTTGTAATGTGTTTTATTATATGATTGTATCTCACAATAAATTTAAGAGTATGCCCATATTGAATATGTATAGATTTATTTGTAAAAATGTAAAATTATGGAATATAAAAAATTATGTACGATCAGAAAATCCTTTATTTACCTTCAAGATTATAAATACAACAGAAAAAATATTATGTTCACATTTAAAAACACTGTCACCTACCTGAAACAAAAAACGAAAAATCAGAACAGGCATTTTCGAAATATAAAAATGTATTTCTTTTTCAAGAATCAGAAGATCAATCAGTCACGTAAGTTCAGACTGGGGCGATAATGGCGTCATCATAGGAAATTCAACATTGAAGTAAAATTAAAATGGGCTAAATTACGGATATTTGAAAAAGCTACGCGTTGATTTACCTTTTATTGGGTTTCTCGTCAAAAAATAGAGATACTGGAAATGCAATCTAATCTGCACATGATTTATGTTGGGCTGCTGTGGTACCTAATAAATAATTCAAGAGTAAAATGAGGATAAATAACAGTTATAAGATGACAAATAGACAGTTACTAGATACACATAGGATATAGAAAACTTACAAAAAAAAAAACAGGTAAAAGAAACTAAATTTCGTGCATTGACAATTGCAAAAAAACGTTTCAGGTTTCAACAGACAACAAAACTGACTGTCAACTAATTGACGTTTAACCTTATTCTGCTTTCAATTTCAAAAATATTTGCAGGCACAGCCTACTTCTAGAAATTATCGAGATACTGACTTTTTAACGTTATTTTATCATAAATAATTAAAAATGCATCGAACCTCAAAAATCGAAATATCTCAAAAACGGCTAACTATAACGAAAACTCACAGGAGAGCTTTTTATGTTGAAAAGTGTGAAGAATCAGTTTTTTTATTCAAAAAGCAAAAAATTGCACTAAGGAGAATTTTTTCGGTCATTTTAATACACTACAGGTACAGTAGAGAGCGCCCTCTAGCGGCTACAGTAAAACCACTCGTGATAACACACTAAATTTGATATAAAATACTTTTCACACATTAAACAAAGATGTGATGTGAAGGTCGTTTCTAATCCATATCTTCTAATAATACACGCTTTTAAATGAAGTTATTTTTTCAGAAAAACCAATCAGTCATGCAATATCAGACTGGGGCGGTAAAAAATTCATCATTTAAATAACATTCAAAAAAGAAACAAACGTGATGAAAGTAAAATTACCTCGTTCAGCTCATGTTTCCCATCATGTATTTCTGGCCCTGATCTATCTGTAATATAGAAAAAAGGCTGGATCAGCAAACCGTCAAATAAAACGATAATATACGCGTTTTTAAAATAAATTTATAGTTATATGTTCAGTAAAACCAATCAGTCATGTAATTTCAGACTGGGGCGGTAAAAAAAATCATCATTCAAATAACATTCAAAAAAGAAGCAAATGAGATGAAAGTTAAATTACCTCATTCAGATTGTGTTTTCCATCATTTCTTTCTGGCTCTCACCTATCTGTAATGTAAAAAAGCCTGGATCAGCAAAACGTCCAAGAGAATGACGGTGATCAATAATCATTTAGAATTGTTTGCTCAGAATCAACCAATCAGTCATTCACAGTTCAGACTGGGGCGGTAAATACAAATCATCATTATAACATTTTTCAAAACGTTCACGATAAACGTATAAAAACAATGCTAACAGGTGCATGATCAGGAGGTTCACGGTTGAAATTTTAAATGTTTTATGGAAAATTGTGGTGGCAGATACAATAAAAACTTACTTGAATGTGTGTTGTAGTGTTTTTCATGTCCGAGATCCTTAGTAAAACATGCCCCCTCACGAGTTCTGAAAAAAATGAGGCAGATGAGAGAAGAGAAATGAATCCACAATGGTGTGATAGTTGTTATAACAATGCTATCAGAAGGTAGGGATCGATGTCTCCAATTGGCAATTCAGACCCGAAAGATGAATATCATCATGAGTAAAAATAAAGCAAAGTTTGAATGATCAATAATTATTATCCATCAGAGATACACAGGGTATTTAAAAATGCAAAATGTCTTTTCTCATAAATTTAAAAATTAACACCTTGAATATTTCTACATGCTTATATATTAGAATGATTTACACCAGCTAAAAATAACTATTAGAGAATTAACACTACAAAACTTACCTTACAACTAGCTTTCTCATTTCCTTGCTTGAGTAGGGAAAACTGCTAGAAGTCCATCTGTAAGAAAATTGAAGATATGAAAGATAAATCATAAAAAAAATTGAAGAAGCTTTTATAACACAAATATCAGAACGCTGGGATTGGAGTCTGCAATTGGCAATTAAGACCCGAAAGATGAATATCATCATTTAAATTGTAACAGATGCAATTTTAAATGTAAAAACATGAGTAACAGAAATTTTTCTATTATATTTTTCATATCATTAACCGTTTTATCACAAGTTCCTCGCGCACTTTCCATTTCTCATGTTTTTACTTTTATTAGAGATTGACAAGATACTTACTTGAATATATATTTCAAGACCATCTTAGGTTATCTCATCATGCCCAGCGGTAGCACGAATTTGCAATTATTCTGAAAAACGAAATGCGTGAAAAGTTGATTCTAAAAAATTATGTTTCGATTTTCGTGCTAGGTGATATCAGAACGCTGGGATTGGAGTCTGCAATTGGCAATTAAGACCCGAAAGATGAATATCATCATTCAATTATTCACTTTACAAACGCTACAGAATTTTTAGTATACCACAATAAGTCGTTAATGTGAAATTTATTTAAATATTCAACGGTTAAAAAGTCAAAATTACCTGGGTTTGAGGAGTTGGTCACACTGTTTCACATAACTCCAATCTGTAACAAAATGAACGTCATGAACTGAACTGTCATATACTCTGAAGTTATATTAGATAAGATCGTATTTCAGATTTAATATACGTAGTTCCTAATCATGGTTAATCGTTAGGTGTCCTAAGATTTACTCATCATAGAGAGTGACTTAAGATTTTCAATCATTTCACAACAAGGATAAAACAATTCGATAATTTGATGTTGACTTGAATTTCATATTTATATACTAAGTGACATATAAATCCGAACACCCAGTTTAAATGGTTTTATTTTAATAAAATTTTGTATAAGTACTTAATGAAGCATAAGTAAATGATAAAAATTTCAAAATGATTGCACTGCTTTAAAGCCCTTTGACCTTTAATAATGTGTGGATGCACCCTGATGTGCTACGCATTCTCCAACGCGCCTACGCATGCTTCTGATCAGGTGGTCAATGTCCTCCTGTGGTATCTCATTCCAGGCAACCACCAACTCCTCTCGAAGTGCTTCTAGAGTCTGAGGAGGACGTTGCAAATTGAGCAACCTCCTACCCATCATATCCCGCACGTGCTCAATTGGGGATAAGTCGGGAGATCTTGGCGGCCATGGTAACAATGGGACATCATTATGTTGAAAGAAGTCTATTGTGACTCTTGCAACATGTGGTCGGGCATTATCTTGTTGGAAAGTTGGATCTGCCAGGGTGTCAAGATAGGGTTCTAGAACTTCGTGGATATAACGCTGCGCGTTCATGTTACCTCTGATGAAGATTAAATGTGACTTGGAACCATAAGCTATAGCACCCCAAACCACAACTCCAACAGTGTGATGAACATGTCTTTCAACAAAAAACCGTGGATTCCTCCTTTCACCACGTCGCCTTCTAACCCTGGCACGACCATCGTGCATGCCTAAACAAATTCGAGACTCGTCACTAAAGACAATACTGTTCCATTAATAATCCCAGAGTGACCGTTGTCTGCACCACTCAAGGCGATTACGTCGGTGTTCTCGAGTTAAAGGGAGGACCCAGTGTGGCCGGTATGAAAACAAGCCAAAACTTCTCATTCGTCGGTAAACACTTCGCATGCCAATAGGTCTTCCGTGTTCTGCAAACCATTCATTTGCAATGGACCTGGTAGTGGAGAAACGGTCCCTTAAGGCCAATAATCTTAGGCGGCGATCTTCACGGTCTGTGGTTCTACGGCGGCGTCCAGTGCCCCTTGCTCTTTGCGTACGGCCTTCTCGAAGCCATGCCTGACAACACCTAACCACAGTGTCTACACTTCTTTGCACTCTAACTGCAATTGCCCGAAAAGAAAGTCCAGCTTCCCGAAGTCCCACTATACGGCCCCTATCCGACTCACCAAGTTGACGAAATCGTACAGGTGTCCGTCCTCTAGGCATCGTAACCGATCGTAAAGGATGTCAAGAACCAAAATCCGGCAACGTTGATTCTTTACTGCGGTTGAAATATTTATTTTTAGAGCGTTAGTGAATTAAAAAAGCAGTATAAAAACCGGAATGTCCAACTGATAAGGCTGAAGATTTTTTCACTTGTTATTTACAGTAAGATAAATACATTCACCAACTTTTATTAAAATGAAACCATTTAAACTGGGTGTTCGGATTTATATGTCACTTAGTATATTTTTAACAATTGAATTCCTAGTTATAATGAAAATTTATTTTTCATAAACGGATTCTTACCTTCTTAGTTCATAGTAAAGCATCTCAATATCCAGTAAAGTTTATAACTGAAAAGAGCAATTGAAAATTAGTGAGACATTCAAACACCTTGTTTAAGTGTTTAAGAAATATGTTAAATTTGACTCAGATGGCCGTTCTATGCGTCAATCAAAGAAATCAAAACAGGTCTGTGAGAGAACAATCATCATGTAAGGTAATCTGCTATAAATTATTCACTAAAAACATAAGTAATCTTACCTAATAGTAGTACAAGTCGCGCCAGCCATAATCATTTGTAATGCTGAAAAAATGAAGCTAGGATAAATAAACTAGTAAAATGTGAATGGATAAATTACTTCATAAAAATTAAATCAGATGGCCGTTCTATATGTCAATCAACGAAAAAATCAGAACAGGTCTGTGAAAGAACAATCATCATGCATGCTTATCTGTTATGATGCGGAGAAAAACGTAAATGAGGATGTGAGATTATACATTGATTCTAAATTTTTCTTTAAAAACATCTTACCTAATAGTAGTAAAAGTCGCGTCAGGTATAATCCTTTGTAATGCTGAAAAAATTAAGCCAGGATAAATATACTAGTAAAATGTGAATGTCTAAATTAATTCATAAACATTAAATCAGATGGCCGTTCTATATGTCAATCAACGAAAAAATCAGAACAGGTCTGTGAAAGAACAATCATCATGTGAACAACAAAAGATGAATCTTTTGGTTTTTACAAAAGGTGACTGCAGATAATTGCGGTATGATTTAGGTGGCGTGAATACTGAGTGCGCCATCTATTACTTTTTTTTACCTAAAGGGTTGTCCAATAGGGACGCGGGAAAGTAAACGTCAATTTGACATAGACGCCATCTTTGTTTTCTGTCACCGACATGTCATTTTGTTAGTTGAATGTTTACCATTGATCGCTATGGAGTTGTATTCGATTGAAGACTGCATTAAAGTTATTCAAGAGCACTACAAAAATGGTGCAAAAATAAAAAAACACGTTTCGCGCGCTTCGTGAACATTTCGGTCGCAACAACCGCCCAAACGAAACAACCATCGGTCGTCTGGTGCGTACATTCGAGGCAACAGGTTCTGTGGCAAATCTGCCAGGCTCTGGCCGGCCAAGGAGCGTTCGCACACCGGAAAATATTGCTGTTGTGAAGGAGAGTGTGAGAGACGATCCGAAACAATCAACAACGCGTCGATCCCAAGAATTGGGCATTTCGAGAACCAGTTTGCTCCGCATTCTCCACAAGGATTTGAATGTACACGCCTACAAGATCCAATTGACGCAAGAGCTGCGTCGGGCCGACCATTTTTCGCGCCGAACGTTCTCAGATTGGCTCCTTGAACACCGCCAAATTGATGCCAATTTTTCATCAAAAATCATGTTCAGCGACGAAGCGCATTTCACTTTGAATGGGACGGTAAACAAGCAAAACTGCCGCATCTGGGCGAACGAAAATCCCCGTGAGTATCAAGAGCAGCCGATGCATCCTCAGAAAGTGACTGTGTGGTGTGCATTGTGGTCAAAAGGCATCATCGGACCTTACTTTTTCGAAAATGTTACCGTCAATTCTGAGCGACATCACGTGATGATAGAGGACTATTTTTTGCCGCAACTTGAAGGAATGGATATGGACGATGTTCATTACCAACAAGACGGTGCAACATGCCACACAACTAACGTCAATATCCATCGATTGCAGTCCTTCTTCGGTGATCGCGTGATTTCGCGCAGAGGAAATGTGCCATGGCCACCAAGATCGTGCGATTTGACTCCCTTGGAATTCTTTTTATGGGGATATTTAAAAAGCAAAGTCTACGTCAACAAACCAGCCACCCTCCAAGAACTCAAAAACAACATCATTGCCGAGATAAATGCCATAGAACCGACCATGTTGCAAAATGTCATTGAAAATTTCGACCATCGCGTGGACGTCTGTAAATCCAGTCGTGGTGAACATTTGAGCGATATTATTTTTCATACATAAATGGTATAAATGAACCTTCAAAATAAAGTACCCAACTTTATTTGAATATCAATCTTTCTTGTTTTCAACAGCGGCGTGTTTTTGTTAATTGGATACTGGAAAGAGAAGACGGATTTTCGGCCAAAGTGCTCTTTTCTGATGAGGCTCATTTTCACCTCAATGGGTACGTAAATAAGCAAAATTGCAGATTCTAGGGGGCTGAAAATCCACACCAATATCATGAACAACCTCTCCATCCTGAAAAAGTGAATGTTTGATGCGGATTATGGGCTGGTGGCATCGTTGGACCATTCTTCTCTGAAGATGCCGAAGAAAAGGCCATTACCGTCAACGGGGAATGTTATCGCGGCATGTTAACAGACTTTTTGTGGCCACAATTGTATCGTATTGGTGCCGACGATCTTTGGTTTCATCAAGACGGAGCAACGGCTCACACATCTCGCCAATCATCAGTTGGCCCCCGAGATCGTGCGATTTAACACCTCTTGACTATTTTCTTTGGGGATTTTTGAAAGGAAAAGTGCATGCGAATGGTCCCCAGACAATTCCTAAAGCGCAATATTCGGACTGAAATTGCGGCCATAGACCCTATTATTCTGGGAAAAGTCATTGAAAATTTTGATGTAAAAAATGATCGTAAAAAACGTGTTGATTTTTCAAATAGAAAAAAGTAATAGATGACGCACCCTGTAATTTCTTGATATCTTACCTGAAGCTCCAATCTCCCAAGTTCACAGAACGTTTCCTTCAAAAAATAGCAGCATCTGCAATAATAAAAACGAAACATAAACCATAGAAATCTATACACAAATTGGTTATTTTGATAAAAAAAATCAGACCTGTTGAGCTTAAAGAAGTATTCCTTCATGGTTCATATGGATACAAAATGTCATCATTTATCCAACCAGTGTTTCCCAATATTCAAGCTACGATCTCACGCAGCAAGAAGACGACAGCGTGACACCTTTTGTGACACTTGACTGGAGTGAAAAGTGAACCGGAGCGGGCCGTGGACTGTTCACGCGATCACAATTCAGTTAATTCCGTGTCACGTGAAAAGTTACAAAATAGGAAGAAAAAAAAACTGAGACGTGAAGTAGCTTCATATGCATAATCCATTGAAAATGAATTTTGATGCTTATTCTACTAGTTGGTTGGGAAACCTTGGTATAAAGTATTCATAGTAAAATAAGAATATGCTCACCATTCCATGAACTCCATGAGGCGTAATACTTTCTTGGATTATGGCAAGCAACACTGTAACAAGAAAAACATTATGAATTGATAGGTTAATTAAAAGGTAATGTTGTGAAGTAAATATATCAATCTCAGACCTGTTGAGCTTAAAAATATTCCTTCATGGTTTATAAAGATATAGAAAAATAACATCATTTAAGAATTTTGTTCAGAGTAAAATGTTTCAAATTTATTTTTAGGGTGTCATGGAAATTTTATCATGAAATCACATATTTACCTCAATATTTACACATGGGATTCTGGAAACCTTGCTCTAATCCAGTTGTAATCTGAAACAGAAAATTATACTGAATATTTTGTTCTCCAATTGTTAATCAAATAAACAGGTAGATATATTATCAGATTCTGATTGTTTACTAATCATGGTTAATCGTTAGGTGTCCTAAGATTTATTCATCATAGAGAATAAAAAAATGCTCAACACACTTCATGCATAAACAAATTAGAAAATTTGAAACTGACTAGTTTCTTGAGCAAAAATTTTTTGACATACGTCATTTTAAACAAGGGATTCGATTTTTGGTATATTTTATATTTGATAGTAAATCTAAATTTACTTTATTTTTGTTGACGTAACCTTTCTTCAAAATTTCATTTTTTTTTTCAATCTCGAAATTCCAAATTTTTTCGAATTTAGAAACTTCCTAAATTTTTCAAAATTTAAAAATTTTTAATTTTTTCCAAATCTATTTTTTTAAATTCCTAAGAATCCTAAGAATTATTCATACAATTTTTTTTTGACATACGTCGTTTTAAACAAGGGATTCGATTTTTGGTATATTATATTAATTTCATAATTAATCTAAATTTACATTCCTTTTTACGTAACCTTTCTTTCTTCAAAATTCCATTTTTTTAATTTCGAAATTCCAAAATTTTTGGATTTAAAAAATTACCCAAATTTCTCAAAATAATTTTTTTTTCAAATTTCCGAATCCTCCATTTTGCAAATCTATTTTTTCCAAATTCCAAAGAATTAATCATTTATACAAAAAATTATGTTATTTTAAACAAGGTATTTACCTGCATTTGAAGCGGCTGTAACCTGTCAATAGTTCAGATCTGGAACAATAAAAATAGCTCTTGAAGGGTTATACAATGACAATAAATGGTAAAACTGAACGAATTATTATTTATTTCAGTAATTTTTCTGTTGCAATCATGGTTGATCGTTAGGTGTCCTAAGTTTATTCATCATTTTGATCAAAATCACTCACAATCAAATTTTTTTGAATATAATGAGATTTTTTCATCGTGATAAATTGCTTAAATGTAAGAAAATGAAATTACCTCTCACACAGCTAAGCCCTTCAGAATAAGACACTTGGAAATCTGAAATGATCATCTTGTGAAAAGTTATCAACTCAATATTTTATATACTACAAAAATATAGTTGTATTAAGATTGTGCATTCATACAAACAGATGCATGCAAAATATCTAAAAGTCAAAATAAAAAATTACCTTTATTTCAAACAGCATACATCATAAATCCATATAAACAGAAAACACACAAATCATCTCCCCAACTCAATTTTATTTCAATCATGATAAATGAAAAACTGCCAGTTTATTAACAAAAATTGATATTTATTATAAACAAGATTGCTTATAACTAAATAGTAAAATATAAAAATTGCATAAAAGTGCTAGACGTTGATTTTCCGAGAATTTTCGCGAGACACACAGACCAACCCCGTAATAATCATAGCTTTAAATAAATTAAGTCAACAAATAAAATATATAACTGAACATGGGCACCTTGTTAAAAAGGCACGGTGGGATTCAAAATTCAAACTTCTTCCAGCGATGTTTTTTTAACTAAAACTACCCAGTCTGTAAAACATAATATCAAGCTGCAAAATATACATATAGCAGAAATTTGAGTTAATATACGAGTCAGTGGCGGCTCGTGGCAAAATAAAACAGGTGTTCTGCAAATCCGAACTTACCTATTTTTTATATGTCAGTTCGATCCTGCACTCCCAAATTTGTCAATCACCTTCCTGTTGAAATTTTCCATGGTCGAAATAAATTCTTTTTCAATGGACAGCATCGACAACGCAGCAAGGCGATCCTGGGTCATAGTATTACAAAGAAAAGTCTTGATTCTTTTCAATGTTGAGAAATCTCGCTCAGCCTCCGATGTTGACATAGGAGTTGTAACAATAATTTCTAATAGCTTTTTTGTTTCTTTTAGTGTTTCCATGTAAATCTCGGCAATCATTCCGTGCATAAATAACAGACAACTGTCTTTAAACGACTTTTTTCTAATTCGGGATAAGCCAAGCAGGTAGTTTCCAACTTATCAGGCAACTTACCAGAGTATTCTCCAAAGTGTTCGGGAAAAAAAAGGGATGCGGCTACCAAATGATCTTTGAATTGAAATCTGTCATTTGCATACTTCTAATGCGGCAACTCGGTGATCGTGACTGCTATTATTACGTCGTCTCCTTTTGTTGCCTTGGGGTTCAGTGCAAATACTTTTGGCTTCATTTATTATGTCATCAATTTTATTTCTCACATCGACAATACATTTTTCAAAATTATCGATAGCCGTTTTAACTTGCGCTGGCTCGGTTTTTCTCTTCTGCAACTGGTTGAACAAGATGTCGACGTGAGGCATGACATGATGAAAAAATGTCAACCAAAACACGAAAACAGAATCGTTTAACATACGGCGAATACCGCAAGCTGCCTTGCAAACAGTTTCATTCTATTTCTTCCATGCATTCAATGAGTGATTCTCTGTTCTCAAACACTACATTTATTGTTCGAATATTAAGATTCCAGCGAGTTGTTGCTCCTTGGAAAATTCTTTTTCCCACAATTCTGTTCAGTACCTCTACGCGTTGAGGAGAATTATTAAAAAATCCCGGAATATCTTTCAAATCCCCAAAGAACACCCGGCTTGGGACATAATCAGGTTTAACTGATGCGCATAGCAATGCACATAGTGAGTAAATGGATATCTTTGTATAATTTTTGCCTGTACTCCAGCATTATGTCCGCTCATTACCGCGGCTCCAACATAGCTTTGTGAAATCAGTTTGTTAGGGAAATTTCCTATTTAATAGATCTACGACGCTCAAAATATGTATTGTGAAAGTATCAGCGTCACATTTTTCGGGATTCATATAAATCCAAAAACGTTCTACTGGTTCGCCGTTAAATACGTATCTGAAAATTGTTACCAGTTGGGTTTTCCCCGAAATGTCCGTTGTTTCATCTGCTATTATCGCCAAATACGAGGCTCTGTTTTACTATTTCTTCATGACAAACTTCAAGAATACAATCCGGTAGATCGTTTTCTATTTCTTTCGAAGTTCCTTTAAATATTGAAGCATTTTTTATGTGTTCGCTTAAGGTTGTATCAAGCTTAGCAGAAAAATGAATCAGCCCACGAAATATTCCCGGGTTTTGGGAACTCTCGGTTTCGAAGTGGCCGCGTAGCGCCAATTCAAATGCTCCGCAAAATTTTATACAATCGATTATTTTTGATAGAACGTACCTGTTTTTTGTAACTGTATCATTATGCTGTTGAATATTTCTCCAATATGCTGAATCTATCTGAGCTCTGATGTTAACAGTCCCCAATAAAGCCAATTCAATCGAATTATGAAGATGTTTTTTAGAGTTTTCATGCTTCTTAATGTTTTCACTCAGGTGCACTAAATCTGTAACACCTACCTCCGTCCAAGCTTTGTCAACGCCGAAAAGTATGCAAGGAAAGCAGAAAAGGGCATTCTTCCTGTTGCACCCACAAATCCAGCCATTTCTGGTGTAAATCTTCCTGCTTAAATGCCGCGTACAGCCCTTGTCCTGTGTTTCTACAAATATGTCCGGCAGCGTTCGACCTAACACCTTCAGCTCAATTTTTTCTTCAAATGTGTATTTCCAGAATCGTTCCACGCTGATAAGTCTGTAAACCACATCCATTGTCTAGCACTACCCTTCTACACAGCCATATTCAGTCAGTGAGTCACTAGTCACTCAACGTAAGACCTAAAATACCTAATTAAAAAATTTTTCGCATTCAAATTTTAAGCCACGTCACGCGACAAGGCCAATATGCCAATACCGCCGAAGACCGACCGACCAATCAGATATTGTGCTTCGCATTAGATCTCTAGGGATCTGTATAAATTGCAGCACATGCTATCTAAATCGGGCATTTGATTTTGTAGAGAAAAAGCAAGCGCGTGCGGATGGTGTCGAAGTAGTGCACAGACCCTTTTCAAGTGGCCCATGAATAATATTACGCTGACAAGTACACAATTGGTCGATTTTACAAAACAAACTCGACGCCGTGTCTTGCGGCGGCAGCGTTGCCGGTATTGTTTCTATTTGTGCGATAACATGGAAAACAAATAATGATCAAATTACTACTGCTTTTTTCTGTTAAGACAAAAGTTTTGGCAGTTCTGCAGAACTTAAGGGCCAGCCGCCCCTGAATTATGAGTGCATTTAGGTTTATTAAGGTAAGGCATAAGGTTTAACTGATTTCCAAATAAGATGCCCATGTTAAATTATAGTGAGTATATCAAATAATTACCTATTTTTGTTCAATGTTTTGAGGTCGGTTTACAAGAATTACGCGGCAAATTATAGGAAAAAATGGTCGAATTTTATCGGAAATTTGGATTTAATAATATTAAATATCTGTACATAACCTAGTTTTTTCCGTTTACAGTTTATCCAGATATTGTTGTAAATCTGGGAGACCTTCTTTCAAACCCTTCCTTTTACGTGTATCCTGGAAAAGAACGATAAAAAATGACAAACTGCTAACGGCTCAGAAGTTGGAAAGAAGTGATAAAAAATTTTCAAATTCAGGAGTTCTATATACAGCAGACGCTCGATAACGTAAACACGGGATAATGAAAACTTGCGCTAATGTAAACGCAAACTTCGTTCTATAGGATCAAACGGAACGCGCGATAACGTAAACAATGTGTACGCTCGATAACGTAAACAAATAAAAATGCTGAAGCCTCGATGATTTATGTCGGGCGTCGGGGATTTATGATGTAGAGTGTAGGGGATTCACCACTGCGATAAAATACGACAAACTCGGTCAGTCGTATGATCGTTTAGGACACGTTTATACGTACGTATGTATTTCATTTTTGAACTTATACTTATACATTGCACGCGTTAATATATTTTACGACTATGGCATCCACATCCTATAAAAGAAAGTGTTTAAAGTTGAGTGAGAAAGTGAAAATCATAGACGAAGTTGCGTTAGGTGCTGGAGTGACACAGTTAGCAAAATATGGAGTATCGAAAGCAACAATCTGTAAAATTAAGCGTATGAAAACTCAAATTTTACAAAGAACGTGCAATACATTTGGAGGTCCGGGAAAAAGAAAAACTTTAAAAAATGCGAATGCACCTAAAATGGAAAATTTCCTGTATAAGTAGTTTTTAAAACAACGGGAAAATCATGTCCCAGTTAGTGGCGAAGTACTTCAACAGAGAGCGAGACTGTTAAATGAAAAACTGAAAGAAACTGAAAATTTCATAGCTAGCGATGGCTGGCTATAACGATTCAAAACAAGATATGGAATTCGACTGCTGTCTATATCTGGTGAAAAATTATCAGCACAACCACAATTAGTGCAACCATTCAAAGAAAAATTGATGAAAACAATTACCGAGCTAGATTTAAGAATGGAACAAATTTACAACGCAGATGAAAGTGGCCTTTATTGGAAAATGTTACCAGAGAAAACCTATGCTGCATCATTTGAAAAATCTGCCCCGGGAAGAAAGCCGGAGAAACAACGAATAACGTTTCTAGCCTGCACTAATGCTAATGGTTCACACAAAATAAAGCCACTGGTAATTGGGAAGGCAAAAAATCCGCGCTCATTTAAAAATGTTAATATCCCTGTTGATTATGACTGTTCAAAAACCGCTTGGATGACTAGCAGTATATTCCTGAAATGGTTCCACAGGTGCTTTGTCCCTCAGGTTTAACACGTTGACTGCCGCAATGTTAAAAAAATTGTGTCTTCTCTGGCCGCAATACTTTTTTCAGCTTAAATGACTAATAAGCTATAGTTTAGTAGTTCTTACTTAATGATGTTGATAGTTTTGACCTAGAACATGTAGATATTGATGAGGATCCACGGTGGGTGCACGCGGCCCTTAAGTATGATTTTACACCCAGGAGCCACGTGGCTCCTAAGTGGGATCTCAGCGGACCTACGTCACGGTGATAGAGCGCAAGCGCCAGCGGCTATTGCGAGATATCGTATAACCACGTGCCGCTTGTTAGTATATTGTTAGAGTCAGTAACAAGCGGAGCGTGCGAATAAAAAGTCTACGATGAGTTATGAAAAAGAACAAGAAAGGCTCATGAAGATATGGCAGGTAGGTGTCACTTGAGACTTTTGGACACGGTTATACCAAAATATCTAACTTTTTCAGGAGCTGTTGTCCGATGAGGAGGAAGATCCATTTCCTGATTTGTCGGATGAGTATGTACCAAGTCATGACGAGTCATCAAGTGAGGACTCTGATGATGACTGTAGTGATCGAAAACGCCGTCGTTTACTTTTCAATGAATCCCAAACACCAACATCTGATAGTAATGCGGAAGTCGCCAGTACTTCAGCCATTGATCTCGAAATGGAAACAATTGAAGAAGTTATTCGTAGTTATGCTGCAGATTCCAGTGAAGTTGGTCCATCAAATAACAGTACCACAGATCTTGCTTGGTACCAGGTATCTGGCTCACATTTGAAAGATTTTCATTTTACAATATCTGATCCGGGAATCATACCACAAATATACGAATCATATTCCAATAAAAATCCAATAAACTTCTACGAGTTATTTCTGAACGATGACATTTTGGATATGATGGTCATAGAAACCAATAGGTATGCTGCTCAATGCAAGGCACGAGAATCAGCTCCTAAGGCTAGGATCCATCAGTGGCGCGATGTAGAAAAAGCAGAAATGAAAAGATTTATTGGTATAATATTTTGGATGGGATTGTGCCAATTTCCATCCATTGAGTCATATTGGTCGAAAGAGGTGATGTTTGATAATAAAATAAAAAATGTAATGTCAAGAAACCGGTTCCAGTTGTTGCTAAGAGTCTGGCATTTCCACGATAATGAGGTAATTTCAGAAAACAGGCTTCAAAAGATAGTTCCCCTGATAGAAAAGCTACTTGAAAGTTTCCAAGCCCCGATCGTTCCAAAAGAATCGCTTTGTATTGATGAAACACTGGTACCATTTAGAGGTCGTCTACGATTTAGGCAGTACATAAAAAACAAGCGTCATAAGTTTGGTATAAAACTGTACAAGCTTTGCTTGGAAAAAGGATACACATACAATATCTAAGTATATGTCGGCCAAGATAAAACCGAAGGGCAAGCATCGTCACAGAATGTTGTACTTACACTCGCTAAGAATCTCTTGTACGAAGGTCGTACGATTTATACCGATAACTACTACACAAGTGTATCGTTGGCTCATGAACTGCTTGAGAAGAAAACACATTTAGTTGGCACTTTGAGGGCAAATCGAAAACTTAATCCTAAAGAAGTTACAGAAAAAAAACTGAAAAAAGGAGAGACTATTGCTGCCGAATCCACTTCAGGCGTAGTTGTTCAAAAGTGGATGGATAAGAGAGATGTCCTCACTCTCAGTACTAAACATACCTCTGAAATGATAAAAGTCAAAAGTGGTGACAAGGAAACGGAAAAGCCTGCATCAGTGATCGATTATAACAAGCATAAAGCATTTATTGATTTATCAGACCAAATGAAAGCTTATAATACATGTCTGAGGAGAGGCATAAAATGGTACAGGAAGCTGGCCATTGAACTGTTGACGGGTACTGCCTTGGTAAATGCATACATTTTACACCAACAAGTAACAAATCAAAAAATGAGCGTTACAAAATTCAAAGAGGTTGTAACAACAGAATTTCTGAATGTGGGAAGCCTGTCAAAACCAAACGAAAATATCGAAAACATGCCATATATTCAACATATTCTTGAGGATGTTGGAAGGGCAGGCCGAGGAAGGTGCAGTTTATGCTATGAAACACTAGCACGCCAACTTGGGCGCATTCATGCACAAGCTAAGACGCAAAAAACCAAATTGAAATGTTCACAATGTATGAAACACTACTGTTTGTCATGTTTTTTTGAGGTGCATCGCTGTACAAAATAAATAATGTTTATTAATGTTTTTATAAAGTTTGAATATTACTTTTTTGTATTTATATTTTTTACAGTTTTTTTTGGACTACAATAATTATAAATATAATAATTAGCTAATAAATATTGTTTAATTTCAATGACATAGGTAACAGCCACGTGTACCCATACAGCACACTAAGTTCACAGGCCAAATGCAAATTCTACATATAACAGCCACATATTCGCGTCCCCATATGAAACTAACGCGGTTGAAGTCCAGCTGTGGGTACACGCGGCTGTTAAATATTTTTCTGCTTGAGTCCCCACAGTGTAGTCTCGCGGCCAGATCTGTCGATTTCCTGAGATCCCACTTTGGATACTCACGGCAGTCAACGTGTTAACAATCAATTATCACAAATGCTCTATTCATAATTTGCAGATGTGTTTTCACTTTGTAGGTAAAAGGTTTTCTAAAACAACAGAAGCTTCCAATAAAAGCATTGTTACTATTGGATAATGCACCAAGTCATCCTCCCGAGCAACAACTGAGGAGCAGGGATGGGTCAATTTTCGTCATGTACATGCCGCCCAAGGTAACACCGTTAATTCAACCGATGGACCAGAATATAAGACTCACCAAACTATACTATAGGAAGTTTCTACTTTCGTCTGTCTTATCAAAGAATCCTGAACTTATCTGAGGTTTTAAAAAAGTAACATTACGAGAAGCTGTTTTAAATTTACGTATGGCCTGGAATGAACTTAACCAGCAAACTATTCAAAAATGTTGGAACAATCTCTTTTGTACCAATAATGAAGATGATGAAGAAGACGATATCCCCTTAAGCGTAATTAGAGAACGTTTGCGATCCAATAATGATAATGTCATTAGTGTGTCATTGGATGTTGTTGATTTATTGAAAACAGTAAATCCCAACATTGTTTGTACTCCTGCTGATATTAATTTATGGAACGAAGATAAGCAGACGAATGACGCTGATAAGGAGGAGGATATGGACAGTGAGGATGATGAGAACGATCCCATTGAAGTCAGAAGTGTAGTGACTGACGCGCAAGCTATACAAGTTTTTAACCAAGCGTTAGATTGGGCTGAAAGAAAAGAAGTTTCATACACGGATATTTTAGTTCTTCGTTAATTACGGGCGCAGGCATTGGAAGACAATGCTAAGCGCAAATTTACGCAGACAAAAATTGTTAATTATTTTTCTTCTAATTAAAAAGATACTTATCGCTGTTAGAATATTTGTTTATTTTGTTATAAATAGTATGTATTAAACGTTTCTGTTAATAAATCAAATATTATATAAATCACGTTCGCTAATGTAAACATTTCGATAATGTGAACCACACTTGGATTAAATTAGTTTACATTATCGAGCGACTGCTGTATGAATTATGAGATAGTATTTTTAATATGTCGTACTCAATTCATAGATTTTTAGCAATAAAATAACCAAATCTGAATTATCTTGCTTGGAGCTCGCCACCCACCAAGAGTGTACATTTTCCCGCTAAATCCACGGTGACCTCAACCTCAAATATCTTCTCATAAACAGGAGTGACGTCACCGTTGATCCATGGGTTAAACTATGTTCCATTTCGAGTAACTTTCAAATCATGTTTGTTAAAAATCATTGCTGGACCAATTAAAAATACTGGAGTGCAGCTTCTTTCAATACCTAATTGACATACTTTTCACAATTTTTTTTTAATCGTCCCATTTATTCGTCAATGCAAATAGAGAACACAATTTTGAGAATTGCCGCTGTTTCAAGTTTGCTAAAAAAAAGGGAAGCGTCGGCAAGCCGTGAACGAGGTATAGACCAATTCGTAATAGTTATCAGAGAAATATAAAAAAAAGGTGAACTATGGGACAAAATAATGACAAGGAGGATATGTCGAAGGAAGCGTTACCTGTACGATGGTGTATGTTCTTGATCCAAGCTCCATGGGATTGCCAGGGAAGATCTGCCAATGATCGAAGACAGACTGAGGGAAGGCCTGACCTCCGGTGTTGGATCTGAGATCGGCGGTGAATCCGAATGATTCGTTTACTGGGAGGTACGCTTTCACGATGAACATAGGTGTACCAGCCACCTGGGATTCCTCGAACACGTGTCCACGACGACGATTCAGTACGCCGTAGATGCCTCCCACCGCTACTTCAGGACACTGAAAGAGAACGGTGAAATAGTAGCGATAGTATTTTATGCAGCCAAAACACAAACAAATGGTTTAAGTAGCAAGTTGCAAAAAAGAATTAAGATGAAAAAAATGTGTTATCCAAAGATAAATTCATGAAATATGCAATAATGAATTGAAAATTAAAATTGTACATATAACGGGTGATTTTTTAAGAGGTACGGTCGATATAATTTAATGTTTAAAGATTATTTCATGTAAATGTTGGCCGCGGCTCCGCTTTAGATGGCCCATTGCGCAAGGTCCAATTTTGGCACACTCTATCCAACATATCGGCCGGTATCTCACGAATAAATACTTCAATATTGGCTTCCAGTGCGTCAATCGTTGCTGGTTTATCCCTGTAGACATAAGCCTTAACATGGCCCCACAAGAAATAGTCCAACGGCGTTAAATCACACGATCTAGACGGCCAATTGACGGGCCCCAAACGTGAGATAAACTGTTCACCGAAGTCGCCTCTCAATAGGGCCATTGTTTCGTGTGCGGTGTGGCATGTGGCACCGTCTCGTTGAAACCACTTGTCAGCCAAGTCCAGCTCTTCCATTTTGGGCAAAAAAAAGTTTGTTAGCATCGCACGGTAGCGCTCGCCATTCACAGTTTCGTTCCGGCCGTTGTCGTCTTTGAAGAAGTACGGCCCGATGATTCCACCGGCCCATAATCCACACAAAACAGTGATTTTTTCGGGATGCATTGGTAGCTCTTGCAATGCTTCTGGCTGGTCTTCACTCCAGATGCGGCAATTTTGCTTGTTAACGTACCCATTCAACCAGAAATGAGCTTCGTCGCTGAACACAATTTTTCGATAAAAATGTGGATCTTCATCCAACTTTGCCAGCGCCCATTCACCAAATTGGAAACATTGTGGGAGATCGTGAGGCTTCAATTCTTGCACCAGCTGTATCTTATAAGGTTTTACACCCAAATCCTGTCGCAAAATTTTCCACGTAGTGGAGTAACAGAGGCCCAATTGCTGCGAACGGCGGCGAATCGACATTTCACGGTCATCACTAACACTGGCGGATACAGCCGCAATATTTTCTTCAGTCCTCACTCTACGTCTGCGTGTTGGTGGTTTAATGTCCAATAATGTAAACTGGGTTCGAAATTTAGTCACAAGCTTCCGAATAGCTCCCTCAGTAGGCCGACCAAATTGCCCATAAATTGGAAGCAGTGCTCGATGCACTCTCTTAACCGAGCATGAATTTTGATAGTAAAATTCAATAATTTACAAGCGTTGCTCGTTCGTAAGTCGATCCATGGTTAAATTATAGACCAAACTGAACAAGTTTGACAATGACACAAGACACGATTCACGCGTCATCTGTCAAAAACAGTGTTGCCAAAAAGATACTAGCAAACAAATCATCCATTACAATACAAAATAATTGAATAAATTAAAAATTATGTTCAACTTTTTATTCGAAAACAAAGAATGAGAAAACGTGTTTTTTGGGATTCAATCGAAAGTGTTGACAGGAACGAAAAACTCTTCATTTTTAGGTATTTATGAGACTACACGTAAAAAGATCCGACTAATAACAAAAATGTTATGGCCGAAAAATGAGGCAAAATACAGGTTTTGACAGTTGGTAATGCGGCGATGGTTTCTCGCAGATATTTGAAATTCTTCAAATTCGTACTTCTTAATAACCAGAACAAAATTGGAGTAGATTGATCAAGTAGTTTTGAGAATTTCTAACTGTTTATCCCAAAGACACTACTAGTTTACTAAGCAATATACATGGTTAGTTCAAAGGAAATTTTATAGCAAAACACACTGGTTTAGGTATGAATATGAATGATATGAATCGCAAACCATTCCGGAAGATAAATGTTATTTTTACGCTACAAAGGCTGGGTTAGGTTTTTTTCTTCTAAACAAATTCAAATATTTCGTATTCGTGAGTAATTCTCAACAAAAGATGATATACACATCCGTTTTGTTTTGAAATGTGTACACCAACAAATGGTAAAACCTGCATTTTACCTCGTTTTTCGACCATATTTTTGCTATTTAGTCGGATCTTTTTACGTGTGGTCACATTTTGTAGGTCTCATATATACCTAAAAATCTTATATAAAAAGTTTTTTCGTTCCTATCAACACTTTCGATCCCAATAAACAAGTTTTCTCATTCTTTGTTGTCAAAAAGTTCTCCCACAAAAATTGGACTACTATTTTATGCGTTCATGTTTTAAATACCCCAACTTGCACCAATAAAACAAAACTTTACAATTATTTTGGGGAAATTTGCTAATATGATTAGATTACAGTTTAAAAATTCGTTGATAGAATAAAAACATTTCGCAGTTAGATAATCGAAAACCATTCTTTTAAAACTACAGTAGCTATAAATATCTCTCAAATCTCTAGATAGACAACTATTTATACTGACAAGTTAATAAAATGATTTGTAAGTCCTCAAGCCTCAACAACTATGATGCAAATCAAATGAGACATCATGAGAAATGAAAAAAAAAAACGGATTTAGGCAAAATTGGAAATAATTTAACTGACATATTCTAGTTTTCGATTATACGCTTGTTTCTAATCTTCCTTTGGTAATCAAGACATAGAAAAGTCTGCTACCATACACATGAAAAGACTTTGCTGTTCCCACAACGAGCACACCAAATTCCAATTGAAAAACAGAAATTGGCCGGCTTATTTGTGTGGGGTAAAAGAAACCATCAACTACAATTGATGAAAAAATGTATAAATTCATTCGTAAATATTCAAAATTTTCAAAAAACAAGCTACAAAGATCCTAAGTTATACACGATTTGTGATGCTGCATTGTAAAGTGTGCAAACGTTTCAAAATGGTCCGATCGACTGAAATAGATTTCCTATCGCCGTTTAAAACAGACTGCGAACAACATTAAAGATCTAAAAAAAAAAAACGAAAAAGCAAGTCCCTTACCATAATTTCACACTTGTATATGGGCTCCATCAATCTAGGTTGCGCCGTCAACAGACAAGCGTACAGACACCTTCTGGTGGTGGGGATGATTTGACCGCCACCTCTGTGGATGGCGTCAGCGTGCAGGGTGACATCGTAAATATTGAAACGAACAGCACGACAGTTCTCTTCGCACAGAACACCTTCTTTGGTCGCCCATTGGAAACCGGCCACTACAGAATCCTTGATTTCGTTCAAGTACTGAACTCCCTGTAAAGGAAAAATAGACCATTTCAATTCAAGACAATGATAGGATGAATTGGCCTAACAGTATAAAGCTGTGCAAAGGCCATTTCAAGTTTTTCAAATTCGATTTATAAACAAACAGCTACGAAGACCTTACCTTAGTACAATCCACAAGAATGTTAGGGCCGGTACCGTCGGGTCCGAAGCACCAGATTTTACGGGCCTCAGTTAGATCGTAGTCATATTTCTCAGACAGATACCTGGCACGGACTTTGAAATCGTCTCTCGGGTTAACTTTGCCCTCGTCGATGTCTTCGGCGAGACCGTCAGGCATAGGTTGGGCTTTCATGAACAATCTGCAAGAAAAAAAATTGTTATGTGTGTGCGGAGACTTAACTTTTAAATCCCAAAAACGTCCTTTTACTCCCCTTGTGTTGAAAGCATACGAACTTTATTTTGGAATTAAAGTTGACGACCAAGATAGACTATAGGCCCCTTGTATATGTTGTAAGACTTATGTAACGTTGTTAACAGGTTGCTTAAGAGGCGACAATCGTAAAATGCCCTTTGCGGTATTTGACCAAAATCGAAAGATACTGTAAGTATAGTCAATGCCAAACAAAGTGGCGTGCACGTCATCACGATAAAAATTCCCCGACCTAATGCCTAGGTTTCTATCACAAACAATTGCTCTATTGCAGTTTCATATTAATGTGATATATAAATTGTAAAATGGTCATTACTCTCTTATTATGGTTAATAGTCATATAAACATTGTTATTAAAATATCACATAAGTTGCTTTCTGATAAATTTAGACGCATTATGCGAAATAAAATGTTTTGCAAACGCTCCAATTACTTATCGACATGTAAACGCACTAAACCGATTTCGCAGCGTTGACACATTGTCACCTTGAAACTTATTTAAACTGGGAACTGACATTTGTATTAATTTTGACACTGAATTAATTTGTGGCATTTCAAATCTTTATAAATCCTTTGGCCCCGCATACTGTAAATCAACAACTGTTTGTTTCAAAACAAAATTATTCATTTTACGAGTAGATAAAGGCAATTTTGGTATATAAAGATGCCCAAACAGTTAAATAGTCGGTGTAAGGAACTCGTGGCCTCGTTAATGCACTACTTTGAGCAAGAAAGGGACAACAACGGGCCTTTGTTGCCTTTAAATGCTGTTCAAGAGGTAGGTTACTAATAATTATATGTAATGTATATTAATAATAGTGAAATTTTATTTCATTTTTTGTAGCGTGTTGCTGCTGCTTTAAAAATTAGTTTAAGGACAGTTAGTCGTATTTCCGAGGGTGTGAAAAGTGATGCAAATTTAGAGTCGCCCAAGAAAAAGCGGAGTTATATTAAACGTGTAACCAACATGGATACAAGTGCCATTCGAGAAGTGATCTATAATATGTATCACAAAAGTAAGATCTTATTATAATAACTTATCAGAAATTTGCATTAATTTGTTAACTAAATTATAATGTCATATTACACATGGTTTCAGAAGAACAAGTTACGATACAAACTTTATGGTCTCGATTAAGAGATAGGGCATTATTTGATGGTAGTGCCACGTCTTTAAGGCGGTTGCTTAGAGATCTTGGATTTAAGTGGCTTAAGGACAATCCGCGACGAGGGCTCATGGAACTACCAAGTATAGCTTTGAAAAGGGTGGAATTTCTAAGGCAATACAATCAAGCCAAGGTTGAGGCCTTATACCAGTTTGTCTTCCTCGATGAAACTTGGATATTTCAAAATGGGACCATAGGTCGCTCTTGGCAAAATGGAAACCAAAAAAGCGTGAAAGCTATTAAAACAGATGGTAAAAGGTATGTACTTTTACACAATTTGCACTATAAAATTTAAAACTAATATATTTTAGATACATTATATTACATGCTGGAAATGAAAATGGGTTTATTGAGGGTAGTGAAGCGATATTTTCTTCGAAAACAAAATTGAGCGATTACCATGGAGAGATGAACCAGGACAATTTTTTGAAATGGTTTCAACATCAGTTATTAGAAAAATTGGAGAGTCCATCTATGATTATACTGGATAACGCCCCTTATCACAGCATGATATTGAACAAAGTGCCCAACAATGCATGGACAAAAAAAAAATATCCAAGACTGGTTGACAAATCAAAACATACCATTTTTAAACACAATGTTTAAAACAGAGCTATTGAGTATTGTTGCTCGGTACATAATGCTTCTTAATTATATATATTTTGGTCGACAGTTTATATTTCTTTTGTTTATTCCTATTCTTAAAATAACTGCTTTTTTAGAAACAAACCACCTAAAATATACGTGATTGATGAATTGGCGGAACAACATGGGCACAAAGTTCTTCGTCTGCCTCCTTACCATTGTATATTTAACCCTATTGAGTTAATTTGGGGCATAGCAAAAGGTTACTATAACAGACATATTGGTAGAGATGGTAACAGTGAAAAAGACTGTTTGGATATGTGGAACGAGGCTCTACAAACGGTTACCCCAGACATGTGGAAAAATAGTGTTCGACATACTGAGCAAGAAATTTTTAAATGGTATGAAAGAGAACGAATTTTTTATCGACCAGACATCGAACCTTTAATAATCAACTTTGAGAGTGATGAAGATTCAGATTCAGACAGCGCTGAAGAAAGAAACTCCGACTAACTTTATTGTACAGAAAAAGCTTACACCAGTAGCTTACCTAATTTTAGAATGCATTTTTCTGTATGAATTCTGTAAAATAAATACCATGCATAAAATTTGGAGGACCCCATTTGGATTTTTATTCAGTACCTTTAAGCTATCAATTAAATATGGTAGTTTCATAGTGTCATCTGATCAATAATTGTCATACTTAATGATTATGCAAGTACAGATCTATAATTTTATTATACTATTATTTTTGTTCTCATTTGAGGTTAATATTGCTTATAAACCTAGATATGTAAATAATAAATTTTATTATTTTACAAAAAGTTTGGCAACAATGTCAATTTTTCAACACACCCACCTTGATGACGTGCACGCCACTTTGTTTGGCGTTGACTATATTTTAATTTACCATCAGCTTTGCGGCCCGTTAAGCAAAGTGATGAACTTTCTGTCCCAGATTCCACCAGAATATTGGTCTTTATATGAAAAAGTTGAATCCACCGATTATAAAAGTGATGGTACAGAAAGAGTAAACATTTCCGATCCTTCATTTGACCTGCCAGGATGCTCGACAGCGCCGCATTTGATCTCACAATGACTTAGTTCGAGAATGAAATGTCAAAATCCCTGTCAGAACTTTTAGCGTAAAGATTAAAAGGATGGAATCTTCTCCAAGGTGATGTTAACATTACTTTTTACCGAAAAAGGCAACAAGACCTTGCACACTGTTTCCGTCAAGAAAGGGAGTTGATATATAAACTCCGGGCCTCAAAAACATTGCTAATGAACCACTAGTAACTAGTTGATCACAAAAACGTGTTACTTCCACCTTTGCATATTCAGTTGGGACTGAGAAAGCTATGGATCGAAATAAAACTTTTATAGTAACCCTTTGTAATCAATATTTGGTGAAAATTGTTTATATAACTATATAATTAATGCCAATAGAACCACTATTAACACAAGAAGTCACATGAATAGATGTAAGAATCTGTTGTAAAATTATGAATAGTGTACAGTCTCTATTTGAATGAAGTAATGAAAATTGACCTGTATGTCCCCCTATTCTGACCCGAGAGTGGAAAATGCTCCAGGACCAAAACGAAAAGACATGGTTAATCTTCCATCAACTGCGAATACTATGCACATATGGAAAACGTGCTGTACTGTCTAGTGATGGATGCAAAACAGCCTAAACAAATTCTCAGGTGATCCAACAAATTATTATAAATAACATAATAAAAAGAAAAAAAACTGGTACTGGTACAATGTACTCAAAAAAAACACTTAAAGGATAAATATACAAAAAAGTGTATATTGAGAGTTTTTAAAATAAACGAGAAACTCATTACTGTAAAAGCGGACTTCCAATAAAATGTTTCTACCTTTCTTTTAAAATTATTTAAACTGGTACAACGTACAGGGTGCGTCATCTGTTACTTTTTTTCTATTTGAAAAATCAACACGCTATTTACGAGGTGAAATCGAATTTTTTTTATTGATAAATGAAGGTTGGTTTATGCCATTTAAGTATGAAAAATAACAGCAGACATGTGACCACTGCAGCTTCGTTTACAGGCCATCATCCGAACATCAAAATTTTCAATGACCTTTCCCAGAATAATCGGGTCTATGGCCGCAATAATTTCAGTCCGAATATTGCGCTTTAGGTCTTGAATTGTGCGGCGACCATTCGCATACACTTTTCCTTTCAAAAATCCCCAAAGAAAATAGCCAAGAGGTGTTAAATCGCACGATCTCGAGGGCCGGCTGACATCTGAATTTCGTGAAATTATGTGGTCTTGAAATTTCGTGTGCAATAAGACGATTGTTTGGCGAGATGCGTGAGCCGTTGCTCCGTCTTGATGAAACCAAAGATCGTCAGCACCAAAACGATCCAATTGTGGCCACAAAAAGTCTGTTAAGCTGCCGCGATAACGTTCCCAGTTGACGATAATGGCCTTTTCTTCGGCATCTTCAAAGAAGAATGGTCCAACGATGCCACCAGCCCATAATCCGCACCAAACAGTCACTTTTTCAGGATGGAAAGGTTGTTCATGATATTGGTGTGGATTTTCAGCCCCCCAAAACCTGCAATTTTGCTTATTTACATATCCATTGAGGTGAAAATGAGCCTCATCAGAAAAGAGCACTTCTTCTCTTTCCAGCATCCAATTAAGAAAAACACGTCTCTGTTGATGGTCTGCCGACTTCAATTCTTGTGTTAGTTGGATTTTGTATGGATGGAGATGTAAATCAATGTGTAAAATCCGGCGTAAAGTCGTCTCAGTAATTCCCAATTGTTGCGAACGGTGCCTAGTCGAGGTGGTTGGATCTTCTTGCGGCTATGTTTTCACGAGTACGAGCTGGACGAGCATGTTGGTATGGTCTACGACCTTCAGCTGAACCAGTTTCCTCAAAACGATTAACAATCCAACGAATTCCAGGCTCTGTAGGGCGTCCGTGTCGGCCAAAAGCAGTGCGAAGTTTGCGAAAAGAATTTTTTATATTTCGACCGTTTTCATAACCAAAATTCGTTGTTGTGTTGTAAACGAATCCATGACTATGACAGTTCATTTATGCATATCACATGACTTTTGACTCGCATCGTAACACATAAACATATAGGCAAAACGCACCCACTACAAACATAAAAAAACACTTAAAGGATAAAGATACAAAAAAGTATCTATTGGGTTTTTAAAATAAACGAGAAACTCAATTCTATAAAAGCAGACTTCCAATAAAATGTTCCTACCTTTCTTTTAAAAACATTTAATGACGTAGCCTCCCGCGTGTTATGGTTATTAAAGATTGGTTAATAGCCCTGTACAATAGCCACTTGGAGAGGTAATGTCGCACAAAATACAGGAAAAGTTAGCTGGCAAATGTGAACTTATGTATAATGCCAAAATAAAGACGTCAATCTACCCCAGATAATCACGTTGTCAGTGTGAATTTTCATTTTTAATTTTTGACCGAAGAGGACAGCTTTACAAAAAGTACTAAAAAATAGCTTCCACTTACACATGAAGACAATGTCAGTTACATTTTCTCTCAATTTCGCCAAGTCATTATAGAAAGCCTTCTACTCATTGGGAACCTTAAAACCTCATAAAAAGAAGAAAGCACTTACACCTCCCCCACTTTTCAAACTGAGAAATGTCTCACCTGTTGTGCTTGTTGGGCGATTTCGATAGGCACATTTGGTCAGATTCCTCGCTGACAGTTTCACGATACGACACGACAGGGTCAGATTTCTTGATGGGAATGCAAGCGTGGTCCTCTTCCAGATCCTTCAGGCAAATTTCCAAATGCAACTCGCCAGCGCCGGCGATGATGTGTTCGCCGGACTCCTCGATGATGCATTGCACCATAGGATCGGATTTCGTCAAACGTTTCAAACCTAAAGAGAAACGATGGTAACAATTTTATTTACACTTTGCTGGAAAATTGAACAATGTATGGTGTATCTGAAGTCACTTGAAATAGCATAAAAACCTTTGGTCGGCGCGTCCTTTGTAATTTCATGACGTATCATAGGCGTGCGGCATTTATTTAGAACGATAATAATAATGTTTTTATATCACAATAAATGGATTTTACTATCTTCTTATTTTTTTGATTTGGGATAAAAAATACTTATATTGGGAGTTTAATTTATGTTGACTGAAAGTTAAGAAATGGAAAAATTACAGAATTCCAACGTTTCACATAGGCAAATATTTACATAGCAGGTAGGTATATAAAAAGGTATATAAAGACTTACATTATAGGTATTTATATATCATCCTCGCCTTCGGAGCTGTCGCTAGAGTCATCTTGTAGAGGAATTACAACGGGATTTACAGGAGGCAAAACACAATATTCATTTTCTTTTTCAATAATATGCCTAGAACACTGCTTCCATAGGTCTGTGGCAGCAATATGAGATACTGCATCTCTTATTGTGGCCAATAGAGATTCACTTAATTGAGGGGTCTGATTATGTTTTCTTACTTTTTTTTAAAGCAGCCCAGACCAACTCAATCGGGTTAAAAATGCAGTAATAGGGAGGTAGACGTAATACTTCAAGGCCATTTTGCTGAAGCAGATTGTCAACAACATACTCTTTTTCAAATTTTTGTCTTTTAATAAGATCCAATAATATGGCTTTGGTTGATTTTTGTGGTATTTCCATTCCCTTATCCTTCATAAAATCAATAATGTCTTGTTTTTTTGTGCCTGTATTCGGAATTTTGTTTTTCTGTCGGGAATGGTATGGCGCATTGTCCATAATAATCACTGAATTTGGGGAAATGTTTGGTATTAACTGCTGCTCTATCCACTTTTCAAATAAGTCGGAGGTCATGTCCTCATGATAGTCGGCACATGATTCTTTGATATTTTTGGCAGATAACAGCAAGGCATTAGGTATAAATCCATTTTCACTGCCAGCATGGAGAATAATGATTCGTTTTCCACGGTTGCATGGTGCATTTAAAATGCACTTGTTGCTGTCGTCAACCCAGCCGTACTGCACAACATCATGGGTATCATACCACGTTTCATCCAGGTAAATCAGATTTCTTTTCTGCTCTCTATAGATTTTAACTTTGTGCAAAAATTCTTGGCGCCATTCAACGATTCGAGACGACTCCACAATCACCATTCTTTTATCTAATTTTTTGTATTGAAAACTACACAGTTTTACAATACAGTGCAGTGAGTCTAAGCATTTGTAATTATAAAAATCTTCAGGATAATCTTTTAATTTATCCCGTATCATTTCCAACGTGGGCACCAAATTTTCTTTATAAAATCCGTATATTATACGACGAATATCTTCCTGAAAACCCGTCTATTCTTTTTAATTTTTGCCCTATGCGCTTTCTGTGGAAGGAATGGTTGACTACATCTCCCCTTTTTATAACCCGATAAATGGTAGACCGACTGATTTTTGTCAGGATACAAATTCTGTTTAAAATTTGATTTTGCGAGGAATCTGGATTTTCGTTTTTCAGACAATCATACATATTTAGGATTACTCTTTGGGTCTGTTCCTCTAAATCTTTATGAAAGAATTCTGCCTGCACAGGTTCATCAACCATCCTCCTCGTGGCTTGGAGCATTTTCCCAAGGTCTCCAAAGAGCCATATTTAGGACACACAAGAACAATCAACACAACAATTAAATCAACAAGTAAACTGAGTATTCAAAAGTCAAAAACACACAAACTAATAAAATCTATGAAAAAACACGGACAGACTAAATATAACACGTTTATTCACCGCTACACGGCACTGGCTAAACTGTTTCAATTTTCAGTAGCCACCTGCACTTGTTCCGAGCTCTGAAATACACGCTTTCTCATTGGCTATGTCCACGCATAGGCGTGCTTTACTCGACGTGGACCGGTGAAACTGCCTTTGATCTCTTATACGGGGGATATTTGCTGCGAAATTTGGCGATTTTTGCAGCAACAGAGCGTGTTAAATATAGATATATAAAACGCACCCGGTATTTCACAGTGTTTCAAGTGACTTCAGATAAAGTATACATTAGCTACTGCTAGTTCCGTTATAACATTTCTATTCCTAATTGAAACAGCAAGATACCCACTAGTGTACTATAATAAACTACCTTCCTTTTTTCGGATTTCCTGACCAGTTATATGCTTTGACGACTTATTTTCACAGCAATTTATAATTTGATTTAAATCATTTTTTTGGTATGTTAACCAACGATACAAATGAGACGATATTCAAGAAAATCTTACCTTCTACAAGTTTGGGCAAATCGGCGGGATTCTTGGGTTCGACAGCGACTCTGACCACAGGAGACACGCTGAACTTCATGACCTTCAAGTTGTGGGCATCCTTGAAGGTGGTGATGGTGCCGGTTTTCACCAAGAACTGATCTACACCGACAAGACCGCAGATATTACCGGATGGCACGTCCTCAATGGCTTCAACGTATCTGAAAAAATAAACAAGGTTAAGTTCAGTTGCACTACCTGCAGTATGGCTTAGTTCAATCACTGAATAATAATGATAATTTATCTAATTGCAAAATGAAACAAACTATGTATTATTATTTACCTTCCCATCATAAGAATGGTCCTCTGGATAGCCTTCTCGTACAAATCCTCCTTTTTGCCGGGGGTGTAGTTGGGTCCCATGATGCGAGCCTTCATTCCGGTGGCGACTTTTCCGGAGAACACACGTCCGAAAGCGTAGAATCTACCCTTGTCGGAGGTGGGTACCATTTTCGAGACGTACATCATCAACGGGGCGTTGGCATCGCAGTTCTTGATACCGACCGCCGCCTCGTCGTCTAGGGGTCCTTCGTAAAGCATCTCCATCCTGTAAACAGAAAAAAAAATAGCGTCGTCAGGTTGCACGTAAAAAGTAAAACTATTAGGGCATTTCGAATGTGATCAAAGTTAAATCAGGGGTGCCTCAGGTCCCACACGTCAAAAACGCATTTTACAGTTGATGATTTAGTCTAATCATATTACGAGATCTTCCGGAATGGTTAGCGATTCCTATCGGCAAGGTAAACTAGTGTATTTTGCTATGAAATGCCATTTAAACTAACCCTGTATATTGGGTTAAGCAATTAGAAATTCTCAAAAACTACTTAACCAATCAATCTACTCCAATTTTGTTGTGGTTATTTAGAAGTATGAATAATACGAATTTGAAGAATTTCAAATACCTGCGAGAAACCATCGTCGCATTACCAACAAATGCCAAAACCTGCAGTTTGCCTCGTTTTCCGGACATAACTTTTTTGCTATTACTCTGATCTTTTTACTTGTGGTCTCACAAATACCTAAAAATTTTATGTAAAAGTTTTTTCGTTCCTGTCACTTTCGATTAAGTCCAAAAAAAAAAAACGCGTTTTCTCATTCCTTGTTGTCGAATAAAGTTTTCCTACAAAAACTAGACTTTACAATTATTTCGTAAACCAGGGGTATTTTCGTCTATGATTAGACTAATTTGTTGTTTTAGGATTAATTCAAAAATATTTCCAGAGCATTATCAGGGTGGTGTAAAATTCTAGACTTTGGCTAATTTTGCATAAATACAATATGTACAAATGGCCAAATGCATTCAATTAATACGAGGATTAGTGAAGATTTTTATATACCACCCTATAGAACTCAAATTATGTATAAGTCCCCAAATATTAATAGCCTAAAAATGTTTTACCTACTTCCTTTGGAATAAAAAATTGCCACAGTCTAGAAAATTTAAGAATACCTTAAAAGACTAATTGAAAATAGCTTTCATAGTGTGAGATATGCAGTTAAATCTCATTTTCTACTATATGTATAGATATAGTTTTTTCAAGATTTGAAAATGTATGACAATTACTCTACAAAGTTTTTTGTCGAGAGGAAATAAATACAAATAAAATGTCACATTGCTACATGCCAATTGAAGCAATGAGAAACCAACACCTCACACATTATAGAAAATATTATCAAAAATGTTTGAGTATCAATGGTATGAATTATAATTTGTAATAGATGTTTCATCTGCACCGTAGCATCTCACAACCGGACATAAAGATAGAGGTCCTGTGATAGCGTTTAGATGCAATTGAACATAATCTTCTTCCATTTGCACTGCCAACAGGGTCATTGTCCAACAGCGATCGTCAAAAGACTGTCACTGTGTGAACTGTACAGTGGCTCTGGTAGTGCTGGAAGATTGGGCCAAAGTATATTTTTCTTAAACAATCATGAATAATAGACATACCCTGAAAAGAAAAAATGATGGAAGGGAGCACTGGGAAAAAAAGATCAACTCAGTTTCTTGTAAATAAAAAATCTCACCTGTATTTTTGGGCAACAACAGGTGATGGCAAGTGGATGGCAATCATCTGAAGCAGAGCCTCTCCAGCTGGCAGCCAGGTTCTCATGACAACCTTCAAAAGTTGCTTGCCGTCCTTATCCTTATCTTCATGCTTCAGAATAATGCCCAACTTGGGCAACAGTGATTCATACTCTTCTTTCCTGAAAACAAAAAAATTAAATAAACACGGATCTATACATAATTCACGACAAAACTATTTATGAAAATTGTAATATTTACTTGTAGTTCATGATGGAATCGAAAATCTTGTAGATAGGATCCAGGATGTACATGCAGAATGATCTCTTGTTATCATCATCCTTTTGTTTGGACCACTTCTTGGTCTTGGGGTTAAAGAAGTTCTCACCCCACAATCTGTTCATTAGCTTGACTACGTCAATCTTGAATTTGTCAGCGTACATCTCAGCGAATTGTTTCAGGGTGAATGCCCATCCGTGGAGACCGGATCCAAAACCTACTGAACCTTTGCTGGGATCAACCTGAACAAAGAAAACAAAGCAGATTTTGAAAATAGGTAATGAACAGCCAGAGACAGAATTTTCAAAATATTTTTAAAGTTTGTATCACTGTAGGAAACTGCAATGGATATAGAATTATCCATTGCAGGGCAAAATGTGAATTTTATATTCGAGTCTTTTGCATCACTTCAGCTAGAAGTTAATTCACGAAGTGGGAATAAATAGACTCAAAACCATACCACATCACTTACCGATCATTGTATCAAGATACACTAAATGCATATTATTAACAGTACAAAATGGAACACACAAATAGACGTGAAAGAAAGTTTATTTTGGCTACTTTTAAAGTAGTCACTACTCTTAAAAAAAATCACTACTTTCGAAAATTTACTGCAACAAATGAAATGCTTACCCTAACTTCTCCCATAGGACCGGAATCATCGTTGTAAGTGGCGATGATTACGTTCACGTTCTCCACAATACGCTGGAACGTTTGGAAGAGCTCCTCGGCATCCAGCTGCAATTCTAACAGAGCACGGTCCATCTTGTTCATGAACAAAATGGGCTTAATTCTCTCAGCGATAGCCTGACGCAGTACAGTTTCAGTCTGGACACATACACCTGTCAACAATATAACAATTCAGGGTCAATGAAGAAACCAACCAAAACAAAAATGCTCCCTTGAGAAAAGAAATGCTAATTTTAGCAATTTTGTGCTAGACTATACCAGTGCTTACCAGATACACAATCAACGACAACAAGAGCTCCATCAGTGACACGAAGTGCGGCAGTCACCTCGGATGAGAAGTCAACGTGTCCAGGGGAGTCGATAAGGTTGATCAAGAAACCTTTCTCGTCCTTCTCACGCTGGTCGGGGTTTGTGATGAAGACAAGATCTTTGTCTTGAAGCTCGAAGAACATAGATATGGCACTGCAATGAATGAATCGATGATAACAGGGGTATTTTATTTTACCCACAAGTATTGTCATGGGGCCTTGGGGGAAGGAATAAGGTGCTGGACGCCCATCAGTCCTAGCACCAAAATAACATTGGATTTGGAATCTATGCGCAAATTGACCCAAGAGGCGAGTTTTTTGCTAATTTTGAAAATAGTCATCAGAAAATGCTAAAGTGTAACTTGTAAATCGGATGTGTGATGTACATGGTGACTGGCTATAACCTGAACCCCCCTCTAAATTTTATATAAGACTTTCTAGAAGAAAAAGTTTATAAAAGTTTAGGGTCATATATGAAGTTAATTTCGTATAAGTGTCAAATTGTGTCATTTATTGCCTGCTTGATTTTCAAAGTTTTCTGTTCCATGTCAGAGCTCTATTTTGAGGTTATGTTACACACTTCTATTTGCATCAAATTGGTCAGGCTTTTGATTTATATCAGCCTGAAATTTCCTACAATTCAAATAGAAAACAGCCTCATAATAGGAGGGTGCTGATGCTGACGTAACAGTAGAAATTTAGAAATTCTCCAGCCTTTCTAAAGGAGAGAAAATACTACAAAAATCAAGGAGGCCATAAAGGCATCCTACAATTATAGAAACAACTGACGATATGGCCCTTAGAGCCTATAACTTCTTCTGGAACATCATATAAAAAAGTTGGAGAGAAAGTCAATAACCGAGTGTTGGTCAACATCACAGATATTAAGCCAGAATTTAGATCTTTTCAAAATTTTCAAGTTTCTGAAGTCAAAATTTCTGATTTTGATGTAGAGTGAGAGAAACTCAGTACTCTGGGATACCAACTTCAAATATGACCTACAAAAAATGCTGCGAAATTTTGTACTTTGGGATCCCAATTTTCAATATGGTGATCAAAAAATGCTGAAGTATCACAAAGAATAAATTTGGAATAAAAAATAGGACTAGTGGCCAGGAAGGGACTTTGATCAAGACTGCAGATACACATGCACTTTCAAAATTTTGTACCTTACTAGACATTTAAACATGTGAAGGTTTTCAAGATGAATATTTTTTTACCAAATGAAACAATAAAACTTTGGTTACTCAAAATTTCCATTTTCATTGTGCATGTGAATGAAACTTATCCAACTTTGATTTTAGCATGATTCCAAATATGACATACAGAAGCGGCCAAAAGTTTGGAAATAAATATTAACATTCTTATGAACTATTTCCTATAGCATAATTAAAATAGGAACAGATAGTATAAATATTTGAGTCTACCTTTGTCTCCATACAAATACAAGGTTTATCTTATCAATATTCTAATTCTTTGAAGATAAAAACACGCGTTTTTTTAAATACAACAAAAGTATGGAAACATTTCAGTTTTGCAGTATACGTTCTGGATACTCTGATATTACGTGCGGTAAATGTTAACATCGTAAGAAACAAGAGTAAAAGAATTTTCGAAAGATTTAAGAGACAAATTGAATTATTTAGAAGCGGTGACAGAAATGTTGACATTCCTCAAAGATTAAAAATGAACAAAGGGACAAATTCGAAAATTATTAGTAAATATCAAGGATACGGATCAACAGCAACGTGGCCCAGGTGCGGAAGACTAAAAAAAAACCAATTATGCTTTGGATCGCTACATTAAATGTTTGCCCCATGAAAATCCTCAAATGCCACACAGATTTTCAAAAGAATCATAATATAATGTGCCAAGAATCATTCTGTCAAATTAGTGCAGACACTTGGTGAATTTTGGTGGGCATCCAATGCAAAAGACTCTTATTTAAAAAAAAAAATTGTATTGCTGCTTGAATTTGATGGTACGGCATACGTGAGATATCTAATCTAATACAGAAAAGATTCAACAAAAAGTATCAGTTGCCAACAGTTGAGCAATTGTTAAAATTGTTGGGAAAATGAACCAAAAACTTCAGAAAGATATTCTGAGTGAACACATGCCCCTTTTGGCTAAAGAAGAAATGCCTTCATGATGGACATTCCAACAAAATAATGACCTTAAGCGTACCTCAAATATTCAAAAAGTACTGGTTAAGACTAAAAAGTGTTAATGTTCTTATATGGCCTTCGCAATCCCCAGACCTAAACCCTATAGAACATCCTTTTATATAATAGTAATTAACTGTACATTATTGTATTTAATTTTGTAATAAAAAATATAATAAGTGACATATAAATCGGAACACCCAGTTTAAATGGTTTTATTTTAATAAAAGTTGGTGAATGTATTCATCTTACTGTAAATAATAAGTGAAAAAATTTTCAGCCTTATCAGTTGGACATTCCGGTTTTTATACTGCTTTTTTTAATTCACTAACGCTCTAAAAATGAATATTTCAGCCGCAGTAAAGAATCAACGTTGGCGGATTTTAGTTCTCAACATCCTTTACGATCGGTTACGATGCCTAGAGTACGGAGACCTGTACGATTTCGTCAACTTAGTGAGTTTGATAGGGGCCGTATAGTGGGACTTCGGGAAGCTGGACTTTCTTTTCGGGTAATTGCAGTTAGAGTGCAAAGAAGTGTAGACACTGTGGTTAGGTGTTGTCAGGCATGGCTTCGAGAAGGCCGTACGCAAAGAGCAAGGGGCACTGGACGCCGCCGTAGAACAACAGACCGTGAAGATCGCCGCCTAAGATTATTGGCCTTAAGGGACCGTTTCTCCACTACCAGGTCCATTGCAAATGAATGATTTGCAGAACACGCAAGACCTATTGGCATGCGAAGTGTTTACCGACAAATGAGAAGTTTTGGCTTGTTTTCATACCGGCCACACTGTGTCCTCCCTTTAACTCGAGAACACCGACGTATCGCCTTGAGTGGTGCAGACAACAGTCACTCTGGGATCAGGCATGGAACAGTATTGTCTTTAGTGATGAGTCTCAATTTTGTTTAGGCATGCACGATGGTTGTGCCAGGGTTAGAAGGCGACGTGGTGAAAGGAGGAATCCACAGTTTTTTGTTGAAAGACATGTTCATCACACTGTTGGAGTTATGGTTTGGGGTGCTATAGCTTATGGTTCCAGGTCACCTTTAATCTTCAACAGTGGTAACATGAACGCGCAGCGTTATATCCACGAAGTTCTAGAACCCCATCTTTTACCCTATCTTGACACCCTGGCAGATCCAACTTTCCAACAAGATAATGCCCGACCACATGTTGCAAGAGGCACAATAGACTTCTTTCAACATAATAATATCACATTGTTACCATGGTCACCAAGATCTCCCGACTTATCCCCAATTGAGCACGTGTGGGATATGATGGGTAGGAGATTGCTCAATCTGCAACGTCCTCCTCAGACTCTAGAAGCACTTTGAGAGGAGTTGGTGGTTGCCTGGAATGAGATACCACAGGAGGACATTGACCACCTGATCAGAAGCATGCCTAGGCGCGTTGGAGAATGCGTAGCACATCAGGGTACATCCACACATTATTAAAGGTCAAAGGGCTTTAAGTACTTATACAAAATTTCATTAAAATAAAACCATTTAAACTGGGTGTTCGGATTTATATGTCACTTAGTATATGTTTCCATACTTTTGTTGTCTCATTTTTGGTCATAAAATAATATGAAGGTATTTTAATGCTAGTTTGTAGTACCACAGCAAACAAATTGTCATTTGTATCCTCAAGACTGTAAGCAAACTATATGAGAAAAAAATAAGTCCCTAATAGAGAGAGAATAAAAAATTAGCACACATTTTAAAAATTATTAAGAATGTTTCTAAACTTTTGTCCACTACTGCAAATAATAGAATATTGTAAAGCTGTATTAAGAGCAGAACAGGACTATTGAGGCATCTCATCCTCCATACCACAAGCAGACTCATGGTACAATAATTGTAGTTAGTTTTAAATGCTAAAATTCCACAAACTGCCATTTGGAGTGAAAAATGTGCCTTTTAGAGGCCTACCAAGGCATTGTGGGTCCCTGAGAATCTGGATGAACCTCAAGTCTAGCAGAATATTCAGTATGATTTTGAGGATTTGGCACTCACTAACATTCTTCAGGCAGATGCAACAAGGCATCTCTCGCTAATGATCCGAGAAAAATTCCTGTATGCACCCATGGGGCAAAGCCTCAACATCTGATTTATAATACCCTAGAGTTAATGGCCACATAACTATATAACGCAAAGTAACTCCATCCTATAGGATTATAGTACTAGTACCTGATTCAATATAATAACACAATGTGCAATAATTAGAAATAACCGCATGATTCACACTTGTTATAATAAACTGTTAACCACATGGTGCAACAACATTTAAGCTTTACACACGAAAAGAGCTTTAAAGACGACGATCCCTTTAAAAAAAAAAGGATGATAACATGATATAACAATAAGCAAAGTTTAAATAAATACCCAGCCAACTATCAAAAGTTCCCAACTAGCAAAGGACATACGTTGATTTGATGGTGATACAACGTTCCTGTTCATCTTTCCTAGTGTCGGTGAAACGCGTTTCTCCAGCTTTCGCACCGGCAATAATACCAGCTTTAGATACAAGGGAATCCGTCAGAGTCGATTTTCCATGATCTACGTGCGCGATGACGGACATGTTACGGATGTTCTTCTTTTTGTCCATCATGGCACGGATTTCGTCTACCGTAAAGTTCACCTGCAACGAGAAAAATGCATTCAGAAGAGCAATATGTTTTACCGTTATCATTCCTACCATATTCGCTTTTCAACGGGGATTATTTATATTTTCTATTGAAGCGATATATAAAAACTTCTACTTTTTGTCAAATCTGACTTTACGAGATTACCCTACACTACGAGGTGTTCAAAGCAGTCTCGTATTGTACAATTTTTTTACAACAAAAAAAAATGTTTTCGGGAGTTCACTTTTATAAACGATCGGTGTGAATATATAGATGGAACATTAAAGCTTAATTTTAGATAATGAAAAATGTGAATATTTACGTACCATTTTGGATGTTTTTAGATTTTCTTATCGTAGACAAAAACAACGTTACGCCAACAATGGCGTACTCGATTGAAAAGGAACGAGAACGTGCAAGATGACAACTCGCCACGCAAGTGACAGCCACTGTTGCCAGTTCGGAATGGTTGTCAAGTCTGGGGAGATTTCTGTCAGGTAGATTGACAGATCGATGTAGAACTAGAATCTACCAGAAACGTCATTTTAGATCGCGGCCATATTGCAGGTTACGATAATTTATACAGGGCTGCGTTCGTAAATTGTTACAGAGTATACTTTGTACTGCTCGGTAACAATTTAACGTTCATAATTGTTTGACGTACCTGTTACATGTATCCGCAAATAGAACGTAATCTTCTGGAACGTCAAAAGTGTGCTTTTCTTCTCGAGCTCAAGACCTTGGAAATAAGAATTCTGTCACTTGTCATTCTCATGATTCGTTGTTTGTTTATTTTATTTGGTTATCAAAAACTACTCAAAATTGGCAGAATATATATTTTCCCTGATAAATGCTACCTCGTATCCATATATATTATAATAACTACAATGGTCGCAGAAAACGTGGTTAGAAATTAGTCAGCCTTCATTAAGTGTCATTACACGACTGTAATAATTTAGGCGTTCTAAAAATAAAGTTTCACAGTATTCCAGAGTAAAATTTCATCTGTCAATCTACATTCCATTACTATGTACCGTATCACATTATCAAGTGATTTACAAACGCACCCGGTAGCACAAAATGAACGTTATGAATTATTTAATACGCATCCGTTTTTAAAATTTTATAGGCTTATAACACGATTACAAGATTTGTAAAATTTGATATGAAGTAATACACCAACGAAGCAACGAATTAAAATCGCCCAACTTTAAACTCCGGGGTGTATTGTTTTTTACCCATATATGCTCGGGAAAACTAGTACCAAAGAAATAAGCTATTTCGTTGGGACATGTTTTGTCAACGCTTGTTAATAGAAAAAATGCAGATAATGCGGGTCTCACACGATGCTTCCAACCTTGTATACAACGTTGGGTACAATCAGGGTCCAATGTGTAAACAATGTTGATTGTTTTCTATGATTTTCGGGGCATTGTTCACCCAGGAATTTATCCCTTCAACATGGGTATCATGTAAAAAACCTATAAAACGTGAAAAAAAACCTATAAGATGTCATTTTGCAAACTAGGTAGTTTTCATGGCGCACTCAGTAATTCCACGTTTGCTCACTAGGATCGTTGTTAACGTCCATCTAAGGAGGAATCACTCAACTAAACTACACGCATTATTGGTTGCATATGTTTTGAGGCCAAATGGTCCTTGTCTGTAGCTTTTATCTCTGAGAAGAAAGTTGGTTGAATAGCAAGATCGCACCTTGGATGATTATGGATATTGGTCTGCATGTGCATAAAATCAGTGATATTTGCTGTGTGAGAAAATCATCACTGAATATGCTGCCAATGAAGTATATCTATTGGCTGTGCCCGACGGGTTATTTTTATGTTGTGCTTTCTGAAGGGAGGTTATGTTCAAAGTTATAAATTACGAAAAACTGAGGAGAATTACGGGAAATCATCACCGCGCCCGCGTTGTGTGTAATTACCGTTTGCATGTATATGGCTTGTAATTCGACAGTGTACAGTGAATATAATTATTTCTGATCTCTCTCACTTTTGAAATCCAGCAAATTTGTATATGTAATTTCCAGAATGGATAAGAAAAAGTGGATGCGCAACTAATTCCTAGCTTTGAATCTCAATTAAGTGTATTTGAGACAAAAATCCAATGTAATTATCACCAACACATACAACTTACAGCTTAGACTTCCAGTAATGCCATCTCAGAAGCAGATTTTACATCACATCAGAGCCAAAGTTTGATAACCAGCCTCATGACGTTTAGGCAACACATACAACTAAGTGCTAAGTTAATATCTGGTAGAAAAACCTACACAATGTCAAAAAAAAACAGCATAATGTCAAAAAAAGTAGGCATAATGTCACTTTTGAAGATACTTGATACCCGTGTGGATTTGGCACAAGGAGGCAGGTGGATCCTTCATCACGACAACGCGCCTACGCACACGTCTCTTGTTGTGCTTGAGTTTTTGGCCCGAAGCTTAATCACAGTGACAGAACATCCGCCTTATTTACCCGATTTAGGCCCGTATCGTCAGTCGTGCCTACAATTGTAGGGCGCCTTTATGGCCTCCTTGATTGTCATATTTTTATACTTCTCCGTGTCAGCGCTCTATTTTGAGGTTATGTCACAAACATCTATTTGCATCAAATTGTGCTTCTTTTTGAGTTATATCATGTTTTATCAGCCTGAAATTCCCTACAATTTAAAAAGAAAACGTCTCTTCACAATAGGAGAGCGCTGACGCTGACACGGGACAAGTGTAATCTAGAAATTTTTGAAGGAGTGAAAGAAGTATGACAATCAAGGAGGCCATAAACGCGCCCTACAATTGTAGGGACCAGAGATAAACCCTTCTGGTAGGGACGACTGACGATACGGGCCTTAGCCCCTTGCGACTTCTTCCTGTTCCCAAAATGCAAAATGGTGCTTCGAGGGCGGCACTTGAAGAGCCTCACAAATGAAGACTTTCAGCGATAGTATCAACAGTGGAAACGGCGTTGGCAGAATTGCATCTGGTCTCAGGGGGAGTAGGCAAATAAGGCAACTATTCCCCTTTAATACGTATTTTCCGGACAATTCTCGTATATATTATGTGAACCCAACCTGACGCATAAATATAAAAAACCCCAATTAAGAAACACGTGTCCTCTAAGTTGCCAAAGCAAATAAATGTTTTCTTGGCATGCACAATCATCTTGATGGAAAGACATCGATCTGCAATGTGAACCGAAGGTCAAGTTTGTATCCTTGCCGTCCTGGCACGGAACAGACGAACCGCATTGCGTGATGAGCTTTTAATATGAAAATATAATCATATTATTTGGAACAGAAGCCGGAATCGTCCCAAGGAATCTAGGCATTGCATAGAAATTGCGCATCAAAAGTTGGCTTGCTTCTAAACAGGGTTGTAAGAATTTCGCTTACAAATGTTGAGGCCCTTTTATTTTGTATACTTAGATCATGATTGAACTGACACAAGAAATGCCAGAATCGAACTTTGTAAACCTAAGTGAAAATGCGGATACTGCTATCAGATGTTCAAGAATCTATAACGATGCTGGATAAAGAGAAATCAAGATCCCAAAACAAAATATGTGCGAGGTTTGTCTCAAAAATATGGTTCGCAACACTGTATCTTTGCTACGCGTAATGCTAGGCGAAATCTGGCAACAGTGTCGACCACCGACCCCAACAAGAAGCGACTATTTGCGAAATTGCGATGCTCAGTACCGCTCCGTCAGTCATGTGTAGGGATGGCAATTTTTCAGAAAACTTCGATGTTTGGACATCGACAAACATGGCCATAGTAACATTGTTGGAGCTCGATACATCGGAAACACATCGATGTATCGAAACAACCTCTTTTTAACGTTTTTTGCTTTCAATTCAGTAACTCATTCATTTTATCCGATGGTGAAATTCCGACCACGTTTTTTTCTCGATTTCAGAACCATTGAGTAAGAATAAAATACGCGACAGCAACTTAATGATAGGATAAAAGAAGGACACCGACTGCAATATATTTCAGTAAAAAAAGGATAATTATAGGCAACTGCAAGATATGAGATTGTCGCAATTAAAAACACATCGATGATCATTAAATACTTTATTTACACTGTGCACAAGTTGAAGTTATTTGAAGTACTTCCACACATCACTTTTTCGTGGCATTTCGATTGATTAACAATAAAACAGCGACACGACAACTACATATAATAAAATAATCAGAAGAACTTAAAATCATTAAATGCGTGAATGCGCTGTTTTCCGTTTATTTTATTCTATCCCTTGGGGAAGTACAGATTAAAGAAAAGACTACAGTCCATCTCACGCCTGTAGTGATAATATCGAGATACTACTAAACAGCTTTTTGGCCTTTCAATTTCGAATCTACCGCTTAAAGCATAGTTATGGATATACTCGGGGTATACCGACGTTTATGATCCTTGCGATGTCGATACATCGATATATCGTCATAAAATCATCGATGTTCTACGTCCGATGTATCGATGTTTTCGATACATCGATGTCTCGTTGCCATCTCTAGCCATGCGCAATGGAGTGGACATGGCCGCCTCGAAGTCTAATAACTAAATTTACAAACATCCGTGGGGCCGGATGATTTCTTAAAGGAAACATTTCCGCATAAATCCTGCATTCTGCTGGTGCATTTTGTTGGCATTCTCCGTTTGTTAGTTTTATGTCCACTAGTTCATTGTTTTCGTAAATATGAGCTATTTTTTCGCACAAAATAATCAGACAAATGAAAGGATACGCACCGGAGGTGCGTACTGAAAACCATGCAATAACACAAAAAGTTTGCCAAATTTAGATTTAGATAGATTTAGATAGTAAACAAAAAACGCTAAGACTTGACATGGCAGAGGTTGAGAATATAAAACAATCTGTGTAATAACATTCGTGTTTTTTAAAATTTTTAATCTTAAAGTTGAAATAAATGACCCAACTTTGAAAGATAATGTGAAGAGGCTTGATATGCCTTGTTAAATAGCATTAAATCTTTTGGTGCTTGAAATGTCTGTTATCTCAAGACGACACGACACTCTGTATTTATGACAATAGAATCTCTATTGATTGGCAATGAACTCGAAAAACGCTCGACTCACATAGGCTTAACCCGTACCGATGATTTCATTGCCCCATATTGGAACAGTGCACCCCCATTCCATGCCAACCCTTATTTCTTATGACGTCACTGGGCAGCACCTGGCACGCGACTGACTGTATCCAACCTGAACATGTATATTTCGAATAACAATATTCAGTATAAAATCAACCCTTCCATGACCGACATGCCCCAGTTGCGCTTGTTTTTTGTCGATAGTCGCCGCGTTGATCGAAATGTCATTCGGTACGTCGTTCGACGAGAGGATGGAGACTTATTACCAGAGGTTCATAGATTTGCAAGAGAAGCTCAGGAAAAGGTAAATAGAATTTGGTTATGTTTGTATTGTAAGCTGCGCCTTATATTTTGTGTCCAAGAATGGTCATAATTTTGCATTTTGACTAGTGGGGGCTCAAATGACTCATTTTTCTGCTCCATGATTTTTTGATGGACATATTTAAAAAGAACGTCCCAAATTGCCTCAGCTTTGATCACACACAATTTGACTGAGATTGTTTCCAGTAAATAGTGCACCCACAAAAAGTAAGGTTGACGCTCTCATTGACGCTTAATTTCACTTCCCGGATATTATAGAACAAAACTGCTAGTACTTGTTCATTAGAGGGAAATTTTGAACCGGTTATTTGATGCTTTACGTCCGCTATTAAAAATATTCCCTTTTTAGAACTGTGTAATTCCTTCGATAAGTTGAACGATAAACAGTGCGTTTACTAATAGAACAAACGAGAACTGCAATACGTTTGTTTTGACATTTTGTTCAAGCAAAATTAGATGGTATGTGTTTGAAAAAAAAGAAACTTTTTTGGGACACTCATGTTTTGCAATTTTTTGATGTTGGTACATTAATACACTTCCAACCTCGGTAATTCTATGGATCTACTAGGCATATATACGAGGTGAGCACGATATTATCTGTATACAGGGTGGCGCATCGAAAACGAAACAGACGCATTTACTGGCAGCTCAGTTTTTTTCGGAAAAACGCTCAGACCCGTCGATTTTATTTTCGAGGGGGACACAAGTTTGGCAAAAAATCACGTTAATACGTCCAGCACCCTGGGCGGGGGTGACACCAACCCTAAAATCTTAAATGGAAAGGGGGGTCGAGTGATACCTTATTTTAAAGGTCGTTCAATTCCCTTTATAATGATGTAAAATACATGAGTTTCAGTTCAGTAGTTTTGAAGATTTATTGATTTAAAGCTTAAAGTAGACTTTAATAGGTACATCAGATTAGTTTGTATTAATTTCAGAAGAAATTTGGTGGTTTGTTTATCATTTTGTTGTTGAAAATAGCTATTGGAGCATTTTTTTGTGTCAAAAAAGTTATTTCTTGAAGAAAGATAAGGAAATATCTCGTACTTATTTTAAATAGGAATTTAGTACATAGTTTGCGATTGATTGACCAAACTTTGTTGCTAAAATAACTTGTAACGCTTTATGACATAAATTAGCCATGGTATATTCCACAGCAGAATGAGTTGAAATTATCGAAATATTTTTCGGAAATAATCAGTGCGTTAATAGAACAGCAGAAATATTTAATGTGCGACATGAGAACAGTAACGTGCATCGAAAATAAGTTCTAGAACTTGTAGCTAAATTTCGGGAAACTGGGTCAGTCGCCAATAAAAAACGCAACTTTGAAAATCCCATAAGGAACGAAGCAATAGAAGTGGGGCATTTAGGGCAAGTTTATGTAGATCCTACGTTAAGAACCCGAAAATTGGAGACTGTGTGTGGTGTTAGTTGACGTACTGTCCAACGGATTCTAAAGGCCCATACTTTTCATCCGTATAAAATTCACCTGGTACAAGAACTTTGTGAAAAAGTTGAAAATAAATAACAAACATTACGAACAATTTTACACCAGAACTCCAAATAAATGGAGCTAGTGTCAACGGACACGCTCATTGCGCTGCTGCTGCCTCTGACAAAATTTACCTCTTTTTAATGCCATTGTACTATACTGAACATTGTAGAAATTGTTTTGAAGGCGCGAGAAGTATAAAGTCAAGCTACTTGAGGCCATTTTTTTTAATTGTTCCAGTGAGGAGGACCGTCTAAGGCTGGAAATGAAGTTCAACGAAATGCTTCAGATCTCTCGAGAAGAGTAAGTAACACGGTTATGTGAAAAGTATCGCTAATTTCATGTGTTTTCAAGAATTATTTATTTATGCATGAATATCTACAGGGTGACTTCGAAGTTGAGTCATTTATTTTAGCAGTGAGTAGATATGATCAAAAGAAATGTGTTTTTCCTTTAACATGTTGTGTTGTTGTAGAAGTTTGAGTACCGCCCTGTTTCAATAACAATATTATGTGCTCGTGTTTGGCAACAACGGATATAATTCGCCTTATCGGTTCATCGCATCGGAAACAAAAAAGCGAAAGAATTTGAAACGCTTATCACGATGTTTTTACTACAATTTTATTCAGTTGTATTCGGTCAATGTGTCAGTCGGTAACGCGTGAGTGAATAGTGGTGTTTGTTGCGTGGCTCAAACGAAATAAAAAATGGCACATGTTGCGGCGGCATCACGGATTTATGCGTATCGGTTTCCCAATCGAGTGCAACCAACCCCTCGTGCCTTTGCTAATGTAGTACAAAGGGCTCGTGAATCAGGTGACTTAAGACCTCACAGGGGACGGCATGCCGGTGCTCCAAGACCGCACGACCAAATACAGGTCCACACTGAAATACTTGTCGGGAGGATACTTTATAAAACAAGGTAACATTTTTTTTTTATTTTTTTTTTTATTTTTACACAAATATTTTGGTTTTTCTTCCTTTTACAATCATTATCTGAAAATTAATGACTCAACTTCAAAGTCACCCTGTATATTGGCCACCCTGTATAATAACAAGTCACACATATTTTCTCTACATCTGCCATAGAAACAGAAACATGCTAGATTTTCTTTATATAGTTTGATATGCAGATGCCGAAGATTCGTAGTACCTTACTGAACCTACCTAATCACGATTCGATTTCACGTTTTGTACTCTTTTTTTTTACAGGAAAAGAACCCACTACCGAAAACTACGATCACAGTACAAACGATTCCTTGACGAAGATCGAAAAAGACAAGAACGTAACGAGAAAATACTGAGAACGCTTGAACGGATAGAATCAAGAATCAGTCTGCTCACCTCGAAAACTGAAAGATTCAAATACCTACGAAAACAATATAAAACTTATTTGCAACGTCATAACCAACAACCTTTGCCTGCAGATGTTATCGAAGAGCGTTACAGTCCTTTGGAAACTAAAAGCTCCATCAAGAAGTCTGACGAAGATAAGTTAGAAATGCTAGAGAAGTATCTGAGGAGTTTGAACTCTCACAAGAAGGAAACGTATGAATCCGAAGCACCTGAAGCTCCAAACTATGAAGCAGATCTGAAGAAGCTGGATATGTTTTCGAAACAACTCAAGGAAGGCTTTGACTCCAACAAAGCAAACAGTATCGCCGAGGAGATCATGAACTCAATATATTCCAGGCATTATAAAAAAGATGACAAGAAACCTAAATCGAAATATACTGTATACGATGATAACTCCGATTATGATGAAGATGATGGTCGTGATAACAATAATCAAAGAAGTGGTTTGAATCAATCACGCCATAAAGACGCTTTTTGTACACCAAGTGGCAACGAAAAACATATGAGGATCAACGAAACAGATTATGGGATTCAAAAGGTATACGATCGTAATGATGCTGAAGACCAATATCTTTCGATGAACAACACTATTGCAGATAGAGGCAAGATACAAAAAGCAGTCGATGATATTATCCAGAGCAACTTGCCAAATTTGCAAATGACTGATTTGAATCAGTCTGAGACAATTAATGATGTTTCTGATATAGCAGATAGTAACCGTATTGTAGATAGTAAGGAGAAAGCACATACCATGTCTAGTCAGCTAAGTCAGTCTGAAAACGACACTGATTTCAAAAAAGAACATGCTGTCGAGAAATTAGAGCAAGGCGAGATTGAAATGAGCACAAGTAACAATGAAATGTTAATAGATAAATCCGATGCACGGTACGAGAAACTTGATCATACTAGCGAGGAATATCGAAGACCTGCTAACCAACAAGAAAATGTGCCGCTTCATGATGATACCAAGCGAAGTATTGAGGCTGCTGGCAAGTCTAAAGCAGCGACTTACGATGTTGAACAAACTGGCACGAAGAGCTCAAACGACCAACAATATGGCGAAAGTGAATTGCAACACAACGAAAATGCTCAACGTGATGAAAATGGACTGTTGACTCAGCAGCAAGGTGATGCATTGACAGATCAGTACGACAAGAATGCTCAGACGATTGAACAGTACGATGAATACGGGGAGGCTACTCAACAGTACCAAATAGCTGCTCAAAATGCTCAACAGTACACGGCAAGTGAGCTACAGTATGACGAGAATGATCAACCTGTTGCGCAGTATGATGAGAATGGACAATTGGTTCAGCGATATCAAGAAGTAGATCTAAATGCTCAACTACAGTACGACGAGAAGAACCAATCGGACCAACAGTATCATGTAGGTGATGAAAATGGGCCGTTGATTCAACAAGATGAAGATGCTCAACGGTACGCGCAGTACGAGGAGAATAAAGCATCAGGTCAAGAGTACCAAGACGAAAACGGACAATTGGATCAACAGTACCGAGAGTGTGATCCAACTTCTCAACAGTACACTGCAGGTCAATCGCAGTACGACGAGAACGGTCAACCAGTTGCTCAATATGATGAAAACGGCCAGGTGATGCAATATAAAGGAGATGATCCAAACACTCAACAGTACACTGCAGATCAGTTGCAGTACGACGAGAACGGTCAACCAGTTGCTCAATATGATGAAAACGGCCAGTTGATGCAATACAAAGGAGATGATCCAAATGCTCAACAGTACGCTCAAGGACAATTGCAGTACGACGAGAACGGTCAACCAGTTGCTCAATATGATGAAAACGGCCAGTTGATGCAATACAAAGGAGATGATCCAAACGCTCAACAGTTCGCTCAAGGACAATTGCAACACGACGAGAACGGTCAACCAGTTGCTCAATATGATGAAAACGGCCAGTTGATGCAATGTAAAGATGATACAAACGCTCAACAGTACGCTGCAGGTCAATTGCAGTACGACGAGAACGGTCAACCAGTTGCTCAATATGATGAAAACGGCCAGTTGATGCAATGTAAAGATGATACAAACGCTCAACAGTACGCTGCAGGTCAATTGCAGTACGACGAGAATGGTCAACCCATCGCCCAGTATGTCGACAATGGCGAAACGTTACAGCAATACCAAGAGGGCGAACAGTACACTGATGGCCAGTTACAGTATCAACGAGCTGATGCGTTACAGTATGATGAAAACGGACAACCCATCGCGCAATACGACGAGAATGGACGACTGATTCAACAGTACCAAGACCAAGTGCAGTATGATGAGCATGGACAACCAATTGGGCAATATGACGAAAATGGACAGTACCAGGATGCACAGTACGCTGAAGACCGAATACAGTATGACGAAAATGGACAGCCAATCGGTCTTTATGATGAACACGGGCAATATGTTCAACAGTACGATCCAAATGTACAGTATTACGATGCGGATGGTCAACCTGTAAATTATGACAAAAGTGGCCAGTATGATGACGGTGGTCAACAGATGACACATGGGAATGAAGATATTCAAGAAAGCGCAGTAGAAGATAAAGAACAGGCGTTTGGCGAGAAAGTGGATAGTGGACAGAGTAGAGTGGACACCAAAGAGGAATCGAAAGAATTTAATGTGTTGGACTTGTTAGAAACCGACACTGACGTTAGTGTGAAAGAGAACACTAGCAAGATAACAAATGATAGTGATTTTGATTTTAGTAACGCCTGAATCATTTGCTTTGTTCATAAGTATCAACATTTCACTGTTAATACATGTAAAGAAATGAGAAGCCATTTCTATTTGCCGTAATGTAGATTTAGGTTTCATTGCGGTAAATGATGGTGCAGAGCCCCATAAACAGAAGGCACCCATCTTTGATTTGTGTAGGCGTAAAAACAAATATTTAATGTCAGCTCGATACTCGATTTTGTCCATTTTCACAAAAACACTCGCATCAACTCACATTACATAACAACTGCGCGTCCAAAATGGCTGAAACTTTGGTGAGTAACTGTCACCAGATGAAAAACAAAATTGACCAACTTTTATTTACGAGTGCCATCTTCACGTTGAGGTCGAGAACTATCCGGACCACCCTCGTAGATGCCTGCATTAGAGCAAATTTTTATTCATGTTATGTTTGACAAATCCAGGATCCCCATGAGGATTTGGCGTTATTTCTTCTGAAAGGTTTTATTTTTGTGTTACAACTAATTCTGAACTATGAATTAGTTTAACTAAATGCAAATGCAAACATTTCTTCTGGCAATTTAAATATAAACTGAAGATAAGCGTTCGTATCTAACTGTATACTTAGTGATAACGGTCATATGATTGTTGAACGAGGAATTGCTACATAATCTTATCGGCTGTTATTGCGGCTCCGGCAGTACTTCGATGAAAAACAGTGGCGTATCACCAACAAATTATATATGTATATAATATAGTCAAAATCACGAAAGATGACTATTACGTCATACCATAGATTTTAGTGAAGTAATCAATGGACGTACGTCGATGATAAAATCACGAGTCAGAAACAATGACCACAAATTTATATTATGATTTTGCGAAGTTAGGTTATTTCACTGATTATGTTTATTTTCATTTTATTTTATGGTTTTGAGTGATACCTCAATAATAATTTTAGTGAGGAGTTTTTGTTTTGAGAAAAACGGTTATGAGTAGAATACCTTAAGACAGGAATACCAAAGACCAAAGTATTATTTGAAAACAACATAACCTGCTTCAACATAACCTAGCTATTCATCTTTCAAATATGATCCACTATGCAACATGAAAACATGGTCTATCTTTGTCGGATAGATGCAAATTAGCAATACAGTTTGTTTAGACAATAATATTCTGTTTGTCTCTGTCTAACATATCAGAAAATTCATTAAAAATATTCACAAATCGCTGACGTTTGTCGTTACTACAGACTAAAATGATGACGTAATCGTCATCTTTCCTGATTTCGACTATATATAATATTTCATGCTGCAACATTCCAATCAAATGAGCGGCGAGATCACAAATTGTCTGAGATAAATCGGACAAACATGTGAGTAGGACTTCAGGTCGAGTCTTACCTGGGACTTATTCCGAGTGGGAATGTTAGATGGTGAAGAACCCATCAATCACAGAGGGTATCTCTGTGAGAACAGAGGATGATTTTTTTTATCTCTCACACTATTTGACCTAAGAACGTGAACATTTTCAGAGAGATAGTTTACGGACAGAATGTTCCATATGAGAACTAACGACAGGGCTGGATGATATAAATGCAAAACCATACTCGCCCATTAGTCACGGAATCTCAAAAACTATAACCTATAAACATTAAATTTCGTAGAGAGGCAGTTAATGCACAAAACATATCATCTATACCCTATTTCACGAGTATCCATCACACTTTGACATCTACTGAAGCGAACAGCTGATCAGCAAATGACATTTTTAGTCTGCAACGTTGGCAATAATCAATCGGGTATACATCTTGTGAAACTTATTTGTGGTGTTTTGTTTTTTGTATGCAAACGAACTTTTCTAAATAAAAGAGCTGTTAGCAAGAACAAAATGAATCTGTAGCGTACAAAAAACCAAAATAAAATACGGCTCTGTCTACCTGGCGTTGACGGATCCGTCAGAATTATGTGTTCTGTGCCAATATAGGGAATTTTGAAATATTACTAGATAACCAGCTGACATTCTACTGTGATGGACACTCGTGTTGTCTGGTATCACTGAAACATAAATAGCTTTCACCATCTATTAACTTCCGTTTGACGCCCATCTTGGAATTTGAGTGGCTTACAGCTTTCTTGGCGTAAAAATGTGTGGGATACGTTGTTTTCTCCAAATAAAACTATTATAGCGATATCTATCAGCGAATTATCGACAAAATCACCTTCGAACATAGATACTAACGCCCAGGGTGCTTTCAGATGGATGCGTGGTTTTTTATTCAAATGTGGCGTAGGTACCTTATTGTCTAGTATAAATTCTTAGAAGCGCCCTCGTATTTTTCTATAAACACCCGTTTCGCGCTTGAAACTTTCGGAAACTCCGCCAAAATCAATACTCCGGCGCTAGATACCCCGCAACGACGTAATACTTCACACACACACGCCGCTCATATTCCTCATTTTTATTCACCATATTAAGGTCACGCTCGCAGAGCAATACTGCGTCTCCGACAAAGCGTTCCCCTCATCTAAAAAGCTCCAGTGAGCTCATGTGAGACATTTCACATTAGGCTAGCAGTAATCGACGCGACTCTGGTTTATATTTCTCGTTTCTGTGTCGATGTGCAGAGGTGTGCGTTTCAGACATTCAGATTTGTGAACATGGGTGAGGTTATCGTTAACGGAATTGACAAGAAATTGGCGCAAATGAACTTTTACGACGAAGGGGACGGCGACCAAGACAGGAGCAGTGATTTGGATCAAGGAACGGGTAGGTTTTGAGGTTATGTTTGTTTTGATATTGATTTTCTCAAGGGAAAGGTGAATAAACGTTACGTGCTTCACATGCGGGACGGGTTTCTGAATATTGGATGGATCAATTTGAATTTGCAATTATTGTTCGATGCATTCAGATAATAGGTTTGCACGTTTGCTATAAAAAATAAACAAATTCATCGCAGTATGCCACTTTATACAAATATTTACAAATATTATTATAATCAAACGGGAGGCGGTCGGGTTTTATCGAATTTTTATTACCGCGAGAAAAATTAAAAAAGTTATTGAAACATGGTTTGTGGTGTATGCGAAAACGGTTGAGGTACGTATGATAACGGAATTCGTAAATTTTGATTTTTAAATAGTTATGTCCATGTATTGATGAAAGCAGTCAGCATTTTGAGTTACCCAATGCCAATCACAGAACAACAAATATGTCCCTAAAATAGGATATTTTGGAGTCTTTGTGGTAGCATTTTATAGTAAAGACAAATTAATATTCAAGTTAAAATTAGAAAAACTACAAATTTAGAGATCATTCGTACGTCAATCGTTTGTAAAAGCCGCATAAAGTATATTTTAACAGTTTTTTAAATTTTCCTCCTAGTAATAAAAATTTGATAAAACCCACATTACGTTTTTTACGTGCGAGACCGGTTTCTGAATACTGAATGGGTGAACTTGAATTCGCAGTTATTGTTCAATGCAATCTAAAAATAGGGTTGCACGTTTTATGCCTTTGTTATTAAAAACAAACATTTAATTTATCGCAGTATACCACTTTATACAAACAAATACATATGCAAATATTATATAAACAAACAAATACATTACAAATAATATAATTAAAGACTAAGTCAAATTAAGAATCTCTTTTAATGCATGTCTAACAGGCCTGGTATCATCCAATTTGTTTTCACACCAGGTTTTTCAAGGTGTGAGACAGAATTGTGAAAGATAATTGATTTTGATGACCTTGATGATGGAAAGATTACTCATTAAACATATTTTTTAAAACTGTTTGCTAGCACTTGCGCTATTATCCAACATTATATCGTTCAATAGTTTAGGGTTTTCGAAAAGTTGTGTTAGTTTAGCATAGTTTTTTATCTTCATTTTAAACTGTTATTATTGACGTACATTATCAAAAACAGCTGTTTATACTAAATATTTAACTAAGGTGAATAGACGAGGTAAAAGCAATTTCCAAACTCGATTTTTTTTCATAATCGCGTTAGTTGGGTACCCGTTATATGGTTGTTGACGTGTACGGATTGTCAAAAATGTAAAAAAAAACAGTTATATAGAAATTCTTGAGCGCGTCAGCTATTGATGCTGTATAGACGCCACGTGTCGCCGATATTGAAGGTATGATAATATGCCGGTTTATAACTCCAACCTCAATTTCGTTTAGTAGATATCAGCAATTTGCGTTATTCTAGAATTTTTTTCCTGACATTTAAAAAAAATCGACCGCGCTTGCGAATATCAAGGTGACGCTTTTTTGCAAATTTATGACCCTCCCACTCCTTCACGTCACATTCAAATCGTCAGATTATTAAAATATACACACTTTTCATGTAATTTACCCAACTTTATCTCAGTTTGACACGCTCTGGTATTGGTAAAGTTCAGTTTTTTTAATATTCTGATCTGCGTCCCTAAACGACGTATCCCCTATATAAAGGGCTTATATATGGTGAAGATACTCATCAAGATGCAAGGTATCCCTCCTTATCTTACTCTGAAATAAATCCAAAATTCCCTATTAATATGAATTAACCCAATACAAATATACTAAGTGACATATAAATTCGAACACCCAGTTTAAATGGTTTTATTTTAATAAAATTTTGTATAAGTACTTAATGAAGCATAATAAGTAAATGATAAAAATTTCAAAATGATTGCACTGCTTTAAAGCCCTTTGACCTTTAATAATGTGTGGATGCACCCTGATGTGCTACGCATTCTCCAACGCGCCTAGGCATGCTTCTGATCAGGTGGTCAATGTCCTCCTGTGGTATCTTATTCCAGGCAACCACCAACTCCTCTCGAAGTGCTTCTAGAGTCTGAGGAGGACGTTGTAAATTGAGCAATCTCCTACCCATCATATCCCACACGTGCTCAATTGGGGATAAGTCGGGAGATCTTGGTGGCCATGGTAACAATGTGACATCATTATGTTGAAAGAAGTCTATTGTGACTCTTGCAACATGTGGTCGGGCATTATCTTGTTGGAAAGTTGGATCTGCCAGGGTGTCAAGATAGGGTAAAAGATGGGGTTCTAGAACTTCGTGGATATAACGCTGCGCGTTCATGTTACCTCTGATGAAGATTAAAGGTGACCTGGAACCATAAGCTATAGCACCCCAAACCATAACTCCAACAGTGTGATGAACATGTCTTTCAA